AAATAACCGCGTCTCTCCCCAGACGGCCCTGTCTGTCAGCCACAGAGCGCGTCGGTCACACCCACGCCCCTGGGCCCTGGGCTACCGCTAGGCTGCCCTAACCTGACCCCACCTTGTTCCCAAAAGGACGAAAGTTGTGCTTTTCTTGGCCGAGAGGCCTTTATCTGCGGCCTGCCTCACTCAGAAGGGCTGTGAAGGGTCAGTCCCCCGCCAACCGCCGGGAGTGGCCGGCGGCCAGACACTGAATGCCTCGGGGCTCACGGGGTCCGTGGCGTGGGGAGGAGCAGGAGGAGGAGGCTGGCCGAGCCCAGGCCGGGGCCCCGCAGGCCGGCCCTCTGCGAGGGTGACTGACGCCGTCCGCCACCGCATTCTGACCTTTTCGTCACGTTTTTTCATCTCAGTGGCTGACAAGTGAAGGCCACACCCTAGGAGGGATAACAGGTGACTGTGGTGGAACTCGGTGGCCCCTGCCTGGCAGCCGGGAAGCAGACTCTGCGCGTCCCGGTCGCTCCTGGCGGGCAAGCGACCCGCCCACCGGTGCGGGGCCCACGTGCAAGCGCTTCGGCCGGATGGTGTTCCGCAGATGGAGCCCCGCTCGGCTCCATAAAGATCGCCTGCCGCTTCCTCTGCTCTGCAGATCACGAGACTCAGCAGCCAACCCCTGGGCCCCGCGGCCAGGAACCCGGAACTCCCAGAGCCCCGGCGTGGGGCCTCTCGTCTCAATGAGCGGCCCGGGGTTCACAGATGTGCACACCTTCGCGGCTCTTCTCAGCGCATCTGCTGGGGCAGGCGCGGAGCAGGCAAATCCCAAGGCGGCTAGTTCAACCTTGCACTCAGTGAGCGGCTGCTGGGGGCACAAATACAGCCACAACGAGCTGGCCTGAGCCGCGGGGCGGGGGCAGGCCCTCCTTTGTTCTGAAGCCCGGGAGTGCCTGGCGTTGCGGGTGCTTGGTTCTGCCCTCGCTGCCCGTGGCTCGCACAACACAGAGTCCCGCCCGCAGGCACAACAGGCAGCTGTGTCCTCAAAACACACGTTCTAATGTACTTTTGCCTTAGAGTGTTTATTTTTTAAAATTTAAACTGATCCCTGGTTGCCTAGGGTCCTGTTCATTTTCACAGAAAATTAACGCTTTGGCACAAGAGCACACGCGATGCCTGCCTCTCACGGGGGCAGCCGCAGGGCTCTCCACGCGGGGAAGGCCGCCCGCAGCGCTCACGGGTGCGAAGGTGGTGGGTGGTGAGAGGTTAGCGGGTTCCTCTGACGGGCAAGGGGCCCGTAGCAACCTGGACGAGGGTCCCCAGGAGGCGACAGCGTGAGCCCAGAGTCACCATACGGCCCAAGAGAAGCCAGAACCCATAAAGTCTGTGAAATTACCTGGCGTTACAGACAGTCTGCGGCCCCAGCAGACAGGTGAGAGGCTGCACGTGGCGGGAGCCCAGGCTCGCAGCCGCCCCCACGGGCCATGGAACTGGACGATGTAAATTCTGGGGGACTCTGAATTTTTGTCTGACTTCGCTGATCTGATTATCAAAATTGGCACACGATCCACACCGGCCATTGACTTCAGACGGTATACACCTGGCGTTTGGCAGTTTCCATACTTACCGTGTGAAACTGAGTTAAAAGGCATTTGGAACATTTTGAGGTATTTTGATATTCCCGGGTCTCTAACGAGATCTATGTATAGACAGTCTCATCTTCCAGATTTGGTCACAGGACAGATGACCCTGGGTCTCCTTCTTCCTTTCTCCCTTCTTTCATTTGCCCCGAGCCCTGCCCAGGGCTGCCGCGGCTCTGCGCGTGCCGGCTGCGGGCCAAGCGAGCCGCCGGCATCGCCAGCTGCCTGTCCTGAGGGGAGCGAATAGCCCCTGGGTGAGCTTGAATAGCGCGCCTGTGGGCTTCCCCGCGCCAGTGTCTGCGTCCACCTGGCAGGTCGGCAGAGCCGCCCCCCGCCCTCCGGTGGCCCCGTCTGGGGAGCCGCCTCCCTCATTTCCTGGCTGCTGGGCCCGGCCCGCCTGCGTCAGCAGCCGGCTGCCCCGGTCGCTGGACTCTGCTGGCAGCAGGGAGTTGGCCGCGGACAAAGACCCCTGTCCCGGCCCCCAGGTGGGGCGAGACAGCGCCGGGAGCACTTAGCAGGAGGACCGAGTGCCCATGGGGCCTCCAGGGTGTCGGGGGCCGGAGGACAGGGAGGCCCTGACACGTGAGAAGAGAAAAGCATGTCTGTGCGTGTCCATACGTGGGGACTTTGGTGCATCGATCATCCTCACTGCTTTTCCTCCTCGCTGGGTGGGTCCGAGACCCGGGCCCTGGCTGGGAGGAGGTGGCGGGGCAGCCGGCAGGCGTGAGAGTGGCGGTGGGTCACCCAGAGCCTGGAGAGCAGTTGGCTTCGTCACTTCCGCATGTCCCCACGTGCCGTGTGGTGTGCCACTGGAGGGGACCAGTCGGTTCTAGCTCATGTCCTGCCTTTCCGGCCTCTCACTCAGCCTGACCCACCCTCTGGGTCCTGGCGCTGAGGCCCGCGGGACCGATACACACAGTTCTGGGCAGGCCTCCCTGGCCTACAGCTGGCTCCATGCCTAGGGGACACCTGTGGGTCCTGCAGTTGCCACCTAGTGCAAGGAAGCAATGCCCCAAAGGGCCACCCCAGATGACCGGCCCGAGGGGTACATGCTTTTCTCCTTCGCACCCAGGCAGGCGATTCTCCAGGGCTCTGAGGAGGTCAGGACCCCAGCTCCAGGTGACCACCACGGGGACCCCCTCAACAGAGCGCCCCGGTCCTGGCCCCCTCTCTTCCCCTGCTCCCAGCTTTCTGGGCACAAGAGTCCTCACTGCACAGACCCAGACTCAGGCTCTGCTTTCTGGACTCAGGGCGTGGCTCCAGCCAATCCACATCAAACCTCATCTCAGCTGTTCATGATAATGCTTCCTGTGAAGGGAACCTCATTACTTCCTCCGTCTGGTAGGCAGTCCAGCTCTGGCTCTTAGATCAAACCTGTGAGTCTCAACCAGCCTTTAAAAAAACCAGAGACCTCGGCGCATGTCACACACTCAGCTGGCTGCTCCCTTTTGAACGGGTCACCATCAGGGCGCTCTGGCCGCCACGGGCAGCCGGTCTCCTACAGTCCGAGGGTGCTGTCCTCTGCCACGCCGGGTAGCTCTGGACCTCCCAGCAGCACCCACCGCCCGGGGAGGTCCCAACGGAGCTCTCAGGGGTTCGGCCAGCCTGGAAACTGGAAGCAGGCGCTCGCCCAGAGGGCTCGCATGGCAGTTGGTAAAGCGCGAACGCCCCCTCCGCAGCCGCGCTCAAGGCAAACCCGTTCCGACTCTGGGCCCAGTGTCCCCGAGCCACACCTGCGCCCCCTGCGCCAGCATCGTGAGAGGACTGTGGAGCAGCTTTAAAATCTGCAGGCCCTGGCTGGTGGCACCAGGTCTTCTGAGCACAGCCAGGATTCACTAACCACTGTGCCTAAGAAACATTTTACATATAGAAACTGTCACGCGATGAACCAAAGGCGAGCGGTGGGAGTCTTGCATCGCTTTCCCTTCGGGTGCCCTTGACTGTGTCCACCTCCACATCCAGCCCCGTCCCCGGGTGCCTCCGGGGGGAGTGGCGGGCCCTGCGGTCAAGTCTCTGCCGAGAATCTTCCTGCCGTGAAGGGAGTCACCTCAGGCCTGAACCCAGACCCAGCACTGCATTTCTGAAGTGCCCCGGGCACCCCGAACATTTGCAAAACGCACATTCTACCCAAATTTTTATTAAGTAGAACACAGTGAAAAGCAAATTCCTGGCAGCAGGAGAAGCACAGGAAGCCAAACACAAGCAGCCAAGCCCCACTCGGACACCTGATGTGGGGCGGCCAGACACCCCTCCCCGGCCCCTTCCTCCCACTGACGACTGGGCCCCGCGCTCTGAAGCCGCCCGGTGGCCTGGTAGCTCCCATGCGACTCCGCCCAGTCGTTTAAAATGAAGCGACTCCGGCTACACCTCCCCCAGAGAACATCAGGTCCTTGGAAACAAACTCTCAGTCGCTTGTGTCCCACTGTAGATAAGGCTGCGATTTTCCTCGTCTGACCTAAGAGTGTCAACTGGAAACAACAGGCTTCGCAAACGGAGAAGCAGTTTAAGAGAAGATTACACTTGAAGGGACGCCTAAAACAGAGTGTGGCTCCATCGTACTTTGCCCCTTGTAGAGTGATTTGCACTTAACCTTAGTTGGGAGCAGGGAAGGATTTGTCCTGGCAGCGATGGGCTATGAACTCGCTCATTAGTTCAGATGAGTTGGGACAAACCCCGAGTGCGTGCTGGCACCACCGTGCTTGTCACAGCAGGTCCCATTGTCTCACTCCCCCGGGTCCTGGCACCAGACCACCTGGCTCACGCCCCAGAGCCCTGTCCGCCGAGGCGCGGCCAGGGCGGGGGGAGGGCTGCAACCTCCGCGGCCCGAGGCCTCCGGGAAGGGTGGCGGCCCCGGGGCGCAGGGCAGCGCGTGGCTCACAGGTGTCAGGTGCTTGCCGGGCCGGGAAGGAAGGGGTCCACATCCCCAACGCCCTTCCTGGGACGGACATCAGGTCCCCAGCTGAGGTGAAACAGTGCAGGTGACACGTCACCTGCCTCCTGTACACACAAAACCGTTTTCAAAAGGCTAAACGCTCCCCACCCCCGCACGCATCCGCAGGGCGTGGCGCCTGGCCCACCGCCCTCGTCCTCTCGCGACACTTGACTCTACTGAGGGCTTCGGGGTCGATGAACACCCTCAGGGGAGGGCGGGAGGACTTCCGGGAGGAGAGCGCAAGAGCAGACACCCGGACACAGTGGCCCCCAGGGCTGAAAGCCCACGCCGCCGACAGCCCCCGCGCTGCGCGGTTCCCGGTCCTCCGGCCGCTCTAGGCCGCGCCTCTCCACGTTCCGCTCGGCCTTGGCCCGCCCCGCCGGATCGACGTCTCTCTGCGCCAATCAGAGGCGGCCCGGCCTCGGCCCCGCCCACGCGCACGCGCTGTGGGGCGGGGCGCCCGGAGGAGCGCGGCCATGGAGACCCTAGTGGTAGGTGGCCGGGCGGCGCGCCTCCGCCCTCGGCCCCGTCCCCGCCCGCCCCGCCCGTGCCCTCTCGGTCCTTCCTCCGCTCTCCGGGGCTGCGTTCCCCCCGCTTCTGGGCTGGCCTGGGAGGGTCTCCGCCCCAAGCCGCCAGCACCGGCCGGCGAGCCTCCAGGGCCGCGTCCGGCCCACGTGTGACAGAAACTCCGTCACGCTTTGTATCGTAGACCTTGAGTAGACGTGTTATTTTTCTTGAGAAAAATAATTCCAAAGTGAAGTAAATTTGCCAGCGGACGGAACGGCCTGTGGCCGCCCCGCGGTGGCTCAGCCTCGGAGGAGAACGTGACAGGCCCGGGCCCTCACAGCCGTGCCCCTGACCGGCGCGCAGCCGCTTCCGCCCGCAGTGCCCGCCGCGCGCGGGGTCCGCAGGTGCCGAGGGGGCGCGCGCGCGCGCGGGGAGCCGGCCGCTCCGTGGGCCGCGCGTGGCATATGCTTCGGAGATTCTTGTTTTAGGCGGGCGCGCCCCGACAAGGACGCGCCGCGGCGCGGAGCCGAGGAAGCGGGGCGGCCCTCGAAGGCCGTCTCCGCGGCGGTTCCCCCGGCGTCGCGGTTCCCCGCGAGGGCGCGCCCCGCCCAGGAGCGGACCCGCGCGTGGCTTCCGCACGGGCTGGAAGATGCCCAGAGGTCGTTTCAACCGAAACGATGGCTTTCGGGCCCGTGATTGGAAAGCACGAGGCCGCCCTCGAATGGGGAGCATCGTCGATGCCTTTCAGATGTCGGTTCCCTTTCCAAAAGCGCCCCGCGGAGCCGCGGGGGGAGCGCGCGCCGCCGCCCGCCGCCCGCCGCGCGCCCGGCCCGGCCCGGCCCGGCGCGGCCGGCGCGGCGCTGACCCGGCCCCTTGCCCTGCAGTCGGTGATCCTGCCGGTGCGCGACGCCGGGCCCTGGCTGGACGCGTGCCTGCGCTCGGTGCAGCAGCAGGACTTCGGAGGCCGCCTGGAGCTCTCGGTGTTCGACGACGCCAGCCAGGTAGGCGCCCGTGCGCCGGCGCGCGCGCGGCCGGGCCGGCGGCGCTGACCGAGCCCCTCTCGCTCCCAGGACGCGTCGATGGCGATCGTGGCGAAATGGAGAGCGACGCTGGAAGGATCCGGGGTCCGCGTGGTCGTCGGAGGGCACGACTCGGCTGCGCCGCGAGGAGGTCGGTCCCCGCCGGCCGCGCGCCCGCGGCCCCGCGGCGCGCGGCGGGTCGCCTCTGCGCCTCCAGCGGTTTTCTCGTGGCGGGAGGGACGTTTCTGTCCGACTTTCGGAGACGCCCGAAGAGCGGCGTCCGTCCCGCTGAGCTCCGCGTGGTCCGCCCCGTCCCGCGGCGTCTCCTGCCTCCGCCCTCGCGCTCCGCGGGGACCGGCGGCCCGTGGGTCCGGACTCGCTTTCACTTGCGCTCCGCGTGCGCACACCCTCGCATTTCCCTTTCGGTGACTTTGGTTTGGGGGCCGTTCGCGAGCGCGCGAGGCGCTGTCCGGGGAGCCTCCCGTTTCTGATTCTAACTCCGTTCCTGGCTGGCGGGCGGCGCGGGTCTCTTCCGTGGCACAAGGTCGCGCGCGGGGCCTCCTGCCCGCCGCCCGCGACGGCCGCCTGGAACCCGCGCCTGCAGACGGGCCCGGGCCCCTGCGAGCGGCCGGGCTTGTTCCGAGGTGCGGACGCCTCGTCGTTCCGCGGTGATGACCCCTTGTTCTGCGCTGGTGGTTTGGCTCTGAAATGTCTGTCCCGAACCTCGCCGCTGCCTGGGCTTTATTTTGGTGGCGGTCGCGCAGTGCGCCTTCCGCGTCCGTTCTGGTTCGAACCCGGCTGCGTCTCGCGCCGCAGGGCGCCCGCCCTCGCAGGTGTCGGAGGCGGCGGCTGGGCCTCGGCCTTTTCACCGGCTGTTCCCGCCGGTTACGTTGCACGTGACTGTTGGTAGCGTTAGGTTTGCATCCGTTTTCTTGCTATTAGTTTTATATTAGCTGTTGTGTTCTCCATTCCACTGGTTGGAGAGAGACACGGAGGAGGAGAGATTTGCTGTCCCCTTCTCCACGCAGCGGCGGCCGCCTCTGGCGCGTGGGGGGCCCGCGAGGACCCCGCAGCCCGGCCTGGCAGGAGCGGCTCTGGCCTGGCCAGCTGCTCTGGCTCTGTTTTCCTCTTGATCTGTCTTTTTTTTTTTTTTTTAATTAATCAAACATTCTTACAACAGCGTCGTTGAGATGTAATTCACATACCACCCATCATAGCATAAACTCGAGTGGTTTTTTAGTGTATTCACAGACGTGCGGACCCACAACCGCACTGACTTTGGAACAGTGTCCTCACCTCACAGACGCACCCTGTACCTTCCGTTACCGCCCCCCACGCCCTCTGACCCCCGCCCCGCGCAACTGTGTATCGATATTTGCTACAACGTGAACCTTAAAAACATTTTGCCAAATGAAAGGAGCCGTCACAAAAGAGCACCTGTCCTGTGATTCCATTTATGTAAAGTGTCCACAACAGGCAGATCTATGGACGGAAGTGGCTTCTCGCCGTGGCTCGGACCTGCACGTCCCTGCTGACCGACGGCGCCGGGCCTCCCTTCCCGCGCCTGGTGGTCATGTGTGGGTCCTCTTTGGAGAAATGTCTATTCACGTTTTGTCCATTTTTTAACTGGGTTATTTGTCTTTTTGTTGTTGAGTTGTAGGAGCTCTTTATACATTCTGGATACTAGACTCTTACCCGATACGTGATTTGCAAATAAGTTCTCCCTTTCTGTGTATTGTCTTTTCACTCTCATTAAAGTATCCTTTAATGCAAAAAAATCATAATTTTGATGAAATCTAACTTATTTCTTTTGTTGCATGTGCTTTTGGTGTCCTATCTAAGAAACCTTTGCCAAATCAAGGTCATGAAGATTCACCCCTGTGTTTCCTTCATAGAACCTTGTAGTTCAAGCTCTTAGCTTTAGGTCTGTGATCCATTTTGAGTTAATTTTTCAGCATTTTCAGCATTTCTCAAATAGAAAATACTGTATAACAGAGATACAAAGGGTCAATTTTCAGGAATGCTGGGTTATTTTAATTGGATTAAAATTCATTTATTATTTCCTATCATAATAGAGCAAAACATTTCTCAATAATGTGGTCACTTGCTAAAATCAAAATAGAACACAGTCCCGCCTTCCTTTCTCCGGGAGTAAGGAATGCTGCCGCTGCTGAGTTCTTCCTGCTGCGACCATGGCAACCGGCTCCCCTCACAAAGGGCCCGGCCTCCCCAAACATCAGGCCCTGGCACAAACATTTGACTTTCTTCAAGGCAATAATATTAAAGCAAATTCCTGGTCATTGCCAAACAGAAGATTCGCTGTGGGAAACTTCCAGCTGCCTCAGGGAGCAGCGTTTTCCTCCATGGCCCAAATTTTCGGGTTCGGTTTTCCCTTCTAAAACCCAGCTCTAGCCAGCACCTTCTGCTCACTGACAGGAGACGTGCGAAGCCTCTTGCTCATTTTCGTTTTCCACGTGCTGCTCTTTGGTGTGGTTTCCTTGAGGCCACTCTCTGGGCGTGCCGTGTTCTCCAGTGATGACTCAGATGCAGCCACAGCTGCTGACCCGTCCCCGGGGTCGGGAGCCAGGCGCTCTGCCTGCTTCTGGCACCTCCTTCTCTCCCCCGTTATCCCAGCCGCCTGCGGGAACCTGGGACCCTCTGTTGGCTGGTGGGGCCGGCCGAGCGCTAGGATTCATGCTGGAAGTTCAGCTGCACCTCTTGTGTGAACGCAGCGGGGCTCTGGGTCTGCCTTCGACGCCCCGCGTGAGGGCGGGTGGCCCCCTGCTGCAGGTGTGCCTGGGGTGCCCTGGGAGGGGCCAGCCCTCTCCCCGCCTCAGGCAGCGCCCTCCGGGCCGCGGTGAAGCAGGGAGCACCGTGGGTGTGGCCCGAAGCGAACACTGGGCCGGTGTCCCCGGGGACCCTACGCCCTTCTCCAGGTTGTCTCCACTTGGAGCACCTGGGGGAGTTGCTGTGTTAACTTCGCACACACCTGGTTTTGCTTTGTGTGACTTTTCTTGGAGGTGCCGCATCTGGGACTGTCTGGTTAACCTGATCCGGGTGTCAGCCACCTCTTCTCCAGGGACCGCGGTCACTGTGCTTCCAGAAGTCCCTTCGGCCCCTTCCTTGGGGGCCCGCCCTGCCCGCAGCGCCCAGCCTCGCTCGCTCAGGGCCAGCGCCTGCACCCTCCGCGGGCCCTGCCTCCTCAGCGCCCCGCGCCTTCCCTCCCCTGCCCGCTGCACCCCCAGGGCGCGTGCTCCGCCTCCAGTCCCGCCCTCTCCCCCAAGTGTGTCTTCTCTCAGTCCGTTGTTTCTCCTCGTGGTTTCCCTTTGGCATTTAGCCACAGGTTACTGTTTAACTCTTTTCTCCAGCTCGCTGGTAATCTCTTTGAAAGCAAGTATTTTTCAAGACAGTAAAACATAATCGTAGCTCTGTCAGGTGTGGCTCAGTCCAGCATGTGAAGGGGTGGGGGGTCCCCGTCCGGCCAGGGCACATACCTGGGTTGTGGGCTCGATCCCTGCTTAGGGTGCACGCAGGAGGCAACCAGTCAATGTTTCCTCTCTGTCTTCCTCCCTTTCTCTCTCAAATCAATAAACACCTTTTAAAAATATATATAAATAAAATATCCATACAAAAAAGTGCTCTTGTCAAAATCGTACGGCATGGTTAATTCTCACAAACTGAACTCATCACGGAACCAGCACCTGGCGAAGAGCTGACATTGCCAGCCCCCAGGGGCCCGCTGAGCCCCTGTGGTCAGGGCACCTGCTCTCCCGGTTCCTGGCAGCACAGGTGAATTTGCTGCCTTTGCTCTGCGCAAATGTCACCACGGCCGTGCTGGCCCCCGCACCACCCTCGCTGCGCGCCGCCCGGGGCCTGTTCCCACGGCGGCGGGCTGGCAGCGTCTCCGGTTCTCCCGCGCTGAACGCGTCCTGCTGGGTCTGCGCCTGGCAGCGCCCCTGCTGGGTCGCCGGGCCGGCGCGTGTTCAGACGGGGACGCTGCTCTGAGCCGCGGGAAAGCAGCTCCGACGACGTTCGGTGAGTGCGTGCCACCCCCGCGCGAGAGTCACCTCGCGACCTCTGTCGGAGCAGGCGTTGGAGAAAGGCTTCCTGCCGGTACTCGCGCCAGCGCTCCATTCAGGGACGTTTTCGTTTTGTTTCTCCCCCCGGTCACGTGGGCGTTCCCCGCTTTGACACGCTCGTGCTGGCGACCGCCCGTGGGTCAGCTCCGGGCTGTTCTGTCGGCACCAAGTGGGCAGCGTGGTGTCCTCCCCTTTCGGTCCCCCGGAGGCTGGCCTGCTTTTGCACTTGGTTGTGCACAACGCTCCCAGCTTTCCTGTGGTACGTGCTACAGTAAGTTTTATGAAAGAGCATACCGTTGAAAATTTAATTATAAAATAGCGCTTTTTTTCTTTTCTTTTTAAACAGCTGGATATTCTAAAAATCGAGCAATAGCACAGAGCTCAGGGTCTTACCTTTGCTTTTTGGATGCGGTAAGTAACTCATTGTTTTATTTTTAAAAAAGTGTATGTTGGCTGAATAAATTATCTTACATTTTAGTATGGGTCTTTAAAATCATTATTCTACTATATTACGATCAGACTTAAAAGGTTGATAGGTGTTTGCTGTTTAATTACCACAGCAGTTAATGAGCTTATTAGGTTTTGATAAGTAGGTTTACATGAAAAAGCAACATTATATAGCACAGTGTAAACAGAAATGAGGATAAAATAGGAAGATGTTGACAAATACAGTTCTTAAACGATTAAAGGTTCTGTTAATTAAAAGATTAATAGCCCTGCTCCGCCCCCCCCGCCCCTCCCCTGCCCGCCGTGGGGCTCAGTGGTTGGAGCGCCATCCCGTAACCGAAAGGCCGTGGGTTTGGTTCCCGGGCGGGTGCGTCTCTAGGCTGCGGGTCCCTCCCCAGGCCCGGCGCGGATCCCTGGTTTGGGTGCGTACAAAGGCAACCAGTCTCTTACATTAATGTTTCTCTCTCTCCCTTCTTCTCTCTCTCTAAAATAGCACATGAAAATGTCCTCAGGTGAGGATTAAAAAGTACTGATAGCCTTAAGAATAAATAATTCATGTAAGTTCACAGGCAAACAGAAAGAAAAATGGGCGGTGACACGCAGGAAAGGGCAGGAGTAGGGACTTCCCGAAAGTGGATGCACAAATGACAGCCCTTACAACAACTAAATCATTTTCAGTGAAACAAATGAATTACATTAGTGACATACTACTTTTAAAAACCAAATTAACAAAGTTTTTAAAATTGCAGGTAGCACTTGGAAAGTGAGTTGGTACTGTTGATGCATCATTGTGCCTTTTGTGCAGGAACTTTAAGATTGCTTAGGCCCGGGATCCCCAAACCGCACCGGTAGGCGTTGCAGGAATTCTGAAACAGGTCTGCGTGGGAGAAGCTCCAGGGCTCGCTGCTGGGACGGAAAACGGGAAGTGAGATCACGTGGGGTAGTGGGGTGACAGCGAAGCACTTTGGGGCAGATCTGTGTGAGGGAGTTACTGTACCTTTTATTAACGGTTTTTAATAACATGGTGAACGATCATGAGCAGGGAACAAAGAAGCCACGATTGCGTGCACCGTGCGCTCAGTGACGGTTTTCTCTCTGCAGACCTTGAAGCGCAGTGAAGAACCCGCGCCTGCACTCGGTCTTGCCTTGGGCTCCTCCCTGGGCCGGGCGTGCGTGGCTCCCAGGCTTCTGTGCAGTACGTGGGGGCCGCTGTTTTCCTTCTCGAGGTCGGGCTGGCCCAGAGGCTCTGCTTGTGCTGCCTTAATTCACACAAGGGCAGCCTCTCCGTCTCCCGTTGGCTCGGCCTTGCCCCCGATCACCGGGCAGCTGTACGCAGGGTCTCAGCGCGTGTGGAGGGTGGGGGAGATGAGGCGCGCGCGCGGGCCGGCGACGGGACGTCGCCCGTGAGGCAGCCCCACTCTGGGAGGCGAAACCCCAGCGGAGGCTGTTGTTTCCTGCCCTGCGGCTTTGGTCCCTCTCATCTCCTCTGTCCCCCCTCGGCCGCGGCTCCTCAGATTTCTCTGTCCCCGGCAGAGGACACGCAGCCCTCCCTCTCCCCTGGCTGGCTCCTTCCAGACCCTGCTCTGGGGCCTGTTCCGCGCCCGCGGTCCATCCTGCACTTTCACAAATGCAGACGGTTTCTGCTATGAACAGGCCTGTGCAAGTTTCTGTGTCGATGAACGTTTTCGGTTCTCTTAGGTATGTGACGAGGAGGGGACTTGCTGGGTCATAGTGTGACCTTGTTTAACATTTTGAGGAACTGCCAGAATGTTTTCCAAAGTGGCTGCACCATATTGTATTCTCAGCAACAATATATGAAAGTTATTTGATACTTTTTTGATATGTGACACTTTAAAAACTTCGTAGATGTAAAGAAATTAACTTATTCGTCCACCTTTATCCAAAAACCTTCCTAAATTCACTTTTTATTCTTACTACTTTTATCCTCATTCGAGGACATTTTCATTTGCTCTTTTAGAGGGAGAGAGGAAGGGGGAGAGAGAAACACTGATACAAAAGAAGCATCGATCGGTTGCCATGCACACCCAGCCCGGGGATCCAGACGGGGACCCGGGATCATAGGCGTCTGGGCAGGGCTGAGCCCCCAACCTGGCTAGGTGTGCACCCTGACCGGGAATCGAAACTGCAGCCTTCTGGTTGTGGGATGACGCTCCAGCCACCGAGCCACGTTGGCCCGGGCACGAAAATCGCTTTTCATTCTAATACGTCTCTGTGGCTTCTCTTGGATTATTCATGTACACAGTCTTCTTCCCTCTTCATAATCCTATTTCTTTTTTTTTTTCACTTAAATGTCAGTAATTTGTTAAATAGAAGTCACGAGCATGGCCGTACTTGTCTCCTTCCCAATCTCAAAACAGAGAGCTGAACCCTCCCACTGCTAAGCATGTTGTTTGCTGCGGTCTGTTCGGGGTGCAGGCCTCCTGTGATCAGGGAGGCCCCTGCCAGCGGCGGGAGGTCACAGGCCCTGAGACGGAGACGGCAGGTGGCCGTGCTTCGGTCCCTCGGCTTCGACCGCCCCGCCCACCGCCCTGCCCGCGGCGCCCGTCTGTGGCGACGGCCCTCCCGGTCAGCGCCCGCCCGGCTGGCCTCTGGCTGCTTGCGCAGCGTGCGGGGGTTGCAGGCGGAGCCCGGGGTCCGGCCTGCTGGGGAGCGCCTGAGCTGCCTGTCGGGTCTGTTTCCCGTTTTGCTGTTCTTTCCGCGTCTGTCGCGTCCCGTGAGTTGACGTGGTCTCCTCCCCGCAGGACGACGTGATGATGCCGCAGAGAGTGAGGCTGCAGCTCGACGCTGCCGTTCAGCACCCAGCAAGCGTGAGTGCTGCCGCCCGGTTCTGGGCGCTCGCTGCGTCCGATAAAGTGACCGTTACAGCCTTGTGTTTATTTTTCCTTCTTGGTATGAAGAGACCTGTTTGTTACTGATAACACTTCATTTGGCTAAAACCACGAGAGATCTACACACAGATACTTGGAGAGCAAGTTCTCACAGGCAGTATTTACAGCCGTGTTTTCTGAGGGAAAAAATGGGAAGACAGTGACAGGAACTGTTCAAACAAGGGCAGTTCTGAACTGCTGCTCAGAGTCAGAAAAACCACTGATTCTTTTTCTTTTTTAAAGACTTTATCTTTTTAGAGAGCGGGGAAGGGAGGGAGAGAAACATCCATGCGTGGCTGCCTCTCGCATGCCCCCTGCTGGGGACCTGGCCCGCCGCCCAGGCCTGCGCCCCGCCTGGGAATGGAACCGGCGACTCTTGGCTTCTCTGTCTGGCTGAGCCACACTAGCCTGGGAGAAAAACCATTGCGTCTTAACTGCATGTATTTTACCTGGCGTATGCAGTGATGTGTACAAAGTGGTTATTTTGGCCTGTAATCAGAAGGCCTCACCACCTGCAGATGCAGACGCTTGCTTGAGTGGCTCTTGGGAGATACGCACTGAATTGTACCTTGAACAAAAATATACCAAATAGTATCCAATCCATTGCGGCTCACTTGGATCATCACAGCGTTTTAAGTCCAGATTCTGCCTTGGTGGGAAGAGCTGAGCCAGGGCGACACAGCCCGACCGGTGGGCCGTCTGTGCTGAGTGTGTCTGCAGACACTCCGGAGGGTTTTCCTGCGAAGCAGGATGTGCCTCCTCTTCTGGGCGGCGCGTGCGGCCAGGTGGGCGCAAAGGTTTCTTGGTTTCCTTGTTTCGTTTAATCGGTGTCTCAGAAGCAGTGCACCCTGGGCACGAGAACACAGGCTGAGAGCGGCAGTGTGTCCACTTCAGGCTCTAGGAAACCACGTTCACCGCCCAGGTCGCCTCAGCCGTGTTCCCGTCTTTAGAACAGCTTCCCAGGCGGCCCCGAGCCAGCCTCCCCGGGACCCGTCGTCCTGGGTGCTGGCTGAGGGCGCCCTCCTCAGTGACCGTGTGGGCCCACACTCCGTGGGAGCCCTGTGTGGGGCGGCGGCCGCAGGCCCCTGCTCAACAAAGCACCCCGCCCCGCCCCCCGTGCTCCTCGCTGGGTCCGCTCCTTCTCCTGGTACGGGGTGCATTCGGCTCCCGGGACCGACATGCCCTCCCTGGACCACGAAGGAACAGGCCCCTCAGCTCCAGGGTCGCAGGTCACCGAAGGCCGTCAGGGACCGGCCCAGCGCCCACTGTCTCGGCCTCACATCCTGCTCTGCCCTCGGCCTCTGTGGACACGCGTGTTTCCTCGCAGCCTGGGGTCATCGCTGTCACAGCTCCCATCCCGCAGGCCCGGCCGGCGGGCTTCTGCCCGGGGGCCTGGACCCCACCTGCAGGACACCAGTCCCACGCCGGCACTCCATCTCGCCCGCGGTCCCCATCCCCGCAGAGTCCAGTGCCCCTGCTCCGCGCCCGGCCAGCCCTGGGCGCCTGCGCTGCGCAGGGTCCGCCTGTTGAACCGGGAGTTCCTGGGAACAGGGGTCTCATTGCCATCGTTCTGTGTCTCAGGTGGAAGACTTGTGTCTAGTCGGAGCCCGGCTGTTAGTTGTGTGCTCGGGAAACTGTGAGTGGAGGTGGCGTTAATGGGGTGCCAAGGGAGGGTGCAGGAGGAGGAAGGAACCAGCCAGCACACGGGCCCAGCGCCCCGAGAGCCCAGGCTGGGGCTCTGTGCTCCCCGCAGCAGCCTGTCCGGTGCCAGGCGTGGGGTCATTGCGGCAGGAGTCTGGGTGGTGGGAAGGCAGCCGTGGAGTCTCCGTGTGGCCACAGCTGCCCCGTGGGACATCGTGGACGGAGCCAGCTGGCATGTCGCCCGGGATGGGCTCCCTCGCCCAGAGTCAGTGGTCATGAACTCCAGCCACGTCCGCAAACCCTTCTCCGCACACAGCCAAGTGTTTGAGTGGCTGCCGACAGCAGCCTCCCCCGGGGACAGGAGCCTGACAGGGACGGGCGGGGGCTGCTCGGGGCCGCGAGCCCAGGTCCGAGCTGGAGCCCGGAGCGCGGGGAGGGGCGCCGCCCGCAGGCCTGTCTCCGTGGGCGCGGAAGCCGAGGGGGCGTGAGAGGACCCTGCGCAGGAGTGGCAGGCGCCCCGACGGGGCTCTTTGGCTCCCACCAGACTCTGAAAACGCCGCGAGCCAGCAAAGTCCGAGCACCACGGCGTGTGCAGCGAGGAACACCCAGGCCCCACAGTCAGGCACCCCTGCGTTCACAGCATGGCGGTGTGGTCCCTTCCCTTCTTGTTGGGAAAGGTGTCAGAAAACATGCTCGGACACAGCGCTGGGACAGTTGGCTGCTTGTCCTGGGAGCCACGTGGGAACGTCCAGCTCTGGGCAGTGGACCTGACCTTGAACCTGCAAGAGCCCTGGTCTTCAGACACCACTGGACCCTCCATGGGCGGTTAAACCAGCCTCCAGGGATGCTGACGGGATCCCTCAGTGACGAGAAAGAAGAGAGGGGCCCTGGCTGGTGTCGCTCAGTGGATTGAGCGCCGGCCTGCGGAGCAAGGGGTCGCCGGTCCGAGTCCCAGTCGGGCCACAGCCTGGGTTGCGGGCCAGGTCCCCAGGGGGACATGGATTCTCTTCCTCCCTTCCCCTCTCTAAAATAAGTAAAACCTTTTTTAAAAAAAAGAAAGGGGAGAGTAGACACGAGAACCAGACTGCATGGTCTGGCTCCTCTACTGGGAAGAGAAAAAGGCGCAGGAGGGTGTCCTGGCTGGACCCCTGCTCACAGGCCCACCTGCAGACCTGCTGCCGTCTCGCTCCCTGGCCTGACGGGCGGGACAGTGTCGCCGGCGGCCAGACCCCAGAGGAGCACCCCGGTTTCTCCGGAGTGTAGGTTGCATTTGATGGACCAGTTAAGTGCTGAACCAGCTGTCTTTGCTTTTACCGGTCCCCGCTGACCGTGTAATCCTGTGAAGTAAAGCTGCGCGCAGTCTGCCCCACCAGCAGGACAGCGTGTGCTGGAGCAGCTGGGTGAGCCGCCCTCCGTGAGGCGCCACATCTTCACTCACAGGGACTCGCACGTGGCGGTTCCAAGCATTGGAATGTTTTCCGCAGTGAAACCGCTGAAGCTTTCTTTTAGCAGTGTTCACACTTTGGAGAGAGACTTTCAGATAGGTTGCTTTCCACCTTTTTCATTTTCATACTGAAAAAAGTTAAACATGATTGGCTCATTAATGAAGTTATTTTGGGCAGTTCTGCACACACAGGCTCAAATGCATCACAGTATCTAGGGATAACGTGAAGAATTGAGAAGAAAGGAAGATGTCAGTTTGTCATTAACTTAACTAGAACTACCTTTTCTGCACTTCTATGAAGTTCTAGCTTACAGCTTTTCTTGCTGACCTTCTAGCCACGTTCACATCCGAGAGAAGCCGCCGCCTCCGGCGTGTCCTCCGGGCCCGGCGGCCGACGCTGTGCCCGAGGGCCCGTGCTGTGCGGGCTCCCAGCAGGGACCAGCAATGTCCTCCCAGCTGCATTGGAACAAAGCCGCTATAGAGAGCTCATTACTGTGGGGCTGGGCTTTTTTTAAAATCATGACCTACAAAAATCTTAATTTGCAGTTGCTGGTTGGTGGTTTGTCAATTATATTGTATATATAGTTTGGAAAGAATGAAATGAATGGTAAGTGTAGGCTTGCCCTTGGTCGCTGTTTTTAAGGCCAGTTACAAGGAAACCATTTAACTCTGAAGGAAAGGCCCCTGGTAGCAGCTTCCATAGACGGCGCAGCAGCACATTCTCTGCAGAACTTCGGGGCGTCCTGGGGCGTCTGTCCACCGCGTACTAAAACCTCCTGAGCAGAGACCGGCTGTAGGACAGGAGGGGGCCCCTTTCCAAGGGGTGCAGCATCCTGGGGTGTTTCCAGCACAGACTGACGGCTCCTCTGCCGTGGCCTGGGGACAGAGGGGCCCTTGAGGGGGGACGTTCCTGACCCCAGCGAGTCCCCAGGGAGCACCCCGCCAGTCGGCTCTGAGTTGAGGGGATGCTGGGCGGTGGCGGCAGGAGCCGCCTCCTCTGCGGAGGCCCCGGGGCTGCGGGCGAGGCCGGCCCCGTGCTGCCCTCGGCCTGCTCCTGGGCACTGACCGCACGCAAGGCCTGGCAGCCACGGCGGCCTCGGCCCTGATGCCTGAGGTCCTGTGTGGGGCGAAAGGGCTGGTGTGTGTCCCCCGTGCCATCCCCAGAGAGCAGGCTGCCCGCCCCGTGGGCTCTGGCCGTGGCGGAGCGGCAGAGCGCCCTGTGGGGGCACGGGAGACAGGCTCGGTGCGCGCCGCAGGTGCCTCTTCAGGGAGAAGGGTCCGTGCACCTTGCCTGTCTGACCTGGGCTCCAGCACAGTGTTCCTTTGAGAAACGGTCAAAGCCAGTGAAACCTCCTCCACTTCCTCATTTGTGGACCATGCTCGCGGTGACTCAGTCTCAGAGTCGTGGCTTCAGAAGCGCCAGGTTCCCATGGCCCCCACCTTATCCTCCTCCTCGACGTGAGACCCACCCGGCGTGGCTCCAGCCTTCATCAGCGGCGGTGGCGGAGGCTGCTCCCGTCCAGAAGGAGCCCGTCCGTGACCCGCACAGGAGACCGAAGCAGTGGACAGTGGGAACATGTCTTGGTCAGATGGGCTGTGGGGAGACTTACACAGGGCAGGGCAGTAACCCTCGAGCTGGTCTAGTTCACAGCCTTTTTAGCATGTGTGTTTAGGAGAGCCATACGAAAGTCTCACAAACAGAACTCGGCAATATGCACAAAGAACGCACACCTGTGGGCAGGTGTGTCTTACCGCAGTTAGAAAACGGACAAGAGACGTGAAAAGACGTTTCACCAAAGAGATGGACGGACGGCGAATAACCCTGTGGGAGGAGGTTTGACGTCACAAGCTACAGGGGAGCTGCGAGTTAAACCACAGAGAGCCTTCCCTGCACACCCACGGGAAAGGCAAAACTCACCAAACGCGAGGACGCTCAATGCTGGCGAGTGCCGGGGGCGCGGGGCGGAGGGCGGTCGGGCCGTTTCCTGAGAGAGTCAGACCTGCGCCTCCCGCCTGAGTGGCCCAGCCGTCGCAGTCCTGGAAGACTTGTGCTCCCACAAAAACCTGTCCGTGAATGTTTGTAGCCAACTAAAAGCACTTACTAACAAGGGGACTCAGAAGTAACAGTACTTAATAATATTCAGCCCCCAACTGTAGCAGGTGCAACAAACTGGTTAATCTGTAGCCTGGACTATTTTTCAGCTGAAAGAATAAACTATGGTTACAACAGCCTGGAATCTCCAGAGAATTGTGGAGCAGGAGGAAAACTCGGTCCCCAAAGGCAACGCACAGCACGATTCGTTCCACGCCCTTGGAAAGCTCCGTTGCTGGTGAAGGAGGGGTGGGCGTGGCTGTGAAGGTGCTGGGACCCTGTGTCCCCAAGCTCCTGGGTGGCCGTCCACTGTGGTTTTCACGATGAGAGAAACCATGTGAGGGGCACACAGATCTCTGTATTTTTTCTCACTACACGTGAATCTACCAGTTTATCAAAAGTACAATTAAAAACCAACAACAGAAACATCAAGCAAAACTCTCAAACTTGGGAGACAACTGCATTATGTAAATGAGTCACTAGGAGTTACAGGGGAGACTTTTGGTGCATTCTTATGCAGTGATGGAGGCCTTACTGACCGCTGATTGTCCTTGCTGGTTCCTCACTGGTCCGCGAGGCGGAGACGGTGCAGTCGTGGGGACCAACGTCAGCGTCGTGCCTGAGGTGGGCTCTGTGAGATCCTCATGGGGCTTCTGAGGGCCCCAGCGCCTCACCAGGGGGCAGACACCCCCCAGAAGCCTTCCCCCAGCTGCAAAGCAGAGAAAGGCCCAGTTCTCTGCCGTCATGGCCGGGGGCCGCTGGTGTCTGAGGACGGGGACCCCCGACCGCTGTAGCAGGGACCGCCCTTGACAGACCCGCCGCTGAGCCATCGCGATGCGCGGCGCGCAGACCCTTCAGCAGTGCGGGCGCCCCACCTAGATCAGGGGCTGCAGGGGGCGGGTCCGGGGTGCGAGGCGGGGCGGCCGCCCAGAGGCAGGGCCAGGCTTCGAGCACGGAGGGAGGGCGCCACGCAGCCGACGAACTCACCTGGGGCGCAGCGTGCGTCGGGCAGCCTGGCAGCCTCGACGAGGGAGGCGGCCCTGGGGAACGTGAGCTCCGAGCGCTGGAGAGGCCCCTGCTTTCAGGAGGCGAGGGAGGGACTGGTCGGTGTGGCTGGCTGCCCCAGAGGCGCAGCGGGGGCCTGCTCCTTGTGTCTGCTCTGAGTTGAGGCTCAGGAAGAGCGTTTCTGGAAGCAGTTGGGTGTTTGAAGTCGTGTGTCGCTCACCTGAACGTGAGTGTGTTACGGGGAAGCGCGATCTGTGACGAACACGACAACGGTGCCCGCGGAGCCCTGCCTGGCCCGCCCCCTCACGCGGAAGCTCTGCCCAACCCAGCCCCCAGTGCCGGCTCATGCCAGGCGAGCGGCAGACGCGCACAGGTGTGCTCGCGGGAGCTCACGGGGCCTTTCTTGTGTGTCACAGATCATAGGTTGCCAAGTGACGAGAGAGCCCCCCAACTCCACGGAACGATACACGCGCTGGATCAACCAGCTGACGTCGGACCAGCTTCTCACCCAGGTACCTGTTGCCCAGACTGGGAGTTGGCCGGGCCTCCCTGGAGGGCGTGCGTCTCATGCTGAGAGCCTGGGCGTGGCTCATCGTTTCGGCACCTGGTTTGCCCACCTCTGCCGTGCCAGGTGCTCACTGGAGGGGGACAGCGGTTCAGAGGAGGTGCCCGGGCAGGAGGCGGGGCCAGGGGGCTGCTCTGGGAGGGAGCGGCGCCGTCTGGGTGGGGGTGGGGCTGTCCACAGGCGGTCAGCTGCTGGCCTTGAGCTGCGAGGAGGCCTGGGCTGGAACCAAACTGGAAGCCACCCGCGAGCGGTGTGGGGCGGCCGGGACAGCCAGCAGGACGGGGCAGGTCCTCACACAGCGGTTCCTGTCATCCCACTGCAGAAAGAAGTACTTTTTCCTGAACTGATTTTAAAAACAGAAAGCTTGGTATAACGGAACGGCTGGTGTGGTAATTAGCATCTGAAATCAGAGCTGCTCATGACCGGACACGCCACGAGGCAGAGAAGGCCCTGAGTGTGCCACGCCGGGCTCGCACGTTCCTGCCCTCGCGGTCCCGTGTCTCGCGCTGGGGGCGATCTGTGTTTGTCCGGTGCCTGGTCACTGGGTTTTGCCTCCCAAACCTGCATCACTAGCTTTCATGTTCTGTCCGCAACACGCAGGTTCACACACACAGCATGCTGGCACCCGGGTGCACTTTTTCACACTTTGAGGTGAACATCTCTTAACGGCCTTTTCTAGGTAAGAGCGGGGAAGGCGCGGGGAGGCGGGCGCGCCTCCCCGCTGCTCCTACAGCCTTCGGGGCGGCGGCTCCCACTCACCGTGCGTCGCCTGGCGGGGGGTCCTCTGGCGGCAGCTGGCAGGCCCTGGGAGTGCGAGGCCGGGCTCGGGGGCAGCCGCCCCCCTCTGTGAGCGCCGGGGTCTGGGGGGGCCCAGCCTGGCGCACAGGGTGCTGCCACACCGTCTCCTCTGAGTCCCCGCATTGCCTGCAGGGCGCAGCGTGCAGCTCTGAACCACCACACCTGCGTGTCCACACTGGGACATGCGGCTGAGGGTTCCGGCCGCACGCTCCCCTGGGGGGAGGCCTCGCCAAGACGCTAGTCGCCCCGGGGACCGGCCCCGTGCTTCCTGGCCCCTCCTCCACTCGGAGGGGTTGGCCCCCCACGCACAGACTCCTTCTTGGGATGTGCGCTCACGGTTTCTTCGTATGTTTTCCTGAACGAAGAATCACAGCTGACTCGGTGGGGTCCCTGCCCAGGGTCCCCTGCTTTCGGGCCTGTGGGGGCTGCTGGGTGGGAGGGGCAGGCGCTCTGCACGGGGTGCCCTGGAAGGGCACTTCGGGGCCCAGGCTGAGACCCAAGAAAGGGGCAGGTCGCCCAGGGAGAGAGGCTGCTGAGCCGGACTCCTGCCCGGTGCCTGGCTCTCTGGTAGCGTGAGACTCACACGGGACGTGTGTGACTACAGTTTAAAGGCAGCAGGCACATTTGTAGCCAGAAACACGAGTTCTGAGCTGAGGGCTAGGCCAGCAGGAGACCTGAGCGGGTGAGCATCACAGAAACAATGAAGGCAGGACACTCCTGAATGGTTTTCTTCAGCAAGTTAGGGGACCTTAAAGTCTGAGGTTTCTCAAAATAAACTGAAAGATCATCTCTCGCTGACGTTGCTCCTTGACCATGACAGTTGCGGGGAACCTCCACCGCTATGTTAATGAGGCGAATCGCCACCAGGGGGGGCCTGTGTCCACAGTCTCCACACCCACCGCCTTTGTAGGGTCTGGAGCTTGAAGTGCAGGAAGTCACGTGGGGGCCGCCACGGCAGGCGAGCAGGGAGGTGGTCAGCTGGCCGCTCCGAACGGCCGGGGCTTGTGCCGCCCTGGAAACGTGCCCACTGCAGGCCTTCAGCGCGGAGCTGTGCCCGAGGGAGCCGCGTCTCCTGGGCCGCGGGAGGGAGCAGAGGGGAGGCCAGGCCAGGCCCCTCCCTGCCTCTGAGGCTGCGCTGGGGCGTCCAGCCCTGCTGCCTGGCTCCGCACTGAGACAGGGTGGGAAGCGCCCCGCGCCCCTTGCGGGGGGTCCGTGCTTCCCGGTGTCCCCACCTGCTTGTGCCGTCATAACCAAAACCACAGGCACGCACTCCTCCCAGTTCTGGAGGCTGGAAGTCCCAGGTCACGGTGTCTGCGGGGCTGGTTTCTCCTGAGGCCCCCTCCTGCCCGTGTCCTCGTTCCTGGGGTCTCTTCGTCTTCCTGGGAGGACACCAGCCCTCGGGCCCCACTGACAACCCCCTCCCTCCATGCAGCCCCAGTGGACGTTAGGGCTGCCACGTGGACTCGGCCCACAGCACTCGGCCACACTCCTCAGACCCCGTGGCTTGTCTCTGCAGACGCCAGGCGGCTCCGCCGGCGAAGGCTTCCAGCCCACGTGGGCCAGGGCCTCGGACTCTGCCGGTGGCACCTGTCCTTCTAGAGCTCCGGGCACGACTTTCCATCCTGTCAGCGCCGGTCACCTGATCGCAGGCTGGCTGACAAAAGCGCTGGCCATGGTTTTCGGCTTGGGGCACCGTGTGCTTCCTCCGTGCCGGGGAGGACCCAGGAGAGAGAAGCGGGGGAGCTGGAGAGGGTGCCCGTGGGTGGAGGTGAGAGGCCGGCCGACCTCATGGGGTCAGAGCAGTGGCAGCGGGGTGGGGGCAGAGGCAGGCTGGCCCCGGACGGTCTCCCCTGTGTCCTGGCCCCGAGGTCCAGGGCTACGGCCACGCTGCTGAGAACGCACTACTGCCTTGGTCCCGACTGGGCCCGCCCAGTCCGTCCAGCGCGGCTGCCCTGGGCCGGTCGCTGCCCCAGAGGCCGGGACGCCCGCCAGCCGAGGCACCTCTGCGGCCCAGTGTCACTTCCGCAGAATGTGAAGGTTCCGGCACAGCCCCCAGAGCCTTCAGGGCCCAGTGCTCTGGGGCAGGCCCACCTGAAGATACGCAGCAAAACCAAGGTAACTCCGGGCCAGTTTAGAAGGTGGGGTGCCGATGCGCAGGGGACTCCCCTCGCCTTTGCCCCATCGGGCCCTGAGACGCAGGCGGAGCTTCTCCGTCCTCAGCGGCGGCCACAGCAAGACAGTCTGAGCCGCCTGGTTTGTGTAAACCCGTGAGATCTCACGGCCTCATTTATCTCAGTGCGTCTTTTCCTAAAACGTTTGTTCCTCAAGCTCAGTGGGTGTCACCTAATTCTAATCAGTCAGCATTCGTGAAACGTAACATCTGACACACCCTGACGTGGACCCAGCTGCAGCGTCTCCCCTCCTTTCTCGTGTTAAGGGAGTGCCGGGGGTCCGCTTACACGGGCAGCAGTCGGCCTGTCGGACGGCGGGCGCTCACCGCTCCCTGTGCCGTTCCTGGGGAGGGAGCCTCTCACTCGCGCTGCGGCTGTTAAACCCAGACGCCACATCCACGTTTATTCTCGCTGCTGTGGGGATGTTTAAATGTCAGGATACTGGAAACTTGTCATCTGTCTAAAGATAGTCTTCCAGCAAGTTAGAATTTAGAAATAAGGAAGAGAAGCCACAGAGCTCTGGGGATGACTCGCCTAAACTTCGCTCTTGTTCTGGACGCGTCGCGTCGCTTTCTGCTGAGATGCAGCTGGTGGGGTCTGGGAGTTTCTCTAAATGCTTCGCGCGCTCAGGCCAGGGCTTCTCCTTTTTAAATATAAGCTGAACTCATTTTAAATCTCTAGTCCTCACTTTCTCTTCCTTTTAAGTGCTGAAAGCATTGACAAGTGCCCGTCGGCACCCACACGTCGCTCCTGGGCCTTTTCTGAAGGCGGCTGACGGGTTGGCTGGTGCCGCATCGGAAGCGCCTTGGGACAGGCTTTTTGCGTGTGGGTGCGACATACACTTTGTGTTCGTAACCGGCACTTTCTGTTGGCGCAAAACACGGGGAGGGCCCCAGGCTCCCCAGAACAGGGGCCTGGACCTGCGAGGCCTCACGTGGGGACCGTTCTTAGGGACAAAATTCTAAGAAACGGGGTTATCTGATTTCTCAGCTGGTGACACAAGTGGGGAGTGACGGCTGGAGAACGAAGAGGAGACAGAAATCGATGAAATGGGTTAGAAAATCCAGCACCAGCCTCTCGGTAGGGAAGGGCGTGGCCTTGGTGATGGGGGGGGCCGCGGTGAAGCCTGGCTCCGCGTCCCCTGGGGGAAGCAGCTGCTGGCAGAGCCTCGGGGCTCCGACAGGAACCGGGACCGCCGTGGCCCAGAGCGCCCTCTGCTGGGCTGCATGGAGTGGCATCCGTCTGGTGTCATCTGCGCAGCAGGTTCATTACCTGTCATTTACCAGCACGTGTAAGAACGTGCAGAGTCAAAGTGAAAATATTCACGCTTTTGGGCCTATTTCATTTGGGTTCCAAGAGCCCTGAGTCTGTTGGGGGCCGTCTCTGTGATTTCTGCGTCGTGTTCGCTGGCAGACCCCAGCGGTGGGGGAGACGGGCTCAGCGGTGAGTCCACGGAGCAGTTTTCATGAAAGTCGAAGCCGAAGGTCCACTCCTCGCCAGTTGGCCACGGCTGGGCAGGTTGCCGTGCGGCCTGCTTTGTAAACAAAGTTTGACTGGTGCACAGCCAGGCCACTGGCGTCCGTAGTGCTCGGGGCTGCTCTTCAGGGAGCCAGCAGAGCTGCGTGCCTGGGCTGCGCGTGCAGCCGAGGCGCCCGTACCTGGCTGGGAGGCCGGCGGGGGTCTGCAGTCCCCAACTGTCCTCGTGTCTCCCGGGGGAAGTCGGGGCCTGGCAGGGAGGGCGGAGCCGGGCGTGGAGGCAGCTGCTCTTCCCATGTGCTTATTTTTACGCCAACCTTCACACTGTATCTTTTCAGAATGTTTTAGACACGTGTCATGCGTGCACGGCACTCCCTGTCCCTCACGAGGAAGCAGGCTGGGCGGGTGGGGTGGGTGGTGTGATTCCACGGTCTGCACCCTCCCCCCCCACGTGGCACCCAGTCGCCGCGAGCAGAGCCTCTCACACAGGTGGCAGGGGCCGTGGTGTCCTGGCACATTCCGGGGGCCGGACCTCGAGAACCAGGGGGTGGGGGGGCCGGCATCGCGGCCCCCCAGGTGGCCTCTCCTGGTCCTTGCTAGTTGGGTGCTGGCCTCTGCCACCACTGAGCGCCTCGTGCAGCCACCTGGGGTGTCCTTGTGTGGGGGACAGCGCGGCAGAGGAAGGTGAAAATGTTTCCTAGGAAGACTCTTGTCTTTGAAATTCTGTGAGTGCACAGCCTCCTTCCATCTCTCACCTGCCACACGCCCACCTTCAAAGAGAAACAAGTCACTCAGCAGAGGTGTTTCTCCTCCTTCCCCCCCTCGTTTAACTGGCTCTGACGATGTGCTGCCTGATCGGCCGCTGCTGGTGCCGCCCTGGCCTCTGGCCCGGCCGAAGCCGAGGCTCACCCGGTGCCCCGAGTAACACAGGGTTGTACGGCCGCGGCCCCAGCTGAAAGGAAAGCTGCCGTGGTGTGTGTCGTGCGAGCCGCTTAAATGGGAGCCAGCCAGCCTCCTTCCTGCCGGGGAACGCACAGGTGCCGGAGGAGACGAAGCCCCAGGGTGAACGCGGGCCGGCGGGCTGTGCCGTCCAGCGGGCTCGGGTTATTCATTCTTACCTGGCCTTCCGTCGAGAAGGACGCTTTCTCGGGCACCCGCTGTGTGTGGTGGAGTGGCCGCTCCCTCTGCGAGTTAGGAGCGCTGAGAAGTGAACATGAACTGCTTCCCTGAGCACCAGGGGTCACCCAGTCGGGAGGAGGCAGCCCGCAGGGCTCTTGAAACAGATGGGAGGGCGTCCTCACGGGCCGGCTGGTCCGCTGCGCACCAGCACCGCCTCCCGGAGGGAGGAGCCTTGGCGGCCGCGAGCGGCTGTTGAACGGCGAGAGCACGGAGAAGCTTGAGAGGCCGTCAGGACAAGCCCGTCCGTCCTTGTGCTGATGGGGCTAAAAGAAATGGCCCCCGAGTTGTGCTTTCTTCACTCTGTTTGTTTCATTTCTGTCCTTTTGTTCCCTTTGCCCCTAAGATAATACAGGAGCGCGTGTCCGGCCGTGCCGGTGCGTGTGCTGGAGCCGGGACACAGGTGCCGGGGGCGCCCGGGCCTCTGCTGCTTTCCTGTCGCCCAGCGCGGGGGGTCCCTCACGAGCAGCGGCTGGGCTGGCCCGGCCCCTGTGTCCTGCCCGCGGCCTCTGCGCCGTGTGTGCCGGACACTGTCCATCCGGCGGTCAAGTCCCTTGAAACCTTGTACCACAGGCAAGGGACACGCAAAGCGGCCTGTCACTTTCTGACTACGCGTCGTGGGAAGTGAATTAGTGTGCCTGTGACAGGCTGTTCTCTCACACCTGCCGGTGTCCATCGCTTCCAGGTTTTTACCTCCAACGGCCCGACTGTGATCATGCCCACCTGGTTCTGCTCGCGAGCGTGGTTTTTGCACGTGGGCCCGTTCGACGAGGGCGGGCGGGTAAGTGCGGCTGCCCCTCTGGGGCCCTCCCCCTGCCCGCGCGTAGGATCCAGGGGCGAGGAAACGGCTGTCTGCGACGGCCCTGCTCTGCTGAGCACCCGGAGCGCAGCTGGGCCGGGGCACCGCGTTTGTTTTGCCAAAAGCAGGGGATTTCTGTGTGAAGGCGGCGGCGCCCTGGCCCAGGCCCCGGTTACCTCATCCTGGGTGGGACGCTGTTGGTGAGAAAGCTTCGGATGTGGGGGAGGGGAAGGTTAGCGGGGGCAGGGCCGCCGGCTCCCGCCCCCTGGGAGGCGGCCACCGTGCAGTCCTGCGCAAACCGGGCAGAAGCTCGGCCCCCACGGGCCTGGACGTGGCGGCCTGGCTGCTGACCTGCCCACCGGTCCCTCTGCAGCCGAGACTGGACACTTGACGTCTGATTGACGAGGAAACCGCAGGCCCCGGCCGCTGCGGCCCCGCCGGTGGAGGGCCGTCCTGGGGACGGAGAGGCTGAGGGCGCAGCGCCCGTGGGAGGTGCAGGGCGGCGACCCCTGGTGTTTCTCTCTCCTGTCGATGTTTCTGCCTCTCAGAAGGCAAGCCTTAGGGTTAATTAGTGTATTTTCCCTTAACCTGCCCCCCCCCCCGACAAATGGGTTTTGAGAACTTGGGGCCTGGTCTCCATGGCCAGAGGGGTGGCCAGGCCGCCACGGCCCTTCGCCAGCCCCTTCCAGCTTGGAGAGCTGTGCGCTGTCGCTGGGCCCCAGCGACGTCCGTCCGTAGGCCGGGGCCCCTGGCCGCGCGGCCCGCGCACACGCACACGCCCAGGCAGAGGGCAGGCGACGCAGGCAGCGCCTCGGACACGGCCCGTTCTCCCCCCCCCCCCGCAGGGCGTGCCCGAGGACCTGCTGTTCTTCTACGCGCACCTCCGGAAGGGCGGCGGGGTCGTCCGGGTGGACCGCAGCCTCCTCCTCTACCGCTACCACCCCAGTGCGGCCACTCACACCATCCTCGAGTACGCGGGGCCGGGGCGCTCTGGGCTTCGAGGGGCCAGTGAGCTAGCTTGGGAGGGAGCCCACAGGTAGGAAGAGACTTCGGGGGCTTCCTCCGCGGCCGAGCCACACCCTGCTCGGGGGCCAGGAGGTGGCCGGCCCGCGCCCGCCTTCCCTCCCCTCCTCACTGCGGGTGGGCGGGCAGGGGACGTGCCGAGGCAGCAGGCTGAGGGGAAGGTAGGTGTCTCGACTGCTTCGCGTTGAACGGCCCGCGCACGTTTCCTCACAGTGACGGTGTGTCCCTCGGCCCCTCACCAACCCACTGTGTTCGCTTTGGGGACAGGAAGGAAGGGGCCCTTCCAACAGGCCTGCTGTCAGGGGACCTCTGAGCCTGAGGTCCTGGAGGCCAGCTGGCGCCGTCCCTGGAGGCTGAGGGACTTGTCGGGGGTTGTGGCTTCTCAACTGGGACCCTCTGTCCTGGGGGGTGGCAGCGCGGCCCCACGGCGGGGAGGGGAGCAGCGCAGGGCGGCGACGCGGGGGCCCCAGACGCTCCGCTGTGTGTCCCCCGGGGACCCTGGGGCGGGAGAGCGCGGGGCTGACCCCCCGCCGGCCGGCCCAGGGTGGGGCAGGGGCCGCGTGTGGCGGACCGCCCCATCCCGTCTGCGTGTGGGGCTTGTCTTTGACGTCAGGGCCTTTTCCCCTGACTCTGCAGCGTGAGGCCCTGCCACCCACAGCAGACGTGACCTCATGCAGTTTCGGTGTGGGATTAAGGGCTCTGAGCGGAGTGGGAGGACCTCACAGAGCGATGAGCTTAATTACAGCCTCGGGGGCGTCAGGCGCTGGCTCCCCTCCCCCCCCCCCTCCCCCCTCCCCCACCTCCCTCCTCCCTCCCCTCCCCCCCTCCCCCCAGCTGCTCCGCTTCTTGTCCTCTTTAAAAGGAGAGCGGTCAGCCCGTGCTTCATGCAACAACTTTCACTGAAACCCCTCAGGCACCCGGAGGCATAAAGGAAAGTCTTTCAAATGAAAGGGGACCCACCTGCCAACCTCCTGCTCTCCCCAGGCCCCGCCTCTGGCCGAGCCACGCGGCCCAGGGCCCTGCCGCCCGCGGCCTGGCGTCGACCGCTCCTCCACGTCCTCACCCTTGGCTTTGGGTTCTCTCTCTCAACAGCACCCTCACACCCTGGAGAAGTTACGTAAACGGTGGCACCCCGCTGCTGCCCCCGACGCTGCCTCTGTGCTTAGCTGTAGTCGCGTTCAGCCGGCTGGGGTCCCGGGGGCTGTCTTCCCCGCCGGCGTCTCGCTGGCTCGCGCTGCCGCTGCCCGGTGCAGCCGGACGCTGCCACGCCTCCCCGGAAGGCTCTGGAGGCGCCCCTCTGCGGGTCTGGGGAAGCCTGTACACCGGCCCCTGCGTGGCCCAGCCCGGGGGCGCGGACACTGCGCCCAGAGCAGGTGCAGAGGGCCCATCAGAAGCTGAAACGCGCTGGGCACGGGCCCCCGGGAGGGCGCGCCACCCCGCTGGGCCGCGCCGCGGGCATGCGGCTCGCGTCTGCGGTGTCTTCGGACAGGAGGCCCCGAAGGCCCGGGGGGCGCGGGGAGGTCGCTCGCTGCCCGCGTCCCTCGGAGCCTTGTTCTCCGCCTGCACCGAGACCCACCGTCGGTTCCGTTCCCCCGCCACAGAACCCCTTAGGGGACACCCGCCCCACTGCCACCCCACCCCCCACCCCGGGCCTGGTGGCCGGCCGCCCCGTGTGTGGGCCCCACACGGCCCCCCCGAGGCTTTGCGCTGAGCCTGGCTGGCAGCTCCGAGGTCTGGCCTGGGCCTTTCCACATCCTTGTGAATGTCCAGACACCACGGGGCGCCTTGCTGGGGGTTTCCCTCAACACACACCTCGAGTTGGAGAAAACTGGTTATAAACAGAAGCAGCTGAAGTCCCAGAAAAGGCCAGACCCTGAGCTGAGCAGAGGCCTCGTGCCTGCAGCCCCTTCTCACTGCTCGCCCTCGTTGGCAGGGACCCCGGGCGCCCCGTTGCTGCCCAGCCCGGGCCCCGGGCCCCGCAGGCCCCACACCGCACCTCCTGGCACTGGGCTGTCCCCCCCGCGCTCCCTTCCTGGAAGGGGGAGGTGTCAAAAGCGACCCAAAAGCTGTCTCTTCCTCGCTCAGGATTTCAGGAATCTGCTAGAACTCACTTGCGTTAAGCTCACTTTCCTTTTGTTCTTAGAAACTTCCCATTTTCTTGGTTGGTGGCAAAGCTGTGCACACGGAGGCCAGGCCCGCGCGTGGTGTGTGGTTGGCCTGGAGGGTGCACAGCTCATGCGTTTCTTTCTGAAACGAGGTGTTAAGTGGCCAGGATTAGGGACTCAGCCTCTCCCAGTGCCAGTGCCCCCCACACTGCAGCCGCCGACCGCAGGGTGACACGGTCCAGGTAGAGCAGGGGGCGGGCAGACAGGCGCAGGGGGCGTCCAGCAGCCGGGAGCTGCCTGGCAAAGGCGGTTCCTCACCTGACACTGCGTGTGGTTAGAACAGGCTACGCCGGGACCGCCGAGCGTGCTGGTCTCCCCGCCTCGCTCGGGGCTCTGGCAGGGGCAGACCCGTGGCCAGGCCTGGACCTGCGCGTCCCCAGGCCGCGCAGGGCCGGGCGGGGGGGCCTGGCCTGGAGGAGACACCCTGGCCCCCCGGCCGCTTCCATGGAACACCGAGCGGTGCGGTCGCTTGAAGGGCGTGTCCAAGTCCCCCTGCTTGAGTTTACGGCGGTCACGGGCGCCCAGCGGTGGGGCAGCCCTGTCTCCCGTGGGCTCCGCAGGGCCTGTGCCTGGCACCTGCCGCGGTCCCTGAGGGTGGGCACTGAGAGGGGTCCTGGCAGGTCACCCCAGGTTCACGCAGTCAGCCGACAGCAGGTGATGCCGAGTGCGGGGGGAGGGGTCAAAGCGGGCAGTGCGCCTGCCACCCTGAAGTACGAAGACCAGGGAACGTGGCCAGGGGCCCTGCCAGGCTGGCAGGGAGGCGAGGGGGGATGGGCCGGGTCACAGCCTTCCCCCACAGGGCCACCATCTGGACCCTCCGCGTCCGCTTCCTGGAAGAACGGGCCTTGCCACACTGGGCGACCTTCACCATCTGGAACGCAGGCAAGCAGGGCCGCCGACTCTACCGCAGCCTCACGGCAGAGGCGCGGCGCAAGGTGGGCACCTCCGCCCCCGCCCCCGCCCCCCACGCCCAGCAGCACCAGCCGAGGCCAGCGTCCCGTGTCTTCCCCCAGGTGGTCGCCTTCTGCGACGTGGACGAGAACAAGATCAAGAAGGGCTTTTACTGCTACGAGGACTCTCAGGTGCGTGGGGCCCCCGAGCGCCCCCGGGGGGGAGGGCCGGGCCGTGCACACTACGCCTGGCCGGCCTCTAGCGCGCTGTCCTGGGCTTTGTGAGTGCACCCCCTGGGAAAGGCCCAGGCAGCTGGCAGACCTGGCAGGCGCGGCCCCTGGACTCGTGGGGACTCGGGGGCCGCGGAGCTACCAGCCGCCCACCCCCGTCCTCCCACCTGGTCTCCCCACTGCCCGCCTCGGCTTGGCTCTGCGGTGGCTGTGAGCTGGCCGGGCGGCGGCGGCAGGGCTGGGCGCAGCCCTGCGCGTCCAGCTGAGTGGCGTGGGGTGCTCTGCGGGAGGAGCGCCAGCAGGAGCCCCACCGCCCCGTCTCTCAGGAGAGGCCCAGGCCCCGGGTGCCTGTCCTGCACTTCCGCGCGGCCCGGCCGCCCTTCGTCATCTGCGTGAAGCTGGTGAGTGCTGGGCTGTGGCCGTGGGGCATCAGGGCCGTGTGGCTGGGACCAGCCCTGGGTCGGGTGGGGGGGGCAGGCAGCTGCTCTGGGGGCCGGGCCAGACCCAGGCGCCGCCAGCCAGGCCTGGGGCCCCCCAGGCTGAGGTGGGAGGCGGCAGCCACGGCGCCCCCTGAAACAGGCTGTGTTTCGGTGAAACCAACACCGATTCCGTCTGCGGCCACAGGGCGTGGCGGCCACACAGCTGCGGCGGCCGCTCAGCTCCGGGCTTTGGGTTGGGGTCCCCCGGCAAGCGGCCAGGACCCCACTCTTCTCACTCGCCCGTGGCTGGGTTGTTGAAGCCACTTTTTCGGGGTATTGTCCCACCACCGAGTGCCCCACATGACGACACCTATCGGTGGGCCCTGGGGTCACCTCGGGGACGTTGGAGGACCATGTGAGGCCTGGACAGAGCCCGCCTGCTGGGTGCCAGCCCCGGTGCCAACCCCGCCTCTGCCGTGGGGGCGGGGACAGAGTGGGGGCCGGGCGGGGACCTGTGGGCCGTTTCTGTCCCCAGGGCTGCTGCCCACTTTTGGCCCCTGGAGGCTCCGGCGTGAGTTGGAGGAGGGAAACGGGGTCTGCCCTGGACAGGGAGCCGGGGCGGCTGCCCCCTCGGGGGGGCACTGCACCAGGCTGGCGGCAGCGTCTCTCAGGCCGCCACCTCCCACCAGCGCGCGGAGGGATGCTGTGGCCGACCGCCTCCAGTGTCCTGTCCGGGTGCCCCCCACCCCAAGCAGAGCTGCAGCAGTTCAGAGCGGACCTCCTGAGAGCTGGCTGCAAGGGGCCCCAAACCTGGAGGCAGGCTCTGGGGGCCTCGGGTGTGGGCCAGGGGAGGCCCAGGTGAGCCAGGCCTGCTGCTGCTCCCACAGGACCTGACCGGGGGTGCGTTTGAGGACAACCTGAGGTCGCTGCACCTGCAGGAGGGCCGGGACTTCCTCCACTTCAGCTGACAGGCCCACAGCAGCCACGGCACCAGGCAAGTGACGCGGGCTAGAGGGCAAGCCGGGAAGGGCAGCCCCGTGTGGAACCCATGGGTGGGCCGTGGCAGCTAGTGCGTGGCAAAGCCTGTGTGCAAGGGGCTGGCCCGTGGCCCGGCAGGCGTGCGATCCCGCCCCCACCACGTGCCTGGCACACTGAGCGCACCCCAGACCAAGGCACGGAGCAGGTCCTCTGCCACCCCGTCCCCCAGAGGACTTCCGGGTCGCACACCACGCGGTGACGGCATCAGGGATGGCTGGCCAGGATCCTGGCAGACAGGGCCACCCTGTACCCGTCTGGGTGGACGTGAGCTCATCCGTTCCAGGGACCACCCAGTGCCGCAGCCACTGCAGTGACTTCAGGAGACACGGGTCACAACGGGTCACCTGCAAGAACAGAGCAGGGCAGGAAACGGGACATCACTGACCGGGTCTCGCGCTCACCGTGACGGCCATGGTTCATCACCTGCTCTCTGCTGCTGGCTACAGCGTGAGCTGGGGGCACCCGCGGCTTCCCCTGACCCCTCCCCTAGACTCGGGTGGGCTCCAGAAACCACAGCTGCACAAGGTGTTCGCAGCCACCGGGCGCCGGGGGCGAGCGACAGCCAGTGGGGCCGTCGTGGCCGAGGGTGCGCGGAGGCAGCGGGACGTTGTCTGCTGGCCGGCAGGTCCACTCCGCGCCCCCCGGGTCACCGGGAGGCCAGCACTGCAAGAGAGATGGCTTCGCGCCGGCGTCACCGACGGGCCGATGTGGCGGGCGCGCCCGTCCCTGCGACGGGGGAGGCTGCTCTCTCTTGTGGGGGTTCACCCGACACCCCGGGTGGTTCACTCTGTTCCTTCTCAAAAGCTGCTGGCTTGGTTTTCGGCAGCCGAGGTCCAGAGGCTGCTCAGCAGGCCCTGTCCCCCGACCCCCACCCGCTGCGTCTCCTGTACCTGGTTCGTGTGGCCACCTTGCCCCCGCGTGGCCCGAGGCTGGTCATCCAGGACCCTCACCAAGTGGCCTCTGCCAGTCGAGGTGCCTCCAGCTAGTCTTTCATCTAAAATGGAAAACTCCCTACTTGAAACTTCCAAGAGGGAAGCACCAAAGGCTTGAATGAAATGAGAGTCTTCAAAGCTACCAGCCTCATACAACTGTGACAAAGGCTTTCTCTTCCAGGGGGTCCGAGACCATGTACCACCAGGTAGAGGCACATGGTGGACAGGAAATGCTTCCCGCCTGTTCTGGGGCTTAGCCCAGGCAGGAGAAAACCAACCTGCGGGGCAACTGTGCAGCCCGCGGTGCGGTCACACCAGGGCCCACGGCGGCCTCTACCCACGTCCCACAAGGGCAGGACATCCTGCCCGGGGGTGGTCACAGTCCGGGCTCTTGGCCCCGGGGACGGCACGTGGACGCCTTCCCCTCGGAGGGGGGAGTGGGCTCCTGCACCCATCACTTGCCTGTTCCCTCTTGACCTGTGACGGAGGACCGCCCAGCAGGAACCCGCGGGCCGGCCCCGGCCCCGGCCCCTCAGAGTTCTCGGGGCTCTAGCGGCAAGCCCTCCGCCCGCATCAGCCCCGCTGGCTGCCCAAGGCACCGTGTGAGCTGGTGCTGGGCACGTGAGAAAAAGGATGACGCTTCCCGAATCTCACACGTGCACTGTGGCACTTTGGCATTTCACCAGAGAACCCGAATCCTAGGACACGTGCTGCGTCCAATCTCCCCTCGTAGCAGAGGTCTGGCAGGCTGCCGCCCTGCGCCCGCCTCCCAGGACCCGTCTGTGGGTGCAGCTGGGTCTGGGCAGGACTCCAAACACAGTGACGGCTTTTCCTGGTAGTAAAAAGTGGCACAAGGGTGAGCGGCGTGCGGGACGCCGGGAGGGAGGCCTCTGCTCTGGCCTTGCCAGGCGGGGGCGGCAAAGGCCCCTCCAGGGCTCAGGGGCGTCCTTGCAGCACCGGACGTTCTGCTGGGCCAAGCGAGGCTGGGGGTGGGGGGCACGGCCTCAGCAACCGCACAGCCCACCCCGGCCTCGCCCAGGGCCACCTGGGCAGCAGGGCGCCTCCAGCGCGCACCCTGCAGGCCGCCCCTTGCTCTGTCCCTCGGCGGCTGGCCCCACCGTTTACCCTCCCTTCCAACACTCCCAGAGACAGACGGACAGACACAGACTGTTCAGCACGTGATTTTATAAGACGTGGGCTTAAGTTTAAGACAAAAGCACCAACGACCCAGGCCACTCAAGTGCAGGACGTGTGTGATGAAAAGCGGGCTCCGTGGTGACAAACTCCCAAGTCCCTCAGCAAATGTACCAGCCGACGGCCGAGGCACTGTGTCCAGGTCTCCTGTGCTCACTGCGCCGGGCGGCTCCGCCCTGTCCGACAGGTGCACGGGCTCAGCTCCCCGGATGGGCCTCAGTGGCCGCAGGCTGCAGAGGACACGAGACAGAGTCGGGCGGGCGACCCCCGTCTCCCCGCCCTGTCTGGGTCCCGCTCCCTGGAGGACCCCGCGTCTGCCGCGTCCCCAGGGCCGTGTGGCCGGCAGCAGATGGAGGCGCCTGTGCTGTCCTCCCCGACTTCACGTGACTGCGTGCAGAGCTCTCCTAATGAGAGCGCAGATGCGGTTACTTGGGAGGCTGGTGTTGCATTTAGCGTGTACACAGAACAGCAAAGTCACACGCTCACCTGCCACCTCCACTCCTCGCAGTGTCACTTGGGGGCTGACCCGATCGGCACCCACCCCTGCACCTGAAGCGGGGCTGCGGGGCCCCAAGAGAAGGGCCCGCCCAGCGGACACCCGTGCGGCAGTGGGTTAGCGGGGCCCGGGAAGAGCCCCAGGACAAGGCGGGAAGGGGCTGGGCGGGCGGCGGGGGTCCCGGAGCCAGCGCCCCGCACCCAGTGCCGCCGGCCCTCAGACCGCGGTCAGGAAGGGACGTTGTTTTTGAAATGGACGTGCAAAGAGAAGAGAGAACGGAAGAAGGAAGAGAACGGCCCGGAACCTCGGGGCAACCACACAGCGACACGCAGCAGCCCCGCTTCACAGGTTCAGCCCACGGGTGGTTCCTGAGAGACCAGACGATGTCCCAGGTCCACGGGCAGTGTCACACACGCCCGTTCTCACCAAATCTACCTGCAGGCTCCAAGCAAGTTCAGCCAAGCTCCTGCCACGTCTCACTGTGCAAACCGACAAGTCGACTCCAGACCATCTTGAAGAAAACAAAACTGGAGACCGGAGGCACCGTGACCTCCTGCGACAGACCCCTAAGGCCCGCGCCTGCACCTCTGGGACGGGAGGCCTACACGTCTGTCGGTCAGACAAGCTGGTGCTGGCTTAGGGATGGACAAAAAACCGCACAGAGAACAGAGACTGCAAGGAGAGCCACACGCATGGGCCCTAACTTAGGACAGCGGACAAGGCACTGCAGCCAGAATGGGGCCGGGTCAACCGCATGTGGAAAAGTCCGCCTACTGACCGCTCCCTCGCCACACGCAGAACCTGACACCGGACAGGCTGTGAATCCAAACGTCAACAGTGGAACAAAGCTTTCGGGGAAAAAAGGGGACTATAGACACAACCTTAGAGTAGATCAATGCATTTTAAACAGGATCCATAAAATAAGACGGGAAGGAAGGATCAGGTGGAAGACATTAAACCTAAGGACCCAACGCAGCCTGTGGGGGGGGATATTTACAGTACCCCACAAATAAAGTATCAAAAGACAAGCGACCCAGAGGAAACGCAGGGAGGTCCGAACAGGTGAAAGAAGAAAGTCTACACGGCCAGCGGCCGCAGAGGAGGTGCTCAGCCTCACCCGGGGAAACGCAAGCCCAAGTGCACACGCTCACAGAGCAGCTGTCCACTCAGGGACCCGCTGTACACGTGGAGGCAGGTTCCCCTCAGCTCCTGGGTGCCTGTTAGGCCTGGGAGCTGGGGACAGCTGTGCGGGGACCGGGCACCACCCTGGGCGTGACCCGCACCAACGCCAGCAGGGCCGTTCCTCCTCCTCTCAAAGCTCAGGCACAGCTGCTCCAGAGCTAGGGCCCCCACCCACGCCCAGGGGGACAGCTGGCAAGGACACGGACGAGGGAGGGAGGTGGCTCTGCCCCACGGTCCCCCCTCGGCTCCTGCAGGGCTGACAGTCCGACAAGCCCTGGGCCTCAGCCAAGTGCACACGGGAGGCAGAAACCTGCCTGTGGCCACACGGAACCCGCAAAGACGGCGCGAGGCCCCAAGACCCGAACTGCAGCGGCAGCGCACGTGCCACGGCTGTCGGCAGTGGGGGTCTCGGCGGACAGACCTGCAGGCCCCAGAGACCCGGGGGGGCCACAGAGCCTCTGGCGGGTCTGGGAGGTGGAACGGAGCAAACACAGGAACCAAACCGGGCTCAAGGAGGCCTCTGCCACACAAGGGAAGAGCGTTGGCCAGTGCCAGCTCCTCGGGGGCCAGAGGCTGGACGGCAACTCGCCCAGCTTAGGGCCTGTCCTGGGTGCAGGTGCTCCACAGGACACCCCAGACGTGCCCAGTGCGGGAGGGGGCACCGGGGGGCAGGGCAACTGGAGCGCACCCCCCACCCCCATGCGCCCAGCGCCTGCCGCGGGCACGCCGGCCAACACTGCTTAGAGAACGGGGCGGGGGGGGGGGACCGGGGCCGGTCCCAGCGGTCGTGCGGGCCGAGGACCCTCGAGGCCGGCTCAGCGCCGCAGCGCGACGGAGCTGCCCGGAGGACTGGTGTGCAGAGGGCCCCACGCGGCCCCGGCACAGCCCGAGGGGGGCGTGTGGTTACCTTGGGGACCAGCTGAGGTCTGGGCACGCCGAGGAGGTCACACAGGTGGTTCCGCTGGGCTCGCACGAGGTGCAGCTCCGCGTCCCTGGGGAGGAGGGCAGGGCAGCTTCAGCCCCAAGGAGGGCCACTCGCGTGGAGGCAAACCTGACATGAACCCTAAACTCTCAGGAAACCCCGTGAGGTGAGGACACCCCAAGGCATCGCTGATGAGATCGGGAAGGACGCCCACCCAGAACCTGCACCTGGCCCCCCCATTCAGGCTCTGCTCCGGAAGGCTCTTCTCGGACAAGTGTGGACTCGGCCCGCAGCCGCGGGGGACCCGACAGGGACCGGGGGACAGCGGTCCCTGGGGTGGGGGGGGCGGGGCGGGGGGGGCCCCGCATTTCATCACGGGGGAGGGGATTTAAGTGCTATGTGATTTTAAAAGTTACTCCTTTCATTACAAATAAAAATTAAACTTAGCAACCACAGAGAAATACTGGGCATTTTCTTGTGTAAGTTCTGTTAGAATCCTCTGCAATTCTTTAAATAACAAGTAAGTTAAAGAGCGAGAGCCCCGCTCTGCCCAGCACTGAGGGAGGAAGGGCGGGAGCGGCAGGAGCCAGGGGTCCCTCGGACGCCGCCGAGTTCAGGCCACTCGGCTCCGCACCGTCCTTTTTCAAGGTAAGTGTTTTTTATCCAGGTGACAGCACAGGAGAGGATGTCATCCGCACAGGACACCACCGCCCCCTCGGACGACGGGGTCAGGTCGGCCGGCTCAGCCCTGAGGGTGGGGTCGCGTGCCAGCTGCTCAGAGCAGAGGCGCCCACATCGAGGAGTCGCGGGGGCGGGGGGCCCCCACAAAGATGTTCACTAGGCTGTCTCCCTAGAAGACCGGGATGAAGCCCTAAAACCAGAAGACCCTTCTGTCCTTCGAGGCAAGTGACTCCTCATGTCCAAGCAGGGGGACTGGGGACCTCTGCGGAAGCCCGGGCCACATGCGGACATCACTGTTTGGAGGGAAATGCGTGTGAAGATACCACACGCGCCTGCAGGATGCGCCGACCCTCGTAGAACTGGGCCCGGGCGGCCTGGGGTCAGCACGAAGGCCGTGGTGACCAGTGCCCGAGCGGGCCGTCGCCGACCGCTTCAGGCTGCGTCCTGTCTCCAGGATGGGGGCGAGCGTGCACGCTCAGACACGTGCACGCCGTCAGCACGTGCGTGTGGGGATGCGCAGGCCCGTGTGCGCAGTGCCGGGAACACGCAGTGCGCGGCCCACGCGCCGGCCCGGCCGCCGGTGCTTCCAGGCCGCGCCCCTCCCACGCCAGCTCAACACAGGTCTGCGTCCGGAATCCCCCAGGAGCCGGGAAGCCAACGGAGCCGCAGGGGGACCTTCCATCTCCCGTCTCCGCGGTCCTTGCGATTTCACACGTCCGCCCGTGGCCTTCCGCACCGAGCCTGAGCGAAGCCCTGTGGCCGCCGCGCCCCGTGGACGCAGGACGCGCCCCCACACCGCGCACCCCATCGCGCCTCGGGCAGGAGCGACCAGCCCCGTCGCCCAGAGCTCACTGCGTGATCAGTTCATGAGGAAGCCCCCAAAACAGGAAGTTGGCCCACCTCTTTACGGAGAGAAACACTGCGCTCGAAAGCCATTTCGTTTTGGAAATGTTCCCCTTGGACCCCCCAGGAGGCATCCCCTGGGGCGCGAGGGAGGGAGCCTGCGCTTCAGCAACGTGGACAAGCAGCTGCGAAGAGTCCGCTGCAGCCCCCCCTGCCCCTCGTAAAACCAAGAACCAAGGCCACCGGGGGCTGGGAGCCTCGTTTTCCTGTTCCCTTCAGAGGGTTTTGGGGAAGAGATGCTGGGGACACGAAGGCAGGGGAGGCCCCATTCACTGCGATGTGCGTGACCGGTGCCCTGGAGGAAGGGAGGGGCCCGCACTCACCAGGCGGTGCCGCTAAGCACAGCCATGACCTCGTCCAGGACGTCCGCGCCCACGGCGTCGCTGTAGGTGAGCAGCATCTCGTACACCTGGCTGGCGGTGGTCTTGCGGATCTGAGCGGGCAGAGCACGTCAGGGAGAGGGGGCCGAGACGCACAAGGCAGAGATGGCAGGGTCCCGGAGTCGCACTGAAACCTTGAAGATGTGCTGACCTCTGACCCCAACTGGGAGATCTGGCCACACCCGCCTGTGTCCCCACCGCTGGGGAGGCCGCCCGGTTCCCCTGCGGTCCGGCCGGCAGGCTGTCGGGACACAGCCAGACGCCTGCTAACGGGCCGGGCCACACCACTCCGGCTGCGGTTCCTCACAGGACAGACGCCCCGGGTGGGCACACGACCCCGGACCGGGCGCATGACCTCGCCAGCAGGTCGGGCGGCCTGAGGAGCTGCATTTGTGGCGGCTGCGGCTGCGAGGTGGCGCTACTGGGACATTTAGGAGAATGGCACATTCACATGCCCTGGGGAGCGGTTTCTCAGACAGAAGGGAACTTCTAAGACGCCTGACCCTGTGTGGGGTGGTTCTGGGTGAAGGCGTCACTGAGGTGTGGGGCCGCCCCGGACCCTCTGCCGAGACCCACTGCCGAGACCCTCTGCCGAGACCCTCTGCCGAGACCCTCTGCCGAGACCCACTGCCGAGACCCACTGCCGAGACCCTCTGCCGAGACCCTCTGCCGAGACCCTCTGCCGAGACCCACTGCCGAGACCCTCTGCCGAGACCCTCTGCCGAGACCCTCTGCCGAGACCCTCTGCCGAGACCCTCTGCCGAGACCCTCTGCCGAGACCCACTGCCGAGACCCTCTGCCGAGACCCTCTGCCGAGACCCTCTGCCGAGACCCACTGCCGAGACCCTCTGCCGAGACCCTCTGGGATATTTCCTGGATCGGCAGGAACGAGCGATGGGCTTGGTGCTCACAGCTTGGGCTGCAGGGAAGATGGGTGCTAAGGGGACCCCCAGCTGGGGGCCCCGCGTGGGGCGGAGCACGGCCGGGGGGGGGCCTCGCTCTGCACCACCTGCTCGGCCCCAGGAGGGCGGGCAGAGCCACCCACAGGTGCTGCTCCGCCGAGACCTGAGCGTCCAGGCAGCGGGACGCCCCCCACGGCCCAGACCGATCGGCTCCGCGGCGGGGCCCCTGCCCCGGCGGCACCCGGCACCCGCACCCAGACCCTGCGGCACGGAGCCGCCGCGCAGGACCCCAGGGCGGGCGCCGGCCACACTCACCACGGGGAACGGGTGGCAGAGCAGGAGCAGCAGCTGCAGCAGCACCTTCCGCCTCACGTCGCCGGGGAACTGCACCATCCCGCAGAACCTGCGGGGCCGCGCCGGGTGAGCGCTGTCCACCCTGTCCGGGGTGCGGAGGGCGGGGACGCTGCACCGCCCCGAGGCCAAGGCCGTGGGCGGGCAGAGCTGGGGATGCCACGAGGGCTCCTTCACCCTTGTTCGCGGGGCGCCACACGGCCTGCGGGCCACACAGACTCTGGCCCCCGCCTCCGCTCCCTCCACCGCCCGCCCGTGTCGGCGGCGACGTGGGACTCACACGGCGATGCTGGACCGCAGTTTCTGGACGTCCTTGGACTTGTGGATTTCTGCCTTACAAAGCGCAAGCAGCTTCACACAGAACGGGTGGCTGCAAGGGAAGCACAGGGCACAAGCCGCTGGGGCCCTGCGGTCGGCGAGCGGCAGCCCGCGGGCCTCGTCCCTGGGGGCGCCGCGCCCTGGCCCCCTCACTGGCTCCCGCACAGGCACAGCTGGGGGCAGGCGCCCGCTGCTTCCGTGCCCGACACCCCCCACCCCCCGTCCCCACGGCCGCCCAACGGGAGGGCAGGCCTGTGGATAACACACGGCAACACACAAAACAAACCGAACTAAAAACGTAAACGGGCCTGACGGGTTCTGAGTCCTTGGAATTGTCCAGGGAGGGGGAACCACTGAACGTCGGACTGACCGTGCGTCCGGGAAGAACACAGAAAAGAGTGAGAAGTCCCAAAGAAACGTAAGAGAAACACAGGACGAGGACAATTATGTTGTTAATCAAATGAAAAACAGGAGGGAGGAGGCCACGGAAACATCCCATGCAGACTTAAGACGGAACGGAAAGACTAAACGGTCCCGTGAAGACACGGGCCACCCGCCGACGCCCACACGCCTGCGCGCTGCCGGCGAGACCCCCACCACCCCACAAGCGGAAATGTTTCCCGAGAAAAAACGTGCAGGAGCACTGCACAGAGTTCAAAGTCCGAAGCTGGTGCTGCCACACTAATGCAAGACCAAACTGTGTCCCTGGAAACAAAATGGGTCACTTACTGTTAAAATTTTATCTTAATTTGCAAATACCAAAAATGTAAAGCCTTAAACTACAGACAGCAAAAGGTGACAACACTACAGAAAAGTTAAAAGAACTATATTCGTAACAGGAAATGCGTCCTCTTACCGTTTTAAATTTTCAAATAAAAAAGTACGTTAAAATATGAAGACTGTTCAGGAAGGACGCCACCCCACAACCAGCTCAGAGATCCCGTGAGCGCGGGAGCAGCTCTGAAATCAGCCCCCAGCAGACGTGGAGAAACAAGCACCAGACCCCGTCCACCCCACCAGCCTGAAACGACTGAACACCAACATTCACCGGACAGCAGGCTGCAAGGGAGCGAGCCCACAGCAGCCCGGCTTCCCGCCTGCACAGAGGGACGCGGAGCAGAACCGCCTGCAAGCCGTGCCGCCCTGAGCCTGCAGTCGGCTTTCGTGCAGCCCCTGCGGGGCCCCTGGGCTCCCACGGGCCTGTCTGAGCCCCCCGAGTGCGTGCGTGCGAGGGCCACGCTGGTGGGTGACAGGGAGCCCCCGCCACACGGTGAGGGCCAGGACACAAGGCAGTGAAAAGACCTCAGGAGGGCAGGGTCGGCGCTGCTCGGGGCCCCCTGACACTTTCAAAGCCCCTTCCAAGTCACTGACACATGTCAACACGAGACCCAGGCCGGGGGCCAAACCCAGCGGCTCCAGGATCAGGCGAGGCATCAACGGAGGGGCCAGAAAGCAGGGCCTCCGCTGAGCCCCACCCAGGACAGCGGAGCTGCGGGCAGCTGCCGAGCCCTGAACACAGCAGAGGTGGGAGGGGCCTCAGACCCACTGCCTGCGCCCAGCCAGCGGCCGCCCCGCGCCGCCCACCACCACCCCCTCAGGCCCTCGCCACCCACTCCTCGAGCCGCTCGGTGCCAGCGCACGGGGGCGCCGCCGACGGAGCACATGAGGCCCGACCCCGGACGTGCTGGGAGGTCACCCCTCCCACTCCGGCCCCTGGACCCGACCGGCAGAGCGGCGCCGACAGGTGGAAACGAGCACTCACTCCTCCTCCACCGCGAAGAGGTCGAAGCACCCGTGCGCCAGCATCTGGTCCAGCATCTTGAGCAGCGGCACCGACACCCTGAGGGGAGAGGAGGTGCGGTGAGACCGCAGGCGCCAAACCGTGGGAGGGAGGGAGGGAGGGAGGGAGGAGGGACATGTGGAGGGTGGGAAACCGAGCAGAGGCCACGCCGAGCCCACGCCGAGCCCACGCCGAGCTCCGCAACGGCACCGCCCGCCCTGTCAAAGCCCCGGCAGGGCGCTCTGCCGGAAACGGTAAGCCCGCTCGGAACTTCATGTGGAAACGCAAAAGGCTGGGCAGAGCCCCACACCGCGGAAAGACAGGTGAGAAGAGCTGATGGGGCTCAGTTCACAACCTCTAGCGCAAAACAAGGTGCCATCAGGGACTGCAGAGCCGCAGCCCGCGCGCCCGCAGTTTCCGACGCAGGCACTGCAGCCACCAGGGACACCCACACGCAGGACCAACTTGGGGACTCACCCTGAGCGGACTTCAGGGCAGAGCACAGACCTTAAAACTGTAAAACTGCCACAAGAAAACACGGGGGAAAATCTTTGTGCCCTGGAGTCAGGCAAGCTTTCCCGGGCACGGCGTGAAAGCGCGATCCATGAGAGACAAGGGGTGACCAAGTTCACGGGCGCGAAGGGCCTGCTGAGACGCCAGCAGGCCACACGCCGGGCAAGGCACCGGCGCAGGGTCCGGGAGGGAGCCCAGAGCCCAGCAGCGAGGAGGGCGGGAACAGACAGAGCTGAGCAGACCCGCCGCCGGAGGACAGACACCCGACGCGGCGCCCGCAGCCAGGAGGGAGGCACGTGGGGAAGCCGCGCCGCATCTCACAGCCCTCAGCTCAGCTCCAACAGGCGGACAGGCACCGGGTGACTGGGGGCGCTGGGGCCATGCGGTGGTATCAGCAGGAATGCGGACGGCACGATCACTTTGGACAACAGTTGGCCGTTGTTTAGAAAGTTTAGTATTTGACGACCACGTGGCCCAGCCAGTCCAGCCCTGGGCCTGCACCCAGGAGAGGAGGACAGAGACGCCCGCACAAGACGTGTACGTGGACGCTCACCACCGCTTCATCCGTCACAGCCTCGCCTGCCAACAGCCCAAGCGCCATCCCAGGTGAACCGAGAAACCACGCGTCGCCGCCTAACAGCACACGGCTCAGCCGACAAGGGGGACTGAGCGAGCGGGCCCGACCCAAGGAGCCAGGCGGGAGACGGGCGCAGCGCGCAAGCGTCCACTAGACACTCAGGAAAGCGCTGACCCCATGGGCGTGGCAGCCGGCTCGGGGGCTGCCCCGGGGCGGGGACCGGAGCGGAAGGGGTGGCGGGAGGTCCCGGGTGTGGGGGTGCTGTGTCTGGACGGTGGCGGCGGCTCTGTGGTTGCCGACATGGGTCAGAGTTGCACGTTCCACGTGCGTTTCCCCTCCCAGGGCCGTTACAGACAAAGGGGACCACAGGACGGCCGCCGGGGCCCTGCCCGGGGGACACCACCGGCCCGGCGCGCGGCTGTCTTCGCTGCCGACAAGCCCCGAAACCCTCACCCCGCTGGCCCTCCGTGCAGGCTGCAAGGGGCCCCAGAGAGGTGACAGGGTGGCCTGGAGGTGCCAGGACCGGCCGTGAGCCTCACCCGCCCCGGCCCCACCCTGCCCTTAAACCCTGGGCGTCTGGGAAACAGCGCCCACTCACCTGTAATTGAGAAGGTTGTCCTCGAAGACCTGTAAGAGGGTCCCACTGAAGCTCTCCAGGGCCTGCCGGTCGCTCTGAATGCCCTTCATGTGCGCAAACAGGCTCTGCGTGGAGTGCCTGACCTGCAACACGGGGCGTCTCGCATGAGGATGCCGCCCCCCGCCCCACCGCCGGCCACAGGCGCCGACAGACGCGCATGTTCAGTGGCCGCGGAGGCTGAGCTACAGAGGGGAAGGGTCTGGCTGATGCCCAGCCGGCACCGCAGGGCAATCGCCTGAAACAGACACGCCCCCCTTGAGGTGGCAGCCCAGCCCACACTCCCCGTCCAGGGCAACCCCCAGGCGTCTGCGGCAGAGACCGCAGAGGGTCTGTCTCCACGGGAGGCAGATCAGGATATGAAAGCCACGAGGGACCAGTCACTCTGAAACCTTCACGCTGCAAACTCAACCGCAGCCCCGAGGTACCACTGGGCTCAGAGACACCCCCGCCGTCCCCGCCCAAAACAGGCACCAACTCAGGAGGCGGGCCTGGCCGGCAAGGTGGGCAGGGGGCAACCCCGTGGAGAGCAACCCACGGGGTGGCAGCGACACCGGGAGCGGCAGGCAGCCAGGGTCCCCGAGGCTGGACCCCAGCAGCTCCCAGCGGCCACGGAAGGGAAGAATGGCCGGCGTCGGGGGCCCGCCCGCGGCCGGCACCGGCAGGCAGTCTCAGCCTCCCTCGGACTTCCACCCCCGGAGCGTGAGCCCCGGCCCGCGAGTGCGCAGGGGCGGGGACGCTGCGCGTGCATTTTCAAAACAAAAAACGCTGCTCCGAAGACGAGCCTGCGCCGAGGAAGCGTAACAAGTAAGATTTCAGACCCGCGGAAACGCAAGTCTCCCGGGGAGGCGAACAGCAAACGCCAGGAAGCTGCACCGAAGGACGCGCAGGGCCCGGAGAGCAGAAGCGAACAGCAGAGTGGGCGCCCGCGGGGACCAGGGCGAGACTGTCCCCAAAGTGCCCGAACCGTGGATCCACCGATTGAGAGAGCAATGACTTCCTCGCGGTCCTTCGTGGACCCGCCGCCTGTCCCCAGCTGGGCGGGGGCAGCAGCCTCCGCCGCCAGAGGAAGCGCAGGGACGGGGACGCGGACGCGGGAAGCCGGGGCGGGGCTGCCGCGCAGACACTGGCCGGGGTTACGGAGCGGCGAGCCCGCACGGACGCAGCCCCCGAAAACGGGGACGCCTCACGCAGGACGCACAGAACCTGGAAACCAGGCACAGAGCGGCGTGCGTGTCATGCGTACTCTGTGACGTGCAAGGTTTGCGTGCGTGCGTGCGTAACGTCCGTGACGTACGCGGCGGCGGCGGAAGGAGGCCACCGAGCTCCGGGGCGGCTGAACTGGGCGCTGCGACCGTCCGCGCTGGGGCCCCGGCCCGCCCACCCCTCCCGGGTGCCCCGGGGCGCCAGCGCGGAGGAAGCGGCCGCCCGGTGACCGGCTTCCCCCAGGGGAGACCGAGCAGGAGGAGGGACAGCGCAGCCCCCGGCGCGCACCCCCGTCCCGGGACAGACGCGTCCTCACCGTGGACTCCGTGAGGCCGCCCACGGACACGGCCAGGCCCAGCAGCACGTGGTAGCGGTAGGTGGGCAGCCCCAGCAGCCGGGTGATGCGAGGGAAGGCCTGGGACGGCGCCGTCCAGTTGACGGAGGCCACCTCGGACCTGCAACAGAGGCACGAGCTGCAGGGGCCGGCCGCCCGGTCCCAGCAGCCGGGCGGGCGGACCCCGGTACCTGGGGAAGAGCTGCTCCAGCTCCCCGCGGTGCGGCACGTGGGGGACGGCGGGGCCGGCGGGGCCGGCGGCGTGCAGCAGCGTCATGAACACGCGTGCGGCGTGCGCGCGGAAGTGGTCGATTTTCTCGCTCGCCTGCTGGGCCAGGCAGCACATGACCCGCTGGCAGCTGCCAACCAAGAGCCCAGCATCAGCCGGGCTCCAGCCCGAGGCGCCCGCGGAGCCCACGCGCGGGCCCCACTGCAGCTGATGAGCTCCCAGAACCCTTCGCGCAAGGTCTTGGGTAGAAGCGGTGAGCACCCCCAGGGCTGCGGGTGGGTAGCAGGTGGTGACGGGGGGCGGGGGGCAAGGGCTGAGGAGACGGAGGGCTGGCTGAGGAGGGAACACAGGGATGAAAGGCGCTTGGGGCCAGAGAGGGGCGCGATAGCCCGCAACTGAGCGGCCCAAGGGCAGCCTCGTGTCCCGGGAGCAGACAGGAGGGGCACAGCCAGGCCCCCAGTCGGAGCAGGCCCTGGGGCGCAAGGGCTCAGCGCTGAGAGGCGGCCCCTCGCTGGGCCTCGCCTGGGAACGGCTGTCCTCCAGCAGGGCCCGAGGCCCTCGGCCGGGACGCGCGGGCCTGCGCACGGGGGCGGGGCGCCGGCCGGGACAGGCCCTCTCCAGGCACCGGGCCGTGGCAGGGAGGACACTCACGTGGGAGCCTCGATCAGCTCCGGCTGGTCCCGCCCCAGCAGAAGCGTCAGGTCCATCAGACTGGTCATGGCGGCCTCGCGGACCCTGCAGGGAGCAAGAGGGGGTAGGGAAGGTACTCCAGAAATTGCACGTGGGGGGTGGGACCCCCAGTGCCCTCAGCCTGGGGCAACGCTTCGCACTTGTTGGGAAGGGCCTGCGAGACCACAGGCAGTGGGTGGCGGCCTTTAGACGCGTTTTAAACCCAGGACAGGCAGGTCACAGCCGCGTCCCCGCGAACTGTCGCATGAAACTGCACTGACTTTCCCAAGAACCATTAAACGCGAGATACACCCACCCCACGGAGCTTTTAAGGGCTTTCTGGCTTTTCCTGGGCAGACGTAGGCAGAGCAGCGCGTGCTTTTGCTGCCCGGCGGCTTTCCAGACCAGGAGAGCTCTGTCCACTCAGACAGATGTGTCCACAGCAACCCCCGTGAAGGGACACAAGCTAAACACAGCTTGGAAAGCCGAGGCCGCGCTGCGACTGACGAGTCTAACTCCAGAGTGAAAGCAGCGTTTCAAACGTGGGACCACGCGCTCAACCTGGGGACCACAGGGCCGGCCCCCAGGGACCACACACACAAGGGCCGGCGTCTGCAGGGCCGGCAGGTCCCCCAGGCCTGGGGCACCCACCCTCCCCCCAAGCCATGAGCGCTGCACGCTGGGGAGACAGGCTGTGCTGCTCCCCTGGGGGCGGGACGGGGGCCCCAGACGCAGGCCGGGGGCAGTGGGAGGCCTGCGTGTGACGCGCTGAGCTCGGGCACCGGGTGCTCAGAGGGGCCGGGAAGACACAGGCGGGGCGCGGGGGCGGCTGCGGGGGGCGGGGGGGGGGTCAGACACCAACCAGCTGCTGCTCAGGACACACCAGGGAGCAGGCAGCGTGCGGGAGGAGGGAGGACAGAGGGCTCCCCCGTGAACCCCTATCTCTGTGGGTGCAGCACTCCCAGGGAAAGACTGGGGAGGGACGAGGGGGGCCCAAACCTGCCTCCTCCCCCAGAGCCCTGCCAGCCCCCAGCTGGTTGAGCACAGGGCGGCCAGCAGCTGGGGGACAGGTGTGCAGGGGAAGGCCCTGGGGTCTGAGGGCCTCGCGGACCTGACCACACACGTCGGCCCGACCTAAGGAACCTACCACTCGCTCGAAGAAAATTACATAACCTGGGGCCTGTACACTTTTGAACAATTTCTGGACTTAGTTGAAAATTAAATGTTTCAGAACGAAGATCAAGTGCTAAAGTAATAAAAAGATGACAACAGAAATTGACCCACAGGTGACGGATACTAGAGTACGTGGGTAGAGACTTTAAAATAACCATGAGGAACACACTGACCCAAAACAAAAACAAAAAAACCCCCAAGAAAATGGTGGGAAATATGAAAAAGGTACAAGATTTTCTACACAGATTTAGAGCCTCCAAAAAAGGCCCCAGCACCATAGGAACGAAGAGTTCACAGGAGGGCCTACAGGGGCAAGAGACCGCCCGCCACCGCATGCTCAGCCAGCCTGGCCTCCGGGGCTGCCGGGACCCTGGCGCGGGGACCCTGCGTGGCTTCTGCCTGGGCCCGTGTCTGCCCGGAGGGCGGCCGCAGTGGCCGCCGAAGCACCGGGGAGGACCCACGGCCCCCGCCTCCCGACCGTGCGCGGGGGCCCGGCCCTACCAGGCGCCCACGTCCCCGCGGCTGTCCGTGGTGTAGTCCTGCAGGCAGCCCAGCAGCGTGCAGTAGATCCGGGACACGTTCCCTCCGCACACGGCCTCGTCGGGGGCCCCTTCTGCGCTCACTCCCACGGTCTGGCAGACCCTGAAACCGGAAGTGGGGGAGTGGCTAATGGCCGCGCGTCCCGTCCGCCCTCCCCTACGCCCACAGCATTCCGCCGGACGCCTCCCTCCGCACGGGACAGCTTGGAACAGAAATGACTCGGGGAGAGGCGCAGAAACCCCGAGCTCGCTCCGCCGAGGGACCGCTCTTCGCTGTGTCGACCGCTTAAAGGCAGAGGGAGGCCAGGCCGTGTGGCAGGGCCCTCCGACCCTGCCGCCTGGGCAGAAGGGGACTATGTGCCACGGCTGCACAAGGCAGCGTGTGGGCTCCATATAGCCAGTCCTCCACCGTGCCCGCGGGTGGGAAGGACGGCGTGTCAGGTGTGTGCGTGTTTGTGACCAAGAACAAGAGACTCCATACACGTCCCTTCCTCCTTCTCAGGGGAGCCAATCTTTGAAGGAGTCCAGTTTCCTAAAGTGAAAATGTGTCAGTACAGGTTTAATGATCCCTATAATCAGGACAAAACTGTTAAGGAGCCTCTGAGTTAGAACGGTTTTAGGACAACCGTCTGAAAAGAGAAGAAACTAGAAACTAAAAACTAACATTCGCCTCTAAGTGGATGCACCACCTGAGACCGGGCTTCTCACGCCAGCCCTGGAGGCCCCCGTGCACGGGGCGCCGGCCTCCGGGAGCAGCGGTTTGGGGAGGAAAGCCAGCGGGACTCACCTGGCGATCGCCTTCAAGGCATCCCGCCTGGACTCTGCGAAGCTCACGCTCTCCGGGGAGATGTGGGTGACGGCACCTAGCCCTGCTAGAACCTGAAAAGCAGCCACCAGTCACCCATGGACCACTGGCCACGGGACAGATTAGTTTTCACACAGGTGGAGACTTGGCCCTGGGGCTGTGCCACTGTGTCTGCCACCGGGGTTGCCTCCAGCTGTCCATGGCGGGGACCCCAGGGCCCAGCCTTATCCTGGGCAAGGCCCTGCCCTGCCCTGTCCCACGGCCTAGAGCCGGCCCCTGTGACAAATGCAGCAGCTCCTGTAACTTGATCTGTTACTGCTCGAAGGGACGGCTCAGTCCCAAGTCTGTTGTTTGAAATGAATAAGCCTCAAGACGAGCGTGTTCGTCGGTCCGCACAGAGGCGCATCGGGTTTGTGGGACCGCGAGGCTCCCTGGGCAGCGGGAGGCACACGAGGGAGGGGTGTGACGGGCGGTGGCAGCGTGGTGTCTGGGGGGCGGGCCTGCGGGATGCTCCACCGGGGGGCAGGGGACCCAGGAGTTCGGTGACTGCGGCCAGTGGGTGCCTGCGGGCTCTGGCGGGTCCTGCTTGACCCGCGGCAGCAGGCACCCACTCCTGCAGGCAGCTCGGGACCCGGTCAGGGTGCCGGAAGGCGACGGCTGACGCAGAGCTCCCAGCACACGGTTCAGGGCGACCCGTCGGGCGGAGGGAGGGAGCGAGGGAGGGGCTCGCCGGCGCCCATCCCTGGGGGTGCGCAGCCTGGGGTATGGGCAACCGCAGGAGACAGAAGCCTGCCTCTCGGTGGGGCCAAAACAAGCCTCCGCCACCCCTGTCCACAGCTTTCAAACGTGAGTGGGTGGCACAGGAAACATCAGATCAGCAGCCCTTCCCGGTCACAGACAGCGGGGACAGATGGCTGCGAGGCGAAGCTCCACACCGAGGGACCGTCTCCAGGGGGCTCTGCCGCGCACACGTGGTCTCAGGCCAGGCATCTCTGCCCAGAGCAGAGCTCTGCCGCGCCTCTCTCTGTCCCAAGCCACCACCACCTTGAGGGGCAGGTGCCTCACAAAGGGAGGCATTGACAGGTCGTGTCCTTCCGAGAGGCGAGCACGGACCTCCCCACGGACCCCCCCACGTCCCCCCGAGCGCCAGGGCCCGCCTTGGGCTGGCCTGCTTCCAAGGCGGGATTCCTGGGGTGGGAGGGACAGCTGGGTCGAGGACTCGGCCCCAGAGCCGGTGCCCTTCGACCTTGGCCACGGGCAGGGCCAGCACTGGAGATGAGGCCGGAGCGGCTTCTACAGCAAAGAGTGGCTCCCCCTCCGAGGGACTGGAGTTGCGCTTTCACACACGAGCGTCAGCTTCTCTGAGCGCGGCCACTGCAACCCCGTCCGCTCTCCTCACGGCCACGGGGGCTGGCGCTCAGGGGCTCCTTCACAAGCACGAACACGGAGGTCTGCCTACCGGGCTGCCGCTGCCCGCCCGTCGCGAGCACGGCCTCAGATGCCCCCCGCGCCCGCCCCCCGCCCCCCGCCCCCGCCTCACCTGCTGGAGCCTGCCGCGCAGGAGGAAGCCGGGCAAGGCCCCCAAGGCCAGCGAGAAGCCGCAGCGCGTCATCTCCTCGGGGCCCCGCAGCTCGGCGAGGCACTGCTCTACCAGGCCCCCTGCAAAGGAGCGACACGGTGACCCGCTGCTGCCCCTGCTCCCTCGCACGCCGTGGGTCGCGAACCGTCCAGAAATGGGACCAAACAGCGCGGAGAGAAGGGAGGAACCGCTTCAGGCTTCAAAAGCAGGTGTGTTTTAGAAGCGGTATGGATTGAAATGGCTTTAAGGAAAGGGCTTTTATGAGGTGGCTTTAAGGTCTTCATGAGCAATTTTGACAACTGTTTTCACTCAGGAAAGTCGGTCCCAGGGTATTTTATGAACAGTCCGCACAGCGGTAACTCTCGTTGTCCATTCACCGAGAACAGAAATGCTTATCAGGGAGGCGCTGCCTTCCTCAGAGAGGAGAGCCAACGCCACGCCAGGCCGCTGAGCGCAAGCCGTGGGGAGCCGCTGCCTCCTGAGCCGGGACAAGCCCGTCATCAGACCTGGACAGAGGTTTGAGGGGAGAAATGGGAAGAGGCCCTGGAAGTTCAGACTAAAGAGCCTGAAGGGAGACCTGAGTAACCAGACCTGCCCCGTAAACCTGCAGCTTCCGGGATGGGACCCTTACGCGGTAGTTGTCAAACGCTTGAATTCCAACCACGAACCCCTCCGTGCCGCGCTCCCTGCATCCTCGCACGTTAGGACAGAGGGCGGGGGCACCGGGGCCGTTGGCACCTGCACCACACGGACCCCCCTCCCGTCTTCCACATCACCGGCCCTTCTCCACTCAGAGGCCGGTGACAGAGCCCCCTTTTCTTAGGCAAGAAGCTAAACGTGGCCTCATCCCAATATTTAGAAATAGACTACAGACAAAAATAACATGACTGTCTCTTTGTGTAAAACTGCCTATGTAAAGAAATACAGTAAAACATTCGTTTGCAAAGTCTCTCAGAATATATTATAGAATATTGTCGTATTTTTGGAAAAAGTCCCAGGAAGTCTGTGGCACATGTGACTTTCTACACTGACGACCACCTGCAATGCCACACGCATGGGAAGGAACCGATGCCTGTTCGCGAAGTGACGGGGAGGGACGCCGCAGGGGACCCTCAGGGGGGTCTCGCCAAGGGCGGCGCCGGAGGGTCTGGGAAACACCGGCTGCACCGGTGCGGACAGGAGAGCCCGCGGGGCACGTGCAGGTCCAACGACACGCGTCAGGGGGAACAAAAACGCAGCGACGTCGGCTCCGCACGGGCTGAGCGCCGAGCAGGGGGTTGGTGGGGGCGGCGGCGGCAGACGGTTCTGACAGCCCAGGGCCCAAATGTCAAGAGGACGTCGCCGTGTGACACACACGAAGGCACTAAGTAACAGTGGGCAGCAAAGGCAGACAACGGGGAGGAGAAGGGCCACGTGAAAGGGTGGAACAGGCCCACGGAGGAGGCGTGTGAGGCGCCCCCTCCCGCGTAACTGACACCTCCAGAGCACAAAGCAGGGAACAGTTCGCTTAAAAATGGAACTTCAGCAAATGCCGCCGAAGGAAGGGCAGCCTCCGCGCAGCAACGCGGAGTCCGGGGAAAGCCCGGGTCGAGGCAGGGCCGGGAGAAGCTGCTTGTTTGGAGCGCAGAGACCCTCCCCTGCGCTGCTGCACCAAACCGCGGATCGGAGCGCAGGGCCAGCCCCGGGGGAACCGGTCCCCGCAGCCGAGCCCCTCACCCCTCGCCGCCCGTGCCCCGACACCCCCAGAGGCTGTGAGGGCCAGCCGGCGGCCCACTCACCGTAGCCGGCGTGCTCTGCCTCCCCGGCCTCCTCCGTGTAGTATTCGCGGCAGAGAGCAGCCAGGGCCGACACAGCCGCTTCCTGAAACAACACGGGACGTGAGCGGCCTCGCAGCCCCCCGGGCGCCCCAGGGGCGGGCCGGCTGTTCTGCAGTCGGGCCGGCGGTGAAGTTTAGGAAAAAACAAACTGAATTGCATCATTCCTTCCAGCACATCTGCTTGTTGTCACCTGTCAGGTAGTTATAACTTACTATTCTTTCCAAATAATAAACTGAATAGAAAACTTCATTTCTTCCATGAGACGCAAATTCCATGTGTTACAATGTAAACAGGTAATAAAACGGCATTTTTCTTTCCCAGAGCAGGTCATGAAGGGAAAGGGACGCGTCATACACCCCGACAGGACGCAGGCAGGGACCCTGGGCGGGCCGGGTGGGAGTGTCGGGGGTCCAGCGGCCCGGGGAACAGGGCGGGGGCCCCCCAGCACCGAAGCCCGTGAGCAGGACGGAGGACGGGAGGTGACGGACTCGGAGAGGCCTGCCAGGACCGCGGACGGCGAGAGCAAAGCCGCGTCCACAGGCTGTGGCCGCTCCCCACGCTGGGAGCGGCCGGAGAGGCTCGGGGGCTGGGCGGGGGCGTGGGCACCACACGCGCCCATGCCTGCCGCCGATGGCACCGCGACCAGAGCTGGTCGGAATCGAACACGGGTGTGCGCTGCAAATGCACAGCGATGGCCCTAAGGCTCTCAAACGCAACCGAGAAAACCGCACTCAGATTCTACGGGACAAAGTCACTTTACAAAGGGCCGTTGGAGAAGCCCTGCGGACGCGGCGGACGTGCCGAGTCGCCTGTAGGAGGCGGAGCCCCCACTCTCGTCTCTCCACCCTCGACGTCAGAGCCGAGTCACGGCCCACGCCCCAGCTCCGCTGCCTCCACGGCCGCCTGTCCCCGTGTGCCCCAGGGACACAGCCCATGCTTTCCAGAAACGACCCACGTGACGTGCGCAGTGGGCCTCTGGCGGCAGCTCGGTCGTCTGCCTGTGAGCACCACTCGCAGCTTCCAACCCGGAGGCAAAGGGACACAGAATCCAGGATGTGAGGAAAGAACCCTTAGGTGAGAACAGAGCCAGAAATAGCAGTTTTAAAACTTGCATATTCTGGACACCCATCGCTGAGTGAGTTTTCCTTGCCATAAATTCACATAGAGGACACCATCCAGAAGTCCCAGCGCAGTTACGGCACTGGTCACATCAGTGTGACCCATAACGCAATCTTTAGAAACAAACACTAAAAAAAAATGTCACTTTCAATACAGTGGAGTAATGGGAAAAATCTTGCCTACCACACCTTGATTTGTTGTCTAGAATGACTTGAAATATGGTGGAGATGCCTCAAAGTGTCGTTTATCAGCCACTGCCAACCATCTGTCAAAGAAACAGAATCCTTTACCCAATTACCGGTGAAACTGTTTAGAGGACATTAAAGTCAACAACAAACAGATCTTCTGCCTCTTAAATCAAAGCAGGAGGTAAACACTGAGCTGAGTCTGGAGAAAACTTCAAGTGACCCTTCTCCAGGCTGTGAAACTCCAAGGCCTTCCGGTTCAAGGGGTAAAGCCCATTTGGCTGCTGACATGTTAAAACACCTGGGAAAGTTTTTGTTCTTTAGTTACACCTGCAAGCTTCAGGTGGTCTTTTCCTGTGCTGCTCCCGCAAAAGCCCCCCCAAAACCCCCACCAATAAAAACCCAAGCAGGGAGACCCCACACTTGGCAGCGAAGCCGAATCCACGCAGTTTCCTGAGGCTGCAGAGCAGAGAGACAGACGGTGCGGACGCAGTCCGTCCGCGCTGGCTGCGGCTCGTGTGCGCACCCCACGAACAGGACAGGCTACACGGGCCGCCACGCACGGGAGCAGGTTCTCCCACGTGCCACCGCCCTGGGCCTACGAGCGCCAGGGGGTGGGTGGCAGGCGCCTGTCATTGGCAACAGCCATTTACGAACCAGGCACCCCGATGTCAGGGAACACCGCCATCCACCCGGACAGATTCAGTTTTACTCCTCAGTGTGGAGCAGTTCTGGAAGAAAATGCTACGTCAGTGGAGAAAAGCACTTACCAATCACAGCATCGCCTCTGAAGGGCATCTTGGAAAGGGACAGCTTTTCTATTAAGACACACACTAGGAAGAAAGAGGGTAAGGGCAACGTCATTTCTCCGAAAGTGGCCGCCACAGCACCCACGCTGCTGTCCCTGCGTCCTGCGCCTCAGGGTGGGATGGAGCAGCCACCCACACCACCAGGCGGTGACCACTCGACCTGCCCTCTGCCTGCCGGCCTCAGGCAGGTCCTGGCTCCCCCCAGCACACCAAGTGCCCCCAAACTGACACGGAGCCCCTCATGTTGGTGCGCAAGACAGAAAGGGGGTGGCCTCTGCATCTGCCCTGTCACACTAAAATGAAAATAGCATCAATGGTTTTTCTCAACTGTAAATAATACATTTTTGCTGAAAAAATCCTAACACTGTGGGAAAACGTAAGATGAACAAAACTGCCAGGGCCCTGTGGTAGCACCTGCGTGTGAGCCCCCCCCCCGCCCCCCCCCCCGCCCGCCGCCCATCGGGCCCTCCCACAGGAGGGAGGGGAAACGCCGCTCCCCTGCGCACGCCCCCATTTTCGGGCTTTCTCCCACCCCGTTCTGTCACAACTGCTCCTGGGTCCGGGGAGCGACAGCGAGCCCCCGGGCCCTGCGTGGGCACAGGGCGCTGCCCCCCACACCCCTCGCTGCTGCGACCAGACGCGGCTCTGCGCGGACCCGAGGGGCCCAGGGCCGGAGGCACAGGCGGCAGGCAGGCCCGACTCGCGCGCACACGTTGCTGAGGCCGCCGCCCCGCTTTTCTCGGGCCGCGGCGTGACCCGCCGCTGGAGTTCTCACAGGCGCTTAGTAGGTGGCTGACATTCTACTCTGCTATGCGACAGTTCGGTCCCTCTCCTGATGGGCAGCAGGTAGCACAAAAAGGCAGAGGAGAGTCTTCAAAGGGATTCTGGAAAACTGGGGGATTGGGGACGTAGGGCTGGGACTACTGACACACAGCGGAGTGAACGAGTTCACTTTTTGAGCTATTGATAGTGCAGTAAACTTGCAGGAAAATAACTATGAAAGAAAAAAGAAACAAGGATGACTGTACATCACAGGGCCCACGGCCTTGGAGTGGCCTGCAGAGGGCGAATCAAGGGGCACCTGCCGTGGCCGTGACCTTGGGGCACTGCAGGCAGGCGGAGCCCGGTCAGGCCTAGACGTCAGTTTCCTCTCCTCCTCGTGCCGGGCCAGGAGCTCCCACTGACCAGACAGGCTGGAGACTGGAGGGCCCAAGAGCAACAATGCCCACCTTCCCCCGACAGGCGCACCCCTTCCAGGCGGCCTCCTGCAGCAGAGAGCGGGGGGAGGGGGACACGGGCACCTGGGGCAGCGTCACGTGGAAAGCGGCCCCCCCGCCCCCCGCAGGCCCCGGCCCAGAGCTGTCCTCCAGGGCGGACCCCTCAGAGAACCGGGGGGAGGGGGGACGGCCAAGCAGCAGGGCGGTCGCTGTTCCTTTCGTCTTTGGACCAAGCACAGTTCTTCTCACAATTACTTGGGCCCAGACAGCAGGGCAGCAGGTAACTGTGGATGTGCAGAAACAGCGGGTGTCTCCCAATACTGTCACCGGGAAGCAGCTGACGGGAGAGACGGCAACGCCTGCTCCTGTCTGTCCACCCACACGGCCGACACCGCCTTCCTAGAGCCTCACGCGCTGTCCAGCTGGCACCTCGACAGCAACCGCAGCAACGCCAGCCACTTCCCGCCCACAGAAGCTGCTTGTCCGGGGTGCCTGGCGGCTGCGACGGGTGACGGACAACGTCCCAAATGACAGCAGCCCGTGAGCATCACTGCGGTCGCCGCAGCCGGGAGGGGCGGAAGGGCCTGACCTGCGAGGCGTGGACAGCTCCGCTTTCTTCCTTAAGTAAAGTGGACCGTCCCACACCACCCCAGTTTCAGAGACACAGATCTGTGAGGAAGAGCGATGACCTGGGAAGGGCCCCCGAGACGCCGTCCGCGGCCCGGAAACGTCTGCTGGCTGGGGCCACGGTCTCCTACCCCCCTTCTCAGGGTGGCAGCGGCTTCTGGGCACACTCACCGCTCTGACACAAGGTGCAGACAGACTGCCGGGTGCTAGGGATCAAGGCAAGGTCGTGGGACCGCCCCGGCCCCTTCTCTGCCGCCAGTGCACCTCCAGCTGCCGCTGCGGGTCAGAGAGGGACCCGCTGGGAAAGCTCAGCTCCCCACCCCAGACCGAGCCGGGCCCTACACCCACGAACGCTCTGTGGACGGTGCTGTGGCAGCAACTCAGTCGTCTGAACAGCTGTGCAGCTGAAGGGCAGCGCGCTCGTCCACGTCCAAAGCAACATGCCGGCATGGCCGTGAGCAGCAGCTGCCAGGAGTGCGTGTCTGCTTCCAGCCCCGGTGTCGAGCCCACAGGAACACCAAGTGGACACTGAGGAGACGTGCCTCTCAGCAGAGGAGCCCCCACGGGCTGGGTAGGTCCAGTAGGTGGCGGGCGCTGTGGCCAAGGCCAGAGGTCAGCTCAGTCTGTGACTCAGCCACAGCCACCCAGAATGTGCCTGCTGTCCCCCATGAGGACCAAGTGGACCTCGGCAGAAGCCTGCATGCGACGCTGTCACCGGCAGCACACGGGGGCACGGCAGGCCCCATGCCGGTGTCAGGCCGGCCGGGCATCGGTGAGAAGCCACCCGCACGTCCTCAGGCCGGCCAGTCCTGCTTACTCGGAAGGTGGCTTAGGGAACCGTGCAGCTTGCATAAGGAACTGCTGGGGAGATGCGGGGTTACCCCGCCAGCCATCAGGGGTTGAGAATCTGGGGCATGACACTCAGCACGGACTCCTGCCACCTCCTGGTGGAGCTCCTTCCGTCGCCCTCCAGAGTGGCTCAGCTCTGCGTTTACAAGCTTCCCCACGGCCGGTCTCAGGTCTGGGTCTGTTTTGCAGCCCGCGCACAGTGGGTCCTCAACATGTATTGACTGAATCAACAAATGACAGGCTTCACCTCGGTCACCCCAGCTTCCCAGCCTGGTGTCTCCACCTCGTCAACTCTTCCTTCCACTGCTCCCCTGAGGTGTCTCCACAGCAAGTGGCTTCATTTTCCTCCTGCGCTGGCGGGTGGGCCGTGCTGGGATTCACCCTGATTTTCCGTGGCTATTTTTATCACCTCTCGCTGTTAATTCCACGACCCCCTACATTCCAGAGGTGCGGGTGCGTGCACGCTGCCCCAGATGCACCAGCGCAGGAGACACGAGCGTGGCAGGGCCTCTCCTGCCAGCGCCAAGCAGTGAAGGGGACGAGCAAAGGGAACCGGGCTGCCCTGCTGATCACGGTGTTTTCCAAACTGGTCTAGGAGCTGTGACTTCTTCCCACTTCCAGGCCAGGGGTGCGCTCAGGGACGCAGGGCAATCCTGGCGGACAGCACCCACACGGCCATTGGCCGGTGCGGTTTAAGACCTCGCCACGACCAGCCACAGCCCAGGAGGTGCTGCCCACACGCCCTCCATGTGCCTTCACTGCTCCTGCCCGCAGACCACGGGCCTGAGGAACTGCCATGGCCGCCCAGAGCCCAGCGTGTCGGCCTGGTGGCTGCCCGGGAGCCCCTGACACCCTCCCCCCGCCGGGACGGCCCCTCCCCAGAGAACCGCTTGTCACAACGCCTCTCCTCGGACAGGAACGACACGCCAGACCCGCCTGATGTCACTGCTGCCGGCTGGGGCTGGGGACTGATCGGGGGACTGCCCAGGGGACAGACTGGGCATGAAGATTAGAGCCGAGGGGGCGGTGCAGCTGCAGGTAAGAGCCTGGCCTGGAGCCGCCTCCCGCCCGCAGACCCGCTCGGGGAGGACTGACCCGGGTCGGGCCGGGGCGGTCGCGGAAGCCACGCGCTGAAGGGCCTGGGAGGCGACGCTGCACAGAGCCCGCAGAGGCTCCGGCTGGTCTCAACCACCCAGCTGGGCGGGCGGGCGGGGCGGGGCGGGGGCGGGGGCGAGGAGGGCCCCCCCACGGCCCCCCCACATGCTGGCCCCCCCTGGCCTGGCCAAGTGGGTGGGTTCTGCGCTCAGCCCTCCCTGTACTGGCGTCTGGGGCACGTCTGTCGCATCAGGACCCACGAGCCCCCCTCTCGCCCGCCCTCCTCCCCGGGCGCCCTCCTCCCCGGGCGCGCGGCTCGCCTGGGCCTGGGCCTGGGCCTGGCACCGGGAACAGGGCACCGAGCAAGCAGGCGAGGCCTGGGTTTCCTAGGTTTCACTGAACATGCATCAGGAAACCTAGATACTTGCATGTTGGCATCGTGAGTTCCTTGCAAACATTTAAACAGGACCTGAAAAATTAGTCTGTGCTCTCCAGTTACGTGACTGAAGTCACTGAAGAGGCTAAGACAGCAGCGTCCGACCCCTCCGGACACGGGCACCTTGCCCACCCTCCTGTCCCAGCCGCTGCCAACCCGGCGGCCGCTCACACCCGGCAAAGCCCACAGGAGCTGAAAGCCCGCGGCTCCAGAGAAGGCAGGGCGCAGGCCCAGGCCCTACGGTCAGGTGGACGGAGAAGCGCAGGCGGCCTGTGGGCGCGAAGGCACAGCTCGCCAGCTCCGCGGCGCCGAGAGGAGCCACGTGGACGCCCCTCCCCGACGGGGGCACAAGGTCAGGCCCCGCCCCCCAGCCACAGCCTTCAGCTGCTCGGACCTACCTGCCTGTCGCATGAGTTCTCCTCCCAGACCCCTGAAATTTAATAAAAACATTCAGAGTTAAAATCGCTTAGTACATAAGACAACCTAAAAGATCCTCCCCAAGTAACTTCAGACTCTAAAAATTAAGCTGTTAATTAGTAGCATGTGCTATTGAAAGTAGGAACTACTTCTGAGGGAGGGCACTCGTAAAGTTTTTAATGTATGCCAGCACCGCTCAGTGTTTATAGACTTCATTTAATCTCCTTAGGAGATTTTATTTATTTATTTTAGAGAGAGGGTAACAGAGGGAGAAAGAGGAAGAAGAACATCCTGGTGGGGTTGCCTCTCGCACGCCCCCTGCTGGGGACCCGGCCAGCAGCCCACACAGGTGCCCTCACGGGGCGTGGGCCCGGCGCTCCGTCCACGGAGCCCCACCAGCCGGGGCTGTTCCATTAATTTTTTTTTTTAAATAAAAAGCCTTATTTATTGAACAGGATTTCCTGTAAATCTCATCCTCGTATTGTTTAGCAGGACCTGTCCTGGACAGAATAAATAGAAAAAAAGAAAATTAATTTTTTTCAATTACCGTGGATGTTCAATATTATTTTCTATTAGTTTTAGTTGTAAAAAACTACCTTTTTAGAGGAAGAAATGAAAAAAACGTCCTGCAACCACCCCCAGATCTTAGTAAGCGTCACTCTGATGTTCAGTTTCCCCGGACACCGCAGCCCTTTCTGGTGTAAATGACATCGAACGGTCACACAGAATGAATTTCAAACACAGTCTGACTCTTCCTCGGAAGGACGGAAGGAACCGGAGGCCCCGGGAGGGAGCCGCCGCTCTGCCCGCTCTCACAGCTGCACCTGGTTAATATCTGACGCTGACAACAGGAAATTGGTGAAGTGAATACAAGAAACACTCAGTGAGAAGACAGGAAATTAATTTCTGAGACTTTGGCTTCCGGCCCAGATAGAGTACCAGGATCCAGATTTGCCTCACGCCTGAAACAATTAGAAAACTAGATGGAACGAAGGTTCCGCGACACTGGAAACTGAAGGCCTGCCCAGGGTGCTCCAGGAGCTGGGCGTGGCGGCCAGGGGCCGCTGTCCTGCTGAGCCGAGGAGGCTGGGTGGACACGCGGGGAGGCCGGGGCAGCGGCGAGGGAGCCGCACAGGCAGAGCTCTGGGGCTCTGCGGGGGTCTCCTCGAGCCGGGGCTGATCGTGAGCTGCACACACAAGAGAAAGAGGTAAGAAACCCCCAGAAGGCGGTGGCGGGCACCTCCCGGAACTGCACGGGCTGGGAAGAGCCCCCATCAGCCAGAGCGGCAGGGCCTGGCCACCGAGAGCGCCAGCAGTGCCCGCGGCGGGGTCGGCTGGCAGGCGGCGAGCTTGTCCTGCACCGGCCACAGGCCTCTAAAGGGTCAACTGATCCCGAGCAACACAGTGACCGCCAGGAAGCAGCAGCCAGCACTGTCCAGAGAAATAGAACAAAACCCAGTTCCAGGGATGGAAGCCCCACAAAGCTTGGCATCTAACTGAGAACCACCAGGAAACTGCAAGAAACGCCCCAATCAGGGAGCACGTGCGGCCAGCAAAGCGGCTTCAGATTCTCCACACGCCCCAGAGGACGGGACTCACAGGCACAGGCAGGAGGCACTGAAGGTCTAAAGGAGACAAAGGCAACTTCAGAAAACACACACACACCTGAAAAGAAGAACCGCACTGAACGCAACAGAAGTGGGAGAAAAACCAAAGTAACGAAAGGAAGAGGTTTAAGCAAATCTTGCTACAAAGTGATTCTCCAAGACTAACGGAATCACATAAAAATGAGAGGAGCCGGTTTGCGCAGGCTGTGTGGGGCACAGCGGGGGAGCCGGAGCGGGGAGAGCAGCGTCCAGGCAGCGGGGTGACAACGCCCAGGGAGGAAAGGAGCCGCAAGGCCCCCACGGCGCTGCTCTGCGCGGGGCAGAGCGGGAGGGGGACGCGGTTCCCTCAACACAAGCCCCAGGTAAGGAGCCTAGAAAGGAGGAGGGGCTCTGGCCTCAGAAGGCCACCGACCCAGGCAAGGAGGGCGGGGCTGCAAGGCGGGCTTGCTCGCATCTCGAAGCCAACCCACTCCCCCGTTCTCTCTCTGGCTGTGGGGGATGCGCCTGTCCCTGGCACGCTCGACCCCGTGGCGGTCGTCCCTGAACCCAGGAGTCACGCTCAGCGTCCCTGTTGGGAGCCGTGCTGGCACGCCGCCTCTGTGGGGCAACATGGGTCGGGCCGCGGCAGCCAGGTCACGGGCACACCAGGGCCGGTCGTGAGGGGGAGACCCAGAAGGCCCAGGATGAGCAACGTCATTGAAGACAACTGCCCAGAACTCCGTCCAAGAGGGCGCCATGAAAAACAAGAAGGGAGGGGACTGAACAACAGTGACCACAGCACAGGAGCTAGAGCCGCTCCCAACTCCGTGAAGGAGGCCACAGGGGGACCCGCCCGAGGGAGCCCGGGTTCCCTCCAGGGGCGGCGCCGTGCCCCGGGCGAGGGGAGCGATGGCCCGTGGCCACCCAGGGCGGGGCCCTGCTCCTCGGCACCGCACTCTCTCAGGGTCTAGAGATGAAACGCCGGCCAGCAACAGGCTTTCCACAAAGAAAAACCAGTGACAGTCCCGTAGAGAGAGACACACCCTCAAAGAGATCAAGCAAAGGGTCCTGATGTTGGTCACGGACGAGAGGGAGGCTCGGCAAGAGCTTCCGCCAGGCCCCGCAGGCAGGCGTGGCGTCACCCTGTGCTGTGGTCCCGGCAGGGTCTCCCCTGGGGGTGGTCACACACCCTTCTCCACTGACCTCACTGAAGGGCGTTATTTTGTATTTATTCTTGAGACTCATCACTAAGAAAGAAAATTTACAAAGGGCCAGCGTGCATTTAGAATTTGTGGGGGTCCGACGGGTGTCCTCAGACGCCTCTGCTTCCCAGGAGAGCCGCGCACCCCGCCCTGGGGGCATCTGCACGTCTCATTGGGCCGGAGAGTTCAAGCCCTTTCACCGGCAACAAACATGGCTTTTACCAAGGGTGGGGCACGGCTCCTTTCTTTGTGGGGTGGGGGAAAGGCTGGCAGTGTCCGCCCCCAGGCCCCTCCGCACCAGAAGGCAGAGCCCCGCCCTCCTCCTGGCCACAGAGGTCCTGCCAGGGCTCCACCCGGCTTCACCAGCTGCTTCCGGCGAGAAGCCCACTCACACACACACAGGAAGGAAACGACCACCCTGTGTCACTCAGGAGATGTGTGCACCGCAGGACACACACGCCCCACCCCCACCCCACTCAAGGGCAGCTACTGGACACCACCACAAAAGAACCTGTGGCCGTGGGCCCATCTGGCCACCAAACCAGGGAAACCAGAGAGCACAAGCGTCCCAGGCCCAACGGCGCCGGGGGTGCCAGCAGGGTGCCGACAAGCCCCGCGCACAGCCCCGCGCAGGCGGACTGCGGGGGCAGGCCTGGCCGTGCGCGGAACGAGGGCTGAGGCTGCAACCTCACCAGGCGCAGACCCGTCCGGAAAAGGGATTCAGAGACAGGCGTGGACTCTGGGAGGATCCACGTCTGGTAGCAGCGGCGACTGGGCCCGCCCCGGACCTGCCCAGCACCGTACCAGCTCCCAAGGGAGGCTCCCAGCGCGGACAGAAAAGGGTCAACATGTAAACCCGGCAAGCGCAGGGGAGGCCTCACCAACTCAGACCGAACAGGGTCACGGAGGGCGTTCAGTGCGCAGACATTCCTGACAGACAGCGGGTCCTGGCGGGTGGTCACGTCCCCGGCCTGGAGCTGCCTTGACAAAGGTCAGCCTTTGCCTCCAGTGAGCCTGGCTGTGGTCTGTGTGCATCTAAGATAACGTATCTCTGAAATCGGACTGCTGTTTTGTGCGTCGAAGGTAACACAGCTCGGCAACGTCCGCCTCCAGAGCCCTCGGGGCGCGGCCAGAACAGGGGCGCGCCCGGCCCGCCCGTCACCCCGCCGCCCCCAACCCAGCTCCGCCGCCACGCTGCCAGCGGCGTCAGCCACCTCGCACTCCGCCTAAGAGCGCGCGTCTCCCCGGCTCACTCTCTATCCAATCCCAGAGGTTTCCCCGCTCTGCTTCTGCTGCCCCCTTAATCTACCACCGAGGGACTTCCTACGACCCTCCTTCGGTCGCCTCCTTGATTCTAACGCGTGAAATAAGCTGTAAAACTGCCATTCCCCAGAGCGCTTTTCCAGGCTGTTGATTTTTTGCCTCCCCGCAACTGCCAGTCTGGCTCAAATAAACTCACAAAAACTCCACGTGGATGTTTCCAAGGTGACAGCAGCTGAGAAGCACCCTGCTCCGAGCCGCCCCCCACCAGGCCCCGGCTCCCAGGAGAGCTGGAGGCAGGGAGAGGCCGATGTTCACGGCCCTCCTGTTACGTTAAAAAGCCACTAGGAAAAATGAAAGGCCAACCACGGACAGAAAGAAAATTCTGGCAAACGCTCTGTCTACGAAGAGCTCGGCATGCAGACTCAGTGAGGACGCTGACGTCGCGGTCCAAAGGCAGATGGTGAGGTCTGGGAACAGCCAGACACCAGAACAGTCACAGCGCGGAAAAGGACAGGAGAGGTGAAGGCCGCTGGCCCCAGGGAACGCACGCCAGCAGGGCCGGCTCCCGTCCAGGCGCGAGAGGCGGGCAGCATCGCTGCGTCTCAGAGTCTTCAAAGCAGATAGGGGCCGCGTGACCCAGCAATGTCACTCCTGGGACTCGCCCCAAAATGAGAACACTTGCCCACGCCAAGGCCTGTGTCAAGGTTCACAGCAGCCCTCCCCCAAGCAGCCCGAAGCTGGCACAAGCCAAACATCCGCTCCCCAGAGACCAGATGAACACACAGGCCCCAGGGGACTCCCACGTACACGCAGCCACACGTCTCAGACGTCATGCTCCAAGGGAGACCGACCCAGACTCCTCAGAAGGAGCCCATCCGTGGGACACTGGGAAAAGACAGCGGTCCAGCGCCGAAGGGCGGACGGCGGGCAGCACGGCCAAAGGGAGCGAGTGTTGGGGCGCCGGCCTTGCGGGGGCCGCCGCCGCAGGAGCCCCTGCGGGCCCCGAACCCGTCGGACTCCATGCGTCAGCCAGCACGACCGTGCGCCACGGGAACCCCCGTACACTCGGCAGACTGACGCGGGGGGACCTCTCGCTCTACAAGCAGCGACTGTGACACATGTTCCAGTGAAACAGACACAGAACCGACTCCGCAGGCGAATGGGACTGGAGCCGCACTCGGTACTGAGGCGTGTGAGCAGGGGAGCCAGCGCGCTTTTCTCAGTGAGACACAAACACAGGGACTTCGGGTTGGTAAAGCTTACCTGTATAACTGACGATCGCAAAGCTAAAAAAAAAAAAAAAAAAAAAGGAAAGTTATCTTCTGGCATGAGTTCTTTAGGTTTTTAAAATAGGTATATAGTACTAGTGAGAAAACAAGGCCCAGGCTGGGCAGCCTCGGGGACAGAGCCCCCTTGGCTCTCTGCGAGCCCCTCACTGAATGCTCACGACAGCCTCGCTCCGGAGGGAAGCGCAGGCGCGTGGCGGAGGCGGGGGGCGGGGCCGGAGGAGGGCCAACCGGGACCCTGGCGGCGCCTCTTCTACTGCGGGGCGTCAGCAGCCTCTCGCATGCTCGCCGCCGCAGCCCAGCGGACTGGCAGCCCACGCTGCGCTTCCACTTGCCCAGAAGCTCCAGGAAGCGGGCTGGCACCACCCACACTTGACGGAGAAAGGAAGCCGCAGGGCAGCGGCCGCGTGGCCTCCGTCCCCAAGTCCTCACGCTGCCTCCTGGCGCCGCAGGCTCACACGCGGTCAGTGTCCTGACACCTGAGCAGGGCGGGCCAGGCTCCATTGCCAAGTGAGAGAAGTGAGCAGAAAGACGAGCGGCTGACCCAAAGCTGTAAAGCGCACGGCACAAACAGATGGGAGCGTGCGGCTAAGTGTGCACCATTGTATAAAGAATAAAAAGCCTATCTGGGACAACGAACAGCGACGTCATTAAGGCCTCATCCCGCCTCCGGTGTTGTCTCGTAACATTGAGGCTCATCGTCCTTTTGGACTCCTCAGAGTCCCTCTGAGGAGCTGAAAACGCAGAAAACGCACAGCCCTCCTCCCCAGAGCGGTGAGCACACGACCCCGGACGCCCACCACGATGGCCCTGCCGGGACCCCGAGGCCTCCACGCCGCCTGGAGTCCCAGCGAGAACCAGCCCCGAGGGGAGCGAGCCCAAGCCACGAGCCTCCCGAGGGAGGAAGCGCCCGGCGCCCGGGAGGGCGCGTGAGAGGCTGATGCGTCTGCGCCGGCCGGGCTGCACCGGGCCTGCTGGGCGCCGGGCGCCCTGCCCAGGGGACACCGGCCACACGGGAAGAGATGCTCTCCCATCCACACAGACCCCACGGGGCTGCTCCCCCGCCGACAGAGGCCAGGCCGCCCACTGCCCCGGGGCTGAGGAGGCCGGGGGGAGCTTGCGGCCTGGCAGACACCCCAGACATACGGACCTGCTGGTGAATCTGTTTCAGACCCTGCACCGCCGTCTCGTCCAGGTAGTCGGCAAGAGGCCTGCAGGGGTTCAAACACAGTGCATGAGGCCCCAAGCCCCACGGGAGTCTGGACCCGCGAGGCCTCCCCTTGGTTCAGGTGCGTCGCCTGCTCCTGCAAACTCCTACAGAAGGTCCTCCCCTGAAGCAGCACCTTCTCCAGGGAGTGGCTACGGGGACCACATCGGTAAAGCTCGGACCTACAGACAGTTTGCTGATAAAAGGGACAGTCCCCTCCATGAACAAGTAGCAGCAGACTCCCAACAGCTGGCGTGGCACTTGGAAGGAAGGCTCGACCGGCTAGGGCTGGGGAGAGGGCCTTGTGACAGGCAAGAGGCTCGCAAGGCGGGCCCTCGATTTGCACCCGGAACTCAAGATCCGGGAGGGTTCCCACCATCCCCTCGTGGGTAAGCGTGACTGTGCCCGAACTGCGCAGCCAGGTGGGCTCCTGCTGGAACCTGGCTGTCTTCCAAGAGGCGGGATTCTGGTGTGTGCAGGTGGAGCACACCCACAGGGCTGACCACAGCAGAAACCTGGGCGTCTCTCTCGGGCCCTCCTGGCAGATGGCGCCTCCACCTGCACAGCCGGTGCCGGGGAGCAGGCATCCCAAGCCCGGCCCTGGCCCTCGCCGACCGCCGGCCCACAGGCGCCTCGTCCCCCCCAACCCCCGCCCGTGCGCTGCCCGCGAGACTGCGGCTGGGAGTCTGAGGTGCGCAGGGGACAGCCACCAGCCTCGGGGTGAACTCGGCCCCTGCCTGCCGTCCGTCCTGCCCCCAGGGGATCACCTACTGACGCGATGCAAATTAATCAGTTTTTCTTAAACTGCATTAAGCAGCAGGTTCCTCTGTCCCATTCGTGGTGGGGCTTTTACTGCTGAGGGCAGTTGGAGAGAAAGGTAAGAAGATAAAGTGGCGCCTTCCCCGATGCCGTCGCGGGTAAACCTGCTCACAGGCCCCACAGCTGCCTCTCTGTCCACACCTGCTCCCCACCGGGAAGGCTCTTAATGAAAACTTACAAATCTACAAGTTTCAAATTGGTAAAAGTACAAATGACAGAGGACACTGGGCACGTGAGCTACTCAACGCTTCCCCGTCTCTGAAAACCCCTCCTCGCTCCTGCGACCTCACTCGCCCCCTCAGAACCAGTGCAGTGACCTGGACGCAGCCACAGGCCACCTCCCACACTGATGACACTGCGTGGCCACTGAGGCCGACCCCCCACCTGAGAAACACGGCGACGTGCCGAAGGCTCGGCGGTGGCGGCATCCTGGGCACTCGGGCGCCTTTGCCGTGAGGCCCTGCGCTGCTTGGACGACGTGCTGTTCCACGGCACAGCGCAGACGTCACTGCGCCGTGTGCGGGACTCGCCTTATTGTGGTACGTGCTACACAGCAGTCCACCCGCACAGAGCACTCACGGCCGACAGCGGCCCCGTCTGGCCATGTGCCCACTGGCGCCCCGAGGGAGAGGCGCGTGGTCCATCAAGGGCCACAACTCACCAGAGGGGAGAGGACCAGTGACAAACACCATCGATCAACTGTGAAGACTCTGGGGTCAACCTCTTTGGGTTAGCGGGAGGGTGGGGCCGCTCCTACCTATTCTCCCGCACCGCCAGGGCGCACAGGCCGTGAGTGACCTCCGCACAGGCGAGCACAGCCCCGTGACGCGTGTGCAGGTCTGGGCTCCGTGTCATCGACAGCAGGCGTGGGAGGACTGCAGAGGACAGGACAGGAGAAGGCGTCACAGGCAGGCGCACAGGGCGACCGGCGCAGCTCGATGACTCGGGACCCAAAGGGAGAAGCGCGCGCTGCGGTTCTCTGCTGAGAGCTGCTGCAACCACCCCCGGGACGGCACCTGCTGTCACTGGCGGGCCCGCCTCCGCGGCACCCAGGCGGGTGAGGAGGCACGGGACTGAGCTGCAGGACCCCTCCCCCCAGGGCGCCCCAGAGCCCCAGGGCTGCTCGGAGCCGAGCCAGCCTCTGAGTCTCCCGCACTCTGGGACGCGAGGGAGCCGCCAGACCCTCACAGCCTGGTGGGGAGGGCAGGCGAGGTGCCACGTCCGCCCGGGGACGCCACAGCCCCTCTGAGCCTCAGCCTCCCCGAACGCCCACGTGCGGCCCTGCGGGGGCCGTGCGAGCTCCCGCCCAGGCGCCCCCGCGCGGCGGCCAGTGGCGTCCGTGTTTGAGAACCAGGGAAACCCTGCATCCTAGGGCCCCGGGAGCTCCTGAGCTGGGAAGACAGGACAACACTGAGCCCTCCTTCTAGGCAACAAAGATCATGGGTTCTAGGTAAGCAGGAGCCAGATCCCTGGCACCACGAAGACGAAAGGGCCCTCAGGACCACTACGAGCCCCAGAGCGCTACGCACATAGGTGAATAAAGTCAGAAACTGTGAGGGAGGAACCGCAATCCAACCAGCAGTTGCTCTAACAAACGCCTGTGGAAATAAGTACCATTTTAGGAGATGCATGTGTGCTTCCCATGCTGAAATCAGACCCTTATTTATTCCCAATAAAAAAGACAAGATGGGACAAGAGGGGGTCTTCCCGTACCAACAATTATCTTGGACGTGGCCGCGCCACCTGGCAGGGCCCAGGAAGGCACCCTCACAACACAGCAGGCTGGCCCCAAGGCCGTGAGCCACCCAGGAAGCAGCTCGCTTTTTAGCTTATTACACGATGCGTTATCTCACTTTCTTCCCTGAAATACCCATGGCATGCACAATTCCATCAACCCCCCGAGACCGCGTGCACACAGGGCACGGCCCGGCACTCCCCGTGGACTGACTCCGCGGCACCACGGCGCCGCCTGTCGCCGGGGAGACCGCGGCAGCTGGTCTGTGTCCCGTCCCCCGATTCTCAGCAGGAGAAACACACAGTTTTCCGCTCCTCCAGGCCTTGAAACCAGCAGGGTGGCCCGTGCGTGTCTGTGGTGTGCACATGTGTGCGGGTGTGAGGCGCCCACAGGAAGGCTGGAGCCCACTCACCTTGGACAGCGCTGTACTCAGGAGCCCGTGGGACCAGGTTACAGAGCGCCTTCGCCGACAGCTCTCTGATGGCCCTGGGGGGTGAGGGGACAGAAACTCAGCGCCTCCATGTTGATGGCTCTGGCTTTATTCAGTCATGGAGAGACAATCTACACGAGCCAACTGGCCACGGAGGCAAAACCACTACTGGAAATAAACACACAAATGAGTAAGAACCTCCACCCACGACCAGTGAGGAAGAAGGTGTCACCAAACGAGCACCTAAACACAGGCGCATCTCAGGGCGCAGCTGTGGCACTGGGTGGCAAAGTGCCTCCGCCCTCACCCCGGGGGCGCTGGGAGGAGCCTGGGGGGGCCTGAAACCGCCAACTCTCCGAAGAAGATGGGGGCAGAGCCTCATGACCTCGGATTTAGCAGTGATTTCTTGGCTATGATACCGTAAGCACAAGCAACAAAAGTAAAATCAGACAAGCTGATAATAAATTGGACTATATTAAAATTTAAAACTTCCGACTGTATCAAAGGACACACTAAACAGTGAAAAGGCGGTGTGTGGAATGAGAGAAAACATCTGCAAATCACATCTGGTAAGGACTGATACCTAGAATATAGAAAACTCCTACAGCCCAACCACAAATAAATAACTGCATTTAAAAAGGGGCAAACACCTGAGGAGACAACGCCCCAAAGATGAAATAGAAACGGCCAACAAGCACATGAAAGGTGTCCAACATAATAATCATTAGGTAAACACAAACCGAAACCACAACCAAATACCACTTTGCACTCATCGAGATCACACTGAAACCCGTGTGCATTGCTGTTGGGCACGTAAAATAGTGCAGCCACGGGAAAAAAAGTATGGTTCTTGAGGTCCTTAAAAAAACTAAAAACAGAACGACCATGTGACGCAGCAGCTCTGCTTCTGGGTATGCCTGTCGCCCACAGCGCTGGGGGCGGGGCCCGCAAGACACCCGACACCCACGTTCACAGCGGCCAGGAAATAAAAGCAGCTCACGGGTCTGTCAACAAATGAACCGGACTGAAAAATGCGGGTTGTGCAGCAATGAAATGTCACTCAGTCTCAGAAAAGGAGATTCTGACCCACGGCACAAGGCGGGCAGGCCTTGAGGACACTGCACTCGGTGAGACCAGCCAGGCACAAAAGGACAGATACTTGGGTGGCTCCAGATGACGTCCCTAGAAGAGGTGGATTCACGGACACAAGCAGTGGAGCGATGGGGACCAGGGTCGGGGGGTCTTGTTTCATGGGGACAGTTTCAGTTTTGCAAGATGCAAAGTTCTGAGACTGGCCCTGGCTGGTGGGGCTCAGTGGACGGAGCGCCAGCCTGCGAACCAGAGGGTCGCCGGGTCGATTCCCAGTCAGGGCACAGGCCTGGGTTGCGGGCCAGGTCCCAAACGGGGCCGTGCAAGAGGCAACCACAAATGGGTGTTTCTCCCCCTCTCTTTCTCCCCTTGCTCTAAAAATAAGTAAAATCTTTTTTTAAAAAAAGTTCTGAGATTGTTTACATAACAAAATGAATGTACTTAAGACTACAAAACTGTACACTAAAAATGGTTTTGATAACAAACATCCTGTGTATTTTATCACAAGCAAAGCATCTTTACATTATGTTTATCTTGATGTATAAATTATCTGGAGTGAATGTGTCTAAGCAGCAGAAAAACTTTAAAAAGAAACCCAAGACAGTGAACCCAAGCCTCTTAGAAACGTTTACCTGTGCTAACAGTGGTACGCTACACTAAAGTGCTTGGAAAGGATTCTGTAAGGATCGAACCACTAGGAAACACCTGAACCTAATGTGATACTGTATGTCAGCTATACTTCAATAAAATATAATAAGAATAAATAAAACACAGTTAAAAACAGTGAAGAATCCCGTACAGTTCCCCGTGACAGAAGCGCAGACCTTACCCGTCCCAGTGGTTGACCTTCATGGAGAGCAGGTGGTCTATCATCGGCCGTGTGTACTCAGGGAAGCCGGCAATGAACACGCTGAAAAGACAGCACCCAGAGGGGTGAGGACGTGGCGGCCCGGACGCCCCCACCCTGCTTGTGAGAGTGGGAAACGGCGCCGCCACAGAAACGATTTTCTATGAAGTTAAATATGCGGAAATCCCCTTGTAAGCAATTATTCAAGGAAATGATGAGAACGACCATACACAAAAATATCCCCTTCACATCATTTACAAGAGCAGAGACTGGAGAGACACCGGCGGCCAGGAGGGATAGACCGAGGACGCGGACTGCTCGGGACGCAGGCGGAGCGCGCGGCGCACAGGTGTCCGGCCTAGCAGGACAGCACACGGAGCTGCGTCCCCGCTTCTGACAGCGGCCCATCGCCATCCGCCGGCCTTGGCTGACAAGCACTCCAACCCTGTGCACAGGGCTCCCATCCAGCAAGGAAGTAAGTCAATGCAGCAACGTGTGTGAAATGACCAAATCTCTAGACGAGACAAGAAGCCGGAGACAAGGGGGACCCCTGGCCTGGAGCCCGATGGCTGAAAGGAGAGGGACACAGACTTGGCCTCCAGGGACACTCTCCCGCACCTTCTGAGACATACACGATGCATGCCATATGCATTGCCTCTCCCCAAAAATGCACGTGCACACTTCACGCCCCTGCACCAGCCGATGGCTGACGCGCGCTGTCTGAACCCGCCGCACCCCCACAGCCCGCTGTGGCCTGGTCACCACGTTGTGCCAGGCGGCACAAAGACAAAGCAGACGGCACAGAAAGCCAAGGGGAAATACAATTTCACACGGATGCTGTGTGCACAGCATGTGTGTGTGCACAGTACGTGTGCATGCACACCGGAGGAACACGCGGCCAGGCGGGCAGGCTTGGGCTATGGGCTGTGAGATTGGGCCGAGCCTGCTCGGGACATGAGAAACAGGAAAGCAGAAGCTTAAGCTTGAGAGTCAGAAGGAAAAAACAGAAGAATCGGGATGGGGACAAGCTATCGAAAACAGGGCCGAGCCTTGACCCGCCCCCCACCCAATATCACCCCAGGGCCCCGGGCACCCCCCACCAGAGAGGCCCACCCCAGGCCAATGTCCAGGAGACAGCGGGGTTCCAGAAACTGGCAGACCGGCCTCTGGCCTCACAGGAAACACAGGCAGAGGCCTGTGGTTGAGGGCTGGTTCGAGCTCCGGCGCCAACCAGCGGCTGCTCTCGGAGAACGGCCGGCTGAGCCCCCAGCCCGGGGGCTCCCTGCGCTGACCAAGCGCCCCGCGTCTGCTTGGAGGCCAAGTGCAAACCCGGGGGCTGTGCTGCAGGGGTGGCGGGCGAGGCGCCAGAGGGGACAGCAGGCTGGCATGTGGCAGGAACGAGACGCCTCCCATCAGCCCTGCACACAGCAGTGTGTGTGTGGGGGGGGGGACTGGTGGCCGTTTCGTTGTGCGTCCAGGACCGACGAGCGGAAAAGCAGGACGAAGAACGCTGGGGGGCTGTTAGGGATGAAGAAGTGACAGAAACAGGTCGCAAGCTGGGAACGGGAAGGAGCAAGGCTGAGCCGACCGCGTGGCGCGCTGCTCACTGTGAGGGGTCTGCCCGCGGCGGTTCGGGCTGCGTCCCGGGGCGGAAGAGCTCCGCACGGGCACCTGCAGAGCGCCGGAGGGCAAGCGGCTGAAAGCGAGGCGGCCGCCGCAGGCTGAGAAGGACGCCCAGGCCAGCAGCCGTGAGAGACCCGTCAGGGACAAGCCGACAGGGTGCCGACGGCGCGAGTCCTGTCACACCCCGCGGCACAGCGGGGAGCAACGACCAACACTCAGGTCACAGTGACGGGATGACATGAGCCTACGGGGCCGGCAGCACCCCGGGCCCCCGTTCGCCGGCATTCTAGAAAAGGCAGGTCCTCTGAGAGGGCTCAGAGGCGCCAGGGCAGGGCCTGGGGCCCCCCGGGGTGACGGGGCCGTCCCCACGCTGACCGCGGCTGGGGCCACACGTCGGCCAAACCATGTTTTAAATGGGTGCGTTTTACTATAGGGAAATTGCATGTAATAAAATAGGTGTGCAAAAATAAAGCTGACTTTTTAAAAAAGGGTTTTGTCTTAGGAATACAGAGAACACGGAACAAGCCACACGCTGGGGGAGGACCTGCGGCCCATGACTCTGATCCAGCCCCGTGTTCAGAATGCACAAGGGGTCCACAGATTCTCAGCAGGAAGAAAACAACTCGTCAACAAACAAACAGGCAGCTGATGTGTCAGGCGAGCCAGGAGAAGACGCTGCCTGCCCCTGGTCCCCGGGAAGACCAGGCAAGGCCCCCGTCCTGCACAGCCGCCAAAACAGCCGAGCGGGTAAGACGGGCCCAGGGAGGGCTGGCGGGGACCCCGGAGACGGTGGGGCCCAGCGTGGCTGCTGGCCTTCGCCATCTGCAAAACCGTCCGGCCGCTTCTCAGCGTGAGGACCCAGCCATCCCGCTCCTGAGCGCTGAACCCAGGGAGGTGAGGGCTTGTCCGCAGACAGGCGCGCACTCGGCGTCCTGCAGCTGCACGGGGACAGCCACCCCGGGGACGCCCGTGACCTCCGCAGCCGAGGGGCGGGAAGCCCTAGGGCACCCAACAGGCTGGACCCAGGGAGGTCCGCTTACTGAGTGGGAGGAGCCAGAGCCAAAAGGAGCCCTGCCCACCGCCTGCTCTGTTCCTGTCACTCCAGGTCAAGGTGGCCTGCGGCCGGGGGCGCGGAAACCTTGGTAGCGATGGTGGCGACGGGGGACACGTGCAGTGTCCTGCGTCAGCGGCACTGACGGAAGCTGTCGAAGCGAAACTACAGGCAGGACGACTGCCGCCCGGCCCCTCGGCCGCCAAGGCGCAGGCGCCTCCGTTCGGGCCAACCCCACCCTGCAGAACCGTGTGCTCACGGGCGGCACCACCACCCAGCCGTGCCGCGGGCCCCTCACACGCAGGCCCTTCCTCCCCACAGGCGTCCCCAGGGCCGCCGACCCCCAGCTCTCAAGACGCCCGCCCCCCGGGGGCGCCCCCGCAGCCGCAGCAGCCCCGCCCGCACGGCCGGCGCCCTCTGGCTTCCTGCTGCCAGCACACAGCCGCAGTCCCAGGTCTGAGGGGCGGACCGGGCCGCCCAGCCGCACTCCCCGCCCGGGCTCAGAGGCCCCCGGCCCCGGTTGCTGCCGCCCCGACCAGGCTCCTCTGCCGCCCATCCTCTTCCGTGCCCCGCGGCCCCGGCGGGCTCAGGGCCCGGGCAGCTGCCCTGCCATGGCCAAGGGCACAGACCTTGGTCCCCGTGACCACGGGACCCCGTCCTCACCGACGGCCCTTGTCCACAGGAGGCGAGTCCCACACGAGCCGGAGAGCTCAGCAGCGAGAAAAGCGTGCCAGGCCAACGCCACTCTTCACCCCGACCTGAGGGGTGTTTCACATGCAGTACGAGCTCAGAGGTTAACCAAAGACAAAGACAGAGAGGACACAGGGGAGCTGCTGAGGACAGAGGCCGTGAAGGTCGAGGAGAGGCAGGAGGGCGCCGAAACGAGCCCGTCCGGGAAAGGGGCCCAACGCAGCGTTTCTAAGGAAGCAGCTGCGTCCATGCTGGTCACAGGGACACGCGGTCCGTGCAGGGCCTGCATGGCAGGGCATCAGGGTTGGCACCTAGACGCGGGGCGGCGGATGGCTTTTAAGACGCGTCAGCAGGCTTCTCCCAACTCAAGGTGAACACATCATGCCGTACAACCGACACCTTCCTCCTCGCGCGGCAGCACCTGCCCGCAGGCACAGAAGGCTGGTCCCACACCTCGGCCACCAAGTAGCAGCTTTGGCGGAACTTCAGCAAAGCACACGCAGGATGTTCAGCATCTATCCCTGGACCTGGTTCCTCAAACACCTCCTCACTGAGCTTGTAAACAGCCCGGACGCAGCTTCAACCTGGAAAACCCTGTTTACTGAGGCAGAAAAAGAGAGCAGTCACTCCTGATCCACGGCTTTCCTCGGAGAAGCCCAGCCCACGCATGTCGCCAGCAGGCAGAGCCGTGTGGCCCGCCGCCCGCCGCCGCGGAGACTGAGCCCTCCACAGAAACGGCGCCGCCACGCCAGGACGGCTCCGGGGAGAGCGTGCCCCTTCCAGTGCGCTCGCAGGGCTGCGGACAGCGCTTTCCAAGGCGAGCCCGCCCCCTGCCATCGGGCCCCGGCCGCCGTGGGCCGCCCGGCCTGCGTGTCCCTGAGGTTTTCGACAAGTGCGGTCATGAGCTGTGCACACGTCAGCCAGCGAGAGGCAAGTTCTGGTGACAGTTTACAATCCCACCCTTAACTTCCACACGTGAGTTACTCTTACTGGATCTTCCAGGATGAAGAAAGAAAACAGCAGAAACTGATTTTAAACATCTAAATCAAAGAGGATGTCATACTTTGTGATGAACGTTAAAAACTTACCTTATAACCAGGAAACAGTTAGATCTGTTACCAACAGCGAAATAGTCAGCTGTGGTCAAAATATCAATTCCATGAGGGAACGTGCCCTAAGGAAGGAGAAGAGCGGAGGCCAGTGAGGGCAGGGCCGGAGCAGAGGCCCCGTCCGCGCACCCGCGGCCTGCCCGTCCGCGCGCCCAGGGCCTGCCACCCGACGTCTGCCCCAGGCCCCGCAGGCCGCCTGCCGGACCCCCCCACCCCGCTGTCAGCTCAGACCCATCCCGTGGCGTGCTCTCCCCTCAGCCCTTCTGACCAGAGCTGGGCTCCGGGTCCCCCAAACGCCCCCTGCCCCTGCCCAGTCTCCTCGCGGCCGACCACGGGCCCCGGGGTCGTCCCCGTCACCCACAGTGTGACCGCCTCAGGGATGAAGGTTGTGCCCCCAGCCGAGGCCAACCAGTAAAGAGAAGGTCGGAGGCTCAGGGCGCAGGAGCCATGACACTGGCAGCGCCAAGAGGGGCCACGGGGTCGGTGGCTTCCAGAAGATGGCTCGTGCCACAGGCGGGATGAGCTGGGGCCGCCCTCACCGTCCCTGTGGAGCCAGGCTCCTCTGCCCCCACCGGGGCACCCACGGGCAACTGGCAACGTCGGGTGGCCCTCGGCAACACGCAGGCACTGATTCCCACGCGTGTGTAAAGCTGCTCGCACACTCGTGTTGCCCATGAAACCCCGCGAACTGCGTGGAGCCCAGTGAACCCTCCTGAGTCGCACCCTGAGCGAGTCTGGCCCGGACCGCCCCCCACCCCGTGGCCGGACACTCAGCCGGCAGCACCGCCTCCGCCCGAGCCCGCAGGGCGTCGCGGGGGCAGGGGGGGTGGCGTAAGAAGCTGCCGTACCTGTCTTCCCACACTCTCCTGGAAAGCGGCCTGGGGACAGAAGAACAAACAGCGTCAGTGAGCCTGCACTTGGCGAACATCAGGAGAAAAGCACAACAAATGCCCCATGGCTCTGGTTTTTTTTCCACAGAAGTCCTTGCTGGTGGCTGATCAGAGCCTCCAGGGTAGTTTGTTGTTCTGTCTTTGTGCCCTTAAAACCACAATTTAATGTTCCAAGTTTATATAACCAGCCTGTCCTGAAAAGAGGCCCCTAGCTGCCTGTGTCACCCCAAAGCTGATTCAAGGCCCTCGATTTAAAAATGGGAACAGAGGCAAATCAACTGGTTAAATAAAAGCCAGCAGCCAGATCAGCGTTGAGATAAAGGGCCAGAAGAGAAAGGACAGCTCAGGACCCTCCACCCTGCCCACTGCCCTCGGGTGAGGAGGGCAAGAGACCCCGGGTCCCGGGACGGGGGTCCCCGCCCTGGCAGGCGACTGAGGGAGCCGTTGCCCCGTGGGCAGGGCGGCCAATGCACAGAGTGGGAGGGGGCGCACACGCTGGAGCCGGGAGGCCAGGGTGCGGCTGCTTCGGGGAGAGAAGTCTGCCTGGAATCCAAGCCCACGTTCCAATGAGCTTCACACACGTGCATCTCTGCACCTTTTGCGGTTTTAACTTTGCATCTGCTAAGTAAACAAGGGCATATTTAAACATACAACGAAGAGACTTTCCCAGTAATTTTCAAAAATTACAATTTTAACCTGAAAAATAAATGACCTGCACTGTTTTATTCCACCTCTTCCCCAAGGTCCTTATTATGCTTCCCATAAAAATGTCTAACATTACAGGGAACAGAAGAAAACCTGAAAGTTAACATTTCTGTAGAGTTAACAGAAGGTTCCTCCTGTGCTGCAGAGGCTGGCGCAGATGAGCATCGGGCCAAACGCTAAGCCGCTCCGGGACCCACCGCGCTGTCCGCAGACACGTGCGGGTGCAGGCTCCGGGGAGAGGCTCTGCGCCTTCCTGGCTCCCTCTCCAGACACGGGAAGGAGCGAAGGCCCAAGGCCAGTATGACCTACGTCCGCCTGGGAAGGACGCAGGGAGGGATGTGGGGGCAGGGGGCATCGGAGGCTGTGAAGGACCAGGGGGCGCTGGGGCGGGAGCCCCGTCTGGAGGCCAGGGCAGCCCCCCACGCCACCCTGCCGCAGAGGGCGCGGCTGCAGAGCTCAGTGCCCACACTCCCCGCTGACGAAGCATCTGTATCTGCTGACGCCCACCTGCGGCGCCCCCCGCCCAGCAGGGGCAGCCGTGGCAGGCACGGAGGGCCGGGACCGGGCACACACGCTGCCCGACACCAGGTGGAGGACAGGCCGGGAGCCACCGGGAAAGTCCAGTGGGGGCGTGTGGCAGAAACGCAGCACCAGAAGCAGCAGACGGGCTCCTCTAAGCCCCCTGAGCTGCCCTCGGCAGCATCGATGGCGGAGAGAGAAGACTAGGAGAGCCCAACAGACTCTAGCAAGTAGATTAAATAATTTAAGATCTTTCCAAAGAAACAGAAAACAAAACATGCCCACATAGTTCACTGGTGACCTCTACCAAGTGTTTAAAGTAGAAACAACAGACTGTACTTTGCAGCGTGTAACGTGCTCCCACGTGTAACGTGCTCCCACGTGTAACGTGCACCCGTGGCTTTTGTGTGCACCACAGACAGGGCCCTTATATCCATGTGCCACACTCATCCTTATTTTTCCCTCAAAAATCGGGCAAAAGTGAGCATTATACACGGCAAAAATACAGTAATATCAATCTTCTAAATCCTCTTCCCCAAACCAGAGGAGGAAACACTCCCGACTCCTTCCAGCGGCCAGGCCGCCCTGACTCCAAAGCCAGACAAAAACGCCAACCAGTGAGCACTAGAGACCAGCATCCTGCTCTTTCTACAGACTCAAAAACGCGCAAGAAAACCTCGCCAACGCGCACCCTGCGGCGTGCCACAGGGCTATCACACCATCACAAGTGGGGCTCATCCTAGGAGCGCAAGGTTGGTTTAGTACCAGGAAAGGAGCATGACCCGCCACAGCAATAGAATAAAGGACAAAAACCGCGTGACCCTGTCAAAAGCTACCGTCTAGCAAACCCGCAGTTTCCTCAACCCGCTAAAGGGTGTTTCCAGGAAACCCCCAGAGGCCGTGGTCCCCGGTGGCGGAGACTGAGCACCTTCCCCGTCACAGCTCACGCGGCCCCCGAGGCCGGCGGCCACCGCCTCCACCCTGCGGCCCCCCAGGCCTGCCCCGGGCTCCCAGCAGCACTCCCCTCACCTCCGAGCTTGAAGGCCCTGAGCTTGGCTGCGAAGCTAACAACCCCAAACGTGTCCCCAGGTTGGCCTGGCGTCTGCTGAGGGCGTGGGAACGTCGCCGGCATGACCGCGGCCTCCCGTGTGGAAGGAGGTGGGACGCCTGTGCTCGGCCCTGAACTCCCAGTGCCCCTGCCTCCGGCCGAGCACGTAGCACCCGCCCTGGGAAGCACCCCCACCTCGCCGCTGTCACCGCGCCAGGCCCCACGCCGCAAGTGTGCTTGTCCGTTCGCCTCATTAAAACCTCACGGACGTGCCCGACCCATGAACGGACAGCTCACCACGGGACCGCAGCCGATGGGTCCCAGAGTTTCCTCCGTCCAGAGACTCCATTCTCGTCTGTCCCACACACACCCCCGCCTCAACCTAGACCTCAGGTCTGGGGAGGCACGGACGCTTCATCCACTCCCCTGCCACCGGAAGCCCAACAACATATGCCCACCCCTCCCTGGCACCTCAAACCCTGCATTCAGCCTCCAAACCTGCGGGCAGAGAGCCCTGAGAGAGGCCCTGCCCACTCGCCCGCCGGTCCCGCGGGGGCTCACCGCCCTCAAGGGGGGAACCCTGCCTCCTGTGGGTGCAGGAGCCCCCAGCGCGGCCGAGTGGCTCCGTCCTCCCCAGCTGGGACTTCAATCCAACCGCCTGGGACCCCTCCATCACCCAGTCCGACCACCTGCAGAACAAGCCACGTCACGCCACACAGAACCGCCCGCAGCCGCCCTTCAGACAACACCAGGGTCTCGGCGCAGACCCCCCAGGCCAGAGCACCTCCGGCAGCCCCTCAGTCCACCCCGTCGCCCACCCTGCCCTGGGCCAACGGCTGCACGGGGCCCTCGCCCGGACTGCGGGATGGGAACCGTGGACGCGGCCGCCACGCCAGCCTCCCAAGCGGCACAGGCCAGAGCCCCACGCCCACAGGAAGAGGAGCCAGAGGGGAACTTACCGAGGCCGCCCGCCGGCAGTTCACGTTCCGGTCAAACACTGTGGCAACGGCCAGCGCGCTGTGGGGACGGGGAAAGCGAGCGGTTAAAACGAAACGTCCAGAGAACACATCCCCCCGACGCCGGCTGGAAACCTGTCCCTCACTTGCTCGGTCACTGCTTGGTCACCGCAGCGGCCGCAACACGTGTGCCCTCCTGACCCCAAGCACAGCCCCAGGGAGGGGGCAGCGAGGGCAGCAGGGCTCCCTGCGGCCCAGCACTGGGGCTCCGGGGACGGGCTGGGAGGGGCGCCGGCTCGGAGGGCAGGGTGTCCTCAGGTCGGACAGGACGTGCGGACAAGCCCGGGCGCCCTGGGCGTCGGCAGCAAGGAACACCGAAGGGCTCCGGGCGGGTGTGCAAAGGATGGTTTCTAAGAACGGCCTGGAAATTTGTATCAGCCCACAGGGAAAATGTTTTTACACTGGTATTTCAGACACACAGGGGTCCCCTCAGAGGGGCGTCACCTGCTTGCCACCTGGGCCTCGCGCCCCAGCCCGTTTCTGGCCGCGAGTCCCGTCTGACCCTCGGGAACGCTCCCCCGGCACGTGCTCGCGTCTCCGGGCCAAGCGGCGGCCTCCTGAGTGAAGCCACCTGCCACCTGCGCGCCCGCCCCAGAGGCGCCCCGGCACCTAGGAAGAGGCTGAGGCTGCGGGGGCAGTTCAGTGTGCTGATCGGCCTGCGTCCTCAGAGGTCCCCGGGAACTGCAGGAGGCCGGACAGGGAGGAGAAGAAGGACCAGCCGAGAAGGACGCGGCCCGAGGCGGGGGCCATGCAGGTGGAGGGAGGGTCAGAGCCCAGGGTCACGGAGCCGAAACGGCAGGAGCCGAAACGGCAGGAAGTCGCTTCTGCCCGGAGCCTCCCCGCAAGGTGGTTCTGGCCCGGGGCCGCCCAGGCCTGACCTCGGACCTCTCCTGGGGTTTTCTGTTTTCGCTAAAGTGGAAGAAGCCAGAATCAAAACCTGTATGTTGTATATTTCCAATTAAAAGACAGCGAGAAGTAGCGAGACTCCAGGACCAGAGCCAGGCTGCGGAGAGCGCCGGGAAGACGGGGGCGGGGCGGTGATGGGACCGTCCGGCTGTCCCTGCGGTTTGGAACGCAGCTGCATGGATTTGTGAAAAACTCCAAGAACTGCGCGTGACAAGGGTGACTTTTTCTGACGCAAGTTGAAGAGAACATCAGAACGTGAGGGCCCGAGGCCGCTAGGCGGGCCTGAGACTGAGGCTTCATCCCCCACAGGGGGCAGGCACCACAGGGCAGGAGGGCAGGGGTGAAGGGTCACAGCAGGCAGGGCTGGGCTCAAGGGCCCGTGTGGACGGTCGCAGGGCCTTCGGGCCTTCTGGGGGAGCGGGGCCCCTCTGGGGTCTGAGACCCCGCTCCGCTGAGGGCACACAGGCTCCTGAAAGGAGCGAACTCCAGGAAAAAAATATGCCTGGAGCAACGGTCGTGCTGGGAAGTATTCAAAAAATAAAAGTACGGGTTCTGTTGAGAAGACACAGCGGCCAACCTCGGTCAGGCCCGACAGCCGCCGCAAGGAACAGCAGCACTCGCTGGAAACCCCCGGGACCCACAGTGTGCCCGCGCACCGGCACCGACCGCAGCGCAGGGGCGCGGGCGGGGACGGGCCCCCCTGCCCCATGGGAGGGCGCAGACAGGGACGGCGCCCGCAGCGGCGCCTGCCCGGGCAGCACCGCGGACGGGCCTGCGGACGGGCCTGCGGACGGGCGAAGCTCGGGGAGAGGCGGCACCGGTACTTTCGGGCGGCCTGCAACGCCTGTCACTTATAACAGAAGCAATCCGCTACAGCCCCCGCGGGGACGACGGCCCGGCCCCGGACGGGCCGAGCAGGCGCACGGCCGCACCGGCAGCCCTTCGGCCAACGGTGCTGCAGCCTGTGCTTGGTTTCGCGACAGGAGGTGCTGACATGAGGGGAGGCTGGCGAAGGGCTTATGGGAACTTTTTCCATTATTTTTACAATTGTTCTTTCAGTGTAAAGTTAGCTCGAAATTAAAAGCTGTTTTGAAAAGAAACTGAATACTTCAAGATCTTAAAAGAGCAAGTGTTGGCGCCTTGGGTCCTTCCTGTTGTCACCCCTCTTACTAGTTGAAGCCGACAGCAGGGACATTTTAAGATTGACTGACTACTTCAACGTCACAATGACTATCGACGAAATTCTAGAGATCATCAAGCTGAGCAAGACGTATTAGAGATCTTTCGATAACTAAAACTTACATAACTACTCTTCTTTTTTTAAAAAGTATTTATTTTTAGAGAGGGGAAGGGAGGGAGAAAGAGAGGGAGAGAAAGGTGTGTGGCTGCCTCTCACCCGCCCCCTGCTGGGGACCTGGCCCGCAACCCAGGCCTGGGCCCCGGCTGGGAATCAAACCGGCGACCCTGTGGTTCACAGGCCGACACTCAACCCACTGGGCCACAGGAGCCAGGGCTAAAACTTATATAATTACTATTCTTAAAAAAATACTTGGTGTTTTCATCTAATGGTATTCTCATATCAATGGAAAATTTAAGTTCTATACATTTACGTATTAAGAAGATGTTTTAAAAATGTCTATTTGCAGAGAGAGGGGAAGGGAGGGAGGAAGGAGGAGAGACACCCCTGCGCGGAGGCGGCCGGTGGGCGGGCCCGCACACGCTCCTGACGGGTCTGGCCCTGAAAGCGCCACCTCCTTTCTCTCTTCTCTTTTGAATCCGTAAGAGCTGAGTGTTCCACGAGAGGATGTTCCCGAGCACCTCTGCTTCCATCTAACGTCCGACACAGGGAAGATGCGGACTCACATTTTTAATGGCCTGGATGCACCTGACACATAAAAGTCCACATTTTACTGCCTTCAGTTTTCCTGTCCATCAATCTTAAATTACAGTTTTAAGTTACGGATACTGAGTGACAACCAGAGGAGAACCCGTCAGGGGAACATGAGCTGCCTGCCGCCCGCAAGCCCCGGGAGGGGCGTCCAGCTCGAGGCGGCCGGGCCAGGCGCAGGCCCCCGCCCCAGGCCCCCGCCCCGCCAGTGGGCGCTCGGCCGTCGCCCCGTGGGTTTCCGGGCACGGCCCCGCCCGGCGCGGCGGTGCGGTCGTCGGGTGAGCCCGTGCCGGGGGACGGAAGAGGCTCGGGGCCGCGTTTTCAGGTCGAGCTGCAGTTGAACCAAAGCCCTGACAAAAGGCCGCCCCAAGGGATCCTTCTCGCCTTGTCATGTGTGTACAGTCCTGCCTTCTAGCCCCTTCCCTAAGAGCACAACGGGCTGCCCAGAGAAAGGCCTTCGTCACCTTCCTCTCTCCCCTGTGGGCCCCTCTCAGGGACAACGGCGTGCACCCCACCCACTCCACGTCCCCAGGGCCCCAGGCTCTCGGAGGCCGCGCCGCTGCCTTGACTGGCGCCAGAGCAGGGGTGGAAGAGACTCCCCCCCGGGAGACCCGCAGGCGCCCGCGCACCCCCGGGGAGCGCGGAGCAGAAGGTACTGCCCACGGCACCGCACTCAGGCAGCGGACCCGGCCCAGGCCGGAGGGGACCCGGGTCACGGCGGGGCTCGCCCACTCCGAGGGGACGGCTTTCACATTCACAAGTAAATGGCTTAAAATGGCCACTGCTTTATTCCTATTTTAGCAAACTTCAGAGAACGCAGGACAGACAGACAATACCTCTTTAAAAATAGCTTTGAACTAAGTTTAGACTCTTAAGTTAATTCAACACATCAACCTGTGTACATACCTGTGAATGTAACAGGTTTTTAATACTGTTTTGATTTGGACTAAATTTAGAAAACTACTCTAATTTCACTGAGAACAAAACTGGCTTATCTAGAAATACTAGTAAGTTTCAAACAAGAACAGGTCTAATGGTCTTCGTGCCGTGTGAAGAGGGAAGCTCCCTCAGGTCCCACCCCACGCACCCCCTGAAAGTCTTCCTCCGCGGGAGGGGCCCCTCGTGAGTCACACACACGCTCGACGCCCCTGCAGGGACGTGCAGAGCGGCACCGCCAGCCGGCAGAGCCCGTCTGCGGGGCGGACGTGTCCCGGGCCCCTTCGCCTGTTTGCTTTCACTGCAGGAGTTCAGGCGATACCTCAGCAGGATTTCCCAACACAGACGAGTGGCCTGTGTCGAACAGAAGGGACTTTCTTTCGCGCCCGAGTCGGGGGAAGTGGCACGCCCCGCCCTGCCCAAGTCCCGGGCTCCTGGGTCTTATCAGCAGGCAGCACAGGGCGGGTCGTACCCCGAAGTCCACCTTTGTGAGTCTATGTAGAGTTTTATAGCAGTAAAAAGCAACATATACTGTTGCTTGTTATCTGGATAGTAACCCTATCATTTCAAAGTTAAAACAGTCTTAAACCCCAGGCCAGGCAGTGACCGCCGGCCCGCACGGTGCGGGAGGCGCTCGCTGCCCTGCCGGTCGGGGTGCCATGCCAGGGCGGCCTACGGCCGCGCGCTCCTTTCCTTTCAACTCGTAAGAATGAAAGCTCCAACAAGACTCTTCAAAGCATTCAAGTCACAGCAGAGCGAAAACGAAGGCCACGGGGGACTTTACCAGGGGGCGGGGGACACTCTGATCTGTAGTCAGCACTTGACTTTTCTCGAAAAACAAGAGGGTCACCTCCCCTCGGGAAGCAGCCCCGTAGAAGGTCGCAGTAAGAACAAGACGTAGCTCTGAGCAACGCATGCCATTTCCTCATTTTTCAGGACAAGCCTGCCCTCAAGGAAGAGATCTGGGAGCCAATCCGCGGCGCTGGCCCGCCGCTGGCTGCGGGCAGGCAGGGCACTGCCCCGCGGGGGCGGGGCCTGCAGGCTGATGTCACCGGCCTCAACTTACAACAGAGTTTCAGGTGAGGAAATCGCTAGAAGGTGCCAACCAACAGGCTCGCAGGGGCTCATTTTCCTTTACCTTCTTGCAAATTAACTTTCTGACTCCTGGGAAGAAGGTATTTCCCAGGTAAAGCATAACCATCCCGCACCATTTTAACTCTGTGTCTCACAGATCCTAAATCGCACCTGGCTTTTCAGAAAGCCCTATTTACTTTCCACAAAAAAAATTATTCCATCTCTTAACCTGTGTATCATCTTAGGAAATACAGGCTTTCAAAACCTGCCAACACTCATTCAAAACAAATCTGCCCGAAAACGTTCTTTTTGCGACTATAAAACAGAGTCCCTGCACATCCACAGACAGGTTCCTCCCAGCGCCTGAGGGAGGGGGCGGCAGAGCCCCGCACCCGCCCACACAGGGCGCGGAGGGGCCTGCGCAGCCGACCGGGCCGCTCCCCACGTGGGCGCCCTGCCAGGGGCCCCGCCGCCCCGTCCCGCGGCCTCGCGCTGCCGCCTGGGTCTCTCCACCAGACGCGCCTACTTCACCTACAGAATTTCATTCTGATCTCGGGTCAACTTTCACAAGACCCACTGAAGAATCTGTGAAAGTATAAAGGTATCCACCTTTTATCCGGGGGCAGGATTAATGGGCTTAAAAGCTGACAATTAAAACGTGGTCACTTATTACAAGCCGAAGGAGGCAGGTCTTGAGGACACACCCCAACCGATACTCCCGGGCCAGCAGCCTCCTCCAGGCTCTCGGGCACCGTGACTCACCTCCCCGCCACCCGCCCACCCGCCCCAGCCTGCGGCCTGGATGGACCAGGAAGGACTGCAGCCCCAGCTCCCAGAACCTGCCCAACTGGCCTGGAAAACCTGCTGGGCGCGGCTCCAAAGGGCACTTGTGAGCCGGTCCTGGGACGGGCCCAGGGAGAGGGGGCGAGAGGGGCCCCGCCGGGCAGAAACTCCGCGAGGCCCGAGCACCGGAGCGAGTTCGGAGAGACCGGGGAGGCTGCCGGGCAGGGGCCTGGGGCCTGGGGCCTGCCAGCGCCGGTGTCTGAGCGCGCGCACGACGCCTGGGGCCTGCCCAGAAAGCCGAGGAAAAGCAACTTCCCCTGAGATCAAAGGGCCCAACTGCAAACCACATGAGTCTCTGCCATCGGGGCGAGTGTCCCTGGTCCCTCGTGTCTGGTCAAGTTCTTAAAATGAGTCCCAGCTCACGAGAGAGGCGAGGGCCCTCCCGTCACCATCCAGGCCGGGGGGCGGGGGTCCCGGGGGGCTCCCACGGAGGACCGTCCGCACCCCCATGTGAGGGTCTGGGCTGCGCCCCCAGCTGCAGCCGACCCCAAAGTCCCCGTCAACGACGCGAGCAGACGGCCCAAGGCCAGGGGCCCACTCAGCCCAGGCTCCGGGCTCTTCACCGCCCCGTGCCACCCTGTGCCACGCCCAGAAAGCTCCGCGGGTGGCCGCCCAGTGGCCCCGAACCTGTGTCCCCTCTTCTGAGTGACAGAGGCCTGGCCCCGCAGCGCGGTGTGCCAGCACCCCCAACCTCCACGGGAGCTTGGGCGCCAGCGCGCTGGGCGCACGCACTGCAGGGCGCAGCTGTGTCAGACCCAAGTGGCTCCGCGGCAGCCTGGCCAGGTCGCTGTGCAGGCCTCGCCAAGGCCTGCGTCGAAGGGCCGCGGGCAGGGACCCGCCCACCCCAGACGCCGCAGGAGGAGCTGGGCCGTCAACCGCACCCATGTCGTGCTCGGGCTCAACACAGAGACTCTCCCCACGGTCGATGTTTCGCTTTTAAAATCACTATTGGCATCAATGTGGGGACAAGCTCTAACGCGGCAGAAAGCAGAAACCACTGGCTTGTGGCTGCGAGCGCCGCCCCCCCGCTCCCCCGCCCAGAAGCCAGGGCCCGGGGGAGGCCACAGCAAGCCCTCGCTCTGTCCCGCAGGCCCGGTGGGCGGGGGGGAGTCAGGCCGGCACCACTGCCCTCCCCAGCATGAGAGACACGGGTCCGCAGTGCGGGGGGTAAGAGGCTCCGGGCCCCGGTAGAGAGGGGAGTGCGGGACAGCTGCTCGCCCTGAGCCCGGCACCCGCACTGTCCCGGCGGGACACCGGCCGACGCCCGTGCAGGCGGGTGCAGGGCTCAGCCGCCCGCTTTCTCGGGCGCTGGGAGGAGCCCACCTGTGCGTGTGCGGTGACTCTTGGCTTTATACTATGAAAAAGAACGTTTTCAGGCAAATTTGATCGTTTTGGATTAGTGTTGGCAGGTTTTGAAAGCCTTCATTTCCTAAGATTTCACTGCATCCAATTTCCTCTGCCAACCCTCAGCCGTCCGCCCCGCTGCTCCAGAGGGTCCTCGGAGAAAGGGGAGGCACAGCCCCCGCCGAGTTTGCCACCCTGACAAATGTCCCACCGAAAAAGCGGTGCCAAGATTACTCCCCTCGAGCCGGGAACGGCCCCTTGAGGAGCCAGACGCCCGTGGAGACCAGGGGCGGCGCCTCACCCAGCGCCTGTCCGCTGCGCACCCACAGGCAGGCGTCCTGGGGGTTGTGGAGTGACTGGGGTGCCCGCCCACCCAATGGCGCTGGACACAGGGGGCAGGGTGTCTACCTGGACTCCGTGGCAGCTGAAGCACCAAGCACTAAGGAAGCAGCTGCCTCTGCTGCCCCTTCCAGTTAGAGAAGCCGTGCCCAGGTGGGCCACAGGAGGTGCCTTCCCGAAAGCCACGTGGAACAACGAAGCTCCTGTGCACCCAGGGCAGCGTCCCTGAGCTGCTGGCAGGGGAGCCGGGGCCCAGGGGCCAGTGAGGGGCGGAGGGGAGGGCCCTAAGCCCTCGGCCGCGTCCCTCTGCCCTCCCTCGGGGGGTCGGCTGCCCTCCCGACTCCCCGGGAGTGCCGCGCCCCTTCGGCTTTATCGGCAGCCCCAGGCTGCTCCGTATGCCTGGCTCTGAAATAAGCCAAGACGGAGAGACACAGGCCAGAGGCACTTCCTGGGCAGTGGACAGCCCCCCGCTCCTCTCCGGACCCCAGAAGTGGTGAGAAGAGTGACCTCCGGTCCCCAAGGCCTCGGGGCCACCGCAGAGGAGCCAGGGCGGCAGGCCGGGGGGCTTCCTCGGCGCAGCCCTCGGCCCCGGGGCCAGGCCTGCGCGCCCGGCCGGAGGCACGTGAGTGGGGCTTCTGGGACAGGCCGGCCCCACAGGCGGCTTAGGGTTTAGGTGACGCAGAGGCTGCCACCGCGCTGGGCAGCACCCTCTGGCTGCTCAATAAACAATGCGAAATGGAGACCTGCCCCTGCTGAAGTCCAAAAATACAGTAACCAATCAGAGTGAAAAAAGTAACTTAAAAATTCCCTATGCTGTGGAAGCATCTGTTTGACATTTTTTCCCAAAACAGCAGCAGGTCCTAAAAGTGGGGCAGGCCGGCAGGGGCACCTGGGCACCGTGGGGGCTCGGCCGGGGACACACTGAGGACCCACGGCCGCAGCTGCTCCAGCATCTCACGGAGCCCTGCTTGCCGATTTCAGTTCTTTTTCAAGAAACCAGAGAAAATACTCTTTCCTGCCTCACAAAGCTGTTCTGAAGAGTGAGTTTCGTTCCAAAGGCATCGATGATGAAGTTGCTAGTCACTGCTGAGACCAGTGATCATTCAAGGGCTAGTCTGTAAAAATCAGAAAACTGAGGCAGGGCAGGGCGAGCCGAGCACCCACCCCCCCAGCAGTAGCTGCCACTGGGGGGCCTCCTACCCTAGCGTCCCCGGGGACCCCTCCCAAGGGAAGGCTGACCACTGAGTGTCCAACACTCACCTGTCACCTGATGAGCGGTCCCCACCCCCTCAGGCCAGTGCGGGCCCCTGCACAGGCCTCCTGCGCTTCCAGGCTAAGCCGCCTCCCCCGAGAGAGGAGCCTGAGCTGCGGGCGGCTGCCAGCGCAGCGACACCCCCTGCGCAGCCCTGCAGAGACGCCCGTGCGGGGCTGTTCGCAGGCCCCCGGGCCCCGGGGGCGGCGAAGGCGGATGGGTCGCCGAGCGTCGCACCGGCTTTACCTCGAGATCTCGGCCACGAAGGGCTTCAGCTCCTGAGGCTCGTAGGCGCGTGCGAAGGCCCAGCACACGTAGCAGGCGGCATCCCGGACGTTGGCGCCCACGCTGCAGACGCCCCGCTTCTCCTCGTAGGTCAGCGCCTTCAGGATCACGGCAACCACTGGCAGAGGGGACAGAGATGGGCTGGCACCGTGGAGGCAGCACAGCCGGTCTTAAGGAACAGCAGGGGCACCTCAACACCACACAGAGGCAGCAGCGCCAACTGGCCGAGTCCCCCCGAGGGTCAGGCCGTGAGAGTCACGACCGTATCAGAAAAACTGTGGAAGGGACAGAGGAGTCAGGTAAAATCAGGGTTTCTGAAAAAGTTTTTTTAAAGACGTGCAGGTTCCTACAAAAGGGCCACCAAAGGGGTACCGCCAGGCCCGGGAGAGTCGGAGGCGCAGCCCAAGCCGCAAGGACAGGCCCCGAGCGCGCTGGCGGCGCGCGGTCACGGGCGTGAGGGCTGTGTCAGGGGACGGCTCCGGCCCGGAGCCGGCACCCGACGCGCGGCCCAGGGAGGAGCGCGGCCCCCACAGGCGTCGGGACCCTGCTCCGAGGGCGTCTGTCACCGGGGGGTTTGCAGGTCTGACCACGGAAAGCGGCGATGAAGACCGGCCCACGCTGACTCCCGTGCTTCCCCATGAACGTCAGGGACAGTCTGCGTGTGCTCCATCGCCCGAGACACCGGTCCCACTCAGGGCGGCTTGGAACACATAACAGAGCGCCCGCTTCCATTTTAAACCGTCTAGTTGAGTGATTTAATATTATATAAGTGATTTTGGATACAAAGATATGATAGAACTTTTAGACACACGGTGAGGGTATTTAAATGTTTAAAAGAGCTAAGATTTTACCATTTCATGTCAAATTTATTAGATTCGTGTATTTCAAGTACCTGGAAGGTTTTGCTTATAGATACCACATTCATGCACAGAGTTTTAAAAAGATAAGGAAATACGATTAATTGTGTAGATGAGTCAAACAATTTTCCAAGCCTTTTAAACTAATAATAAAAAAATAGAAAAAGCTTAAGGAAAAAAGTTTAACTTAAAAATTAAAGACAATGTTAGTTTTTTTTTTAAGTCACACTAAATGGAATTTTCTGAAAGTCCCAATTTACTGATCCGAACGGACAAGGGTGCTGTCCCGAAGCTCCCTGAGCAGCCGGCAGTGGGGTCAGAAAAGGGCAAGAAGGGAGAGCCCGCCGACCCGCTTCTGTCCGGCGGCATCGGACCCGGGGCGGCACCGCGGGTCAGCGGTGGGAGCGAGGGGCACCGAGGCCCTGGGCCTGGGACGCGTCCTGTCCACAGCCCCAGCCACGGCCACTCCCGAAGGGGAGCTGCAGGGCAAGAGCCAGTGCGGCGGACACCTTGCGCGCCGGGCTCGCACAGGGCCTGCGGTGAGGGCCCGGGCGCCAGCGGAGACGGCGTGGGGAGGGGGGTGGGGCGGGGGTGGGGAGGGGCTGCCCCCAGGGGGCGGTCAGCATCCCGGCCGCCCCCGCCCCCGCCCCCGCCCCCGCCCCCGCCCCCGCCCGCACTCCTGAGGCAGCCAGTGCAACTTGCAAAGGTCTGAGACCACCCACTCTGGGGGTGAATTTAAGAAAGATAAAGTATCAATCATTCACTGTCTTCCAAGAAAACATACCTAAAAATAGTCTTAGGCAAAAAAAAAAAAGAAGAAGAAGAAGAAACACAGGACTCTGACCGTCACACACAAATTTCCCCTCTGCCTTCCCACACCCGAGGTTATGGGAGCCTATGTACAGAGCCACAGAAAATGGGTTTGGTTCTGCACAATTTATTTCACATACGCACAGTAATTATTTTAGTAAGATTGTAAAGTGTTCATATAAATTTACTTTAAGTTACATAAAATAAGTGTAATGCAAAATAACACGCCCAAAACCGTCACGTTACCAGCCCCACCCGTCCCCACCAGCACGGACACCGGGGACCCGCCGCAGCCCCGCACCAGCGGGGGCCCGAGGGCCCGCGCACCGAGGCCCAGCACAGGACGGGGTGCTCAGCGCGTCCGGCCGCGGACGCTGAGGTCGCCAACCCTGCTGCTGGCCTCGCTCCGCGGAGGTGCCTACTGAGGACCCCAAACGTGGAGCCCACTCACTTTCTTGCCAAATTCTCGTTTCCTCAACCCAACAGCGGCAGGACACCCCGCTTGGGATGGGCCAAAGGCCCCTCAGATTCCACAGCATCTGAAACGGAGCCCATCTCCCCTCATGTCCCACCTCGGCCGGGGGCACAGCTCCGGGTGCGGTGGCCACTGGTCACCCACAGCAGCCGCCCCTGGGCCGGGGACTCCGTCACGCCTCCCCCGGCCTCGCCCCGTGGCTCTGGGCCTTGCTCCGCTCAACACTCACTCCGCAGCAGCGCAGGCTGCTCAGCTGGGTCCCGCTCTCCCTCCCACGGGCCCCCCCAGCGCCCCAGGCCAGCTCCCCACCAGCCTCGCCGCTCTCCCAGTCTCCCGCCTGCACAGCAGCCCAGACCCCGGGAAACTGCGCCGGACCGGGGCCACCAAAGCCGAGGAAGGTCTGCCTCCCTCAGGCAGCACACGAGAAACCGTGCTCTCCTTCCCGAAAGAATGCCTCTCACTCCTTGTGGGTGTCTGCTGCTGACCTCCTGAAAATGAAGCTTACAGGTCTGGCTGATGTGGCTCAGTGGGTCAGGTGTCGTCCCACGAATGTGAAGGTCGCTGGTTCAATTCCCTGTCAGGACACGGGCCTGGGCTGCAGACCAGGTGCCTGGTCTCACACATCCATGCTCCTCTCCCTCTCCCTCCCTCTCTTCTCCTCCCTCTAAAAATAAATAAATGAAATCTTTAAAAACAAGCGAGGCTTACAATTAGGACTCGTGACGCACATGTGAACACCAACCCAGACCGGAGGGCACTGCCTTTGGCTGTTATGGATAAAGCAGTTTTATCTAATTAGCAATTTTTAAACGCTTATCTCTATTTGAACTGCACCAAACCTGTGACGCTTACGGTTGGTCTGCAGTTATTTTACCTGGAGAAACTCTAGTTTAACTGGCATGACTCCTAGTTCTCTAGTGTTGCTCAGACTCACTCTCTGCTAACAAGGGAGCCCGCTCACGGCCTGGCGCACGTCAAAACTAATCGGCCGTGGCACCTGCAGGAGGAAGGCGCAGCGCACGGGGCCCCCAGACCTGGAGCTCAGCTACCCAGAGAGTCCTGGGTGAGGCCGCCCAGCAATTCTGTAGCCAGAGGGAGACCTGGATACTGACTGCTGAGTCCCAATTTATCGGTCCACAGGACAAAATCAATTTCAAAACAGACAGCGAGGAGTGACAGCAGCCAGCACCGCGACGTCTGCTTTATGCAGACATCCCGCCCAGCCACCGGGGGAAGCCCACCTCCGTGGGGCCAGAGCCCCCACCCCTCCTCACCCCTCCTCACCCGCTCCCGAGGTCATGGAGCTGCTGGACCCCTAGCTGGGGAGCTCAAGTGTCTGCTCCCAAGTCACAGTGAGATGGTTTCCTAAGGTGTTATTTTTGTTGGCTAGGGAGGCTGATGAGCCACGAGGAAAAAGGACAAAAGCCGCTGATCTGTATTCCACTCATGGACAACGGCCTCAGCACTTACAGAGGGACCTTGCATGGTTTCATCAGCATTTATTTTCAGGGAAATCGGCTGCCCAGTGAGTCAAACCTAAGGTCCATCAGGCCCACTCCTCAGTCTCAAATCATGGCAAGCAGTCAGCTGCGAGGGGGCTGGGGGCCGCACGCCGGCCCGGGCCGCACCCGACGGGAGACGCCGGTTGGGGTGCGGAGTGCGGGCTGCCTCCCGCCGCCCTCGCGGGGCTGGGACGGAGCGGCCTGGCCTCCTGGGCCTCCCTGCCGGCCCCACCCACAGGCCGGGCAGAGCCCCGCGGGCCTGCCTCGCAGCCCAGGCCTCAGCACAGTCCCCAGAGCTCTATCCCGGCGTCCGGCTCACAGACCCAGGACGGCCTCTCCGGAACGCCTGCCGCGCACAGGGCGGCTGACCCTCACGCGCTGGTGAGGCAGGGCCACCAGCAACCGCCAAGGCTGTGCCGCTGGACAGGGTCCGACACAGAAGCCAAACACTGAGTGACAGTAGGTGGGTCACTGGAAGGGAGTTCAATGTGCAGAAACTAAAACATCCGAGAAGGAGAGGACAGACTTGTTTAACAAGAAAATGAAAAACGAGCCTATCAGCTCCAATTCACCCCAGAAGGGCAGTAAGACCTGTGACCTGGGGCGGAAGGACAGGGCCAGGCCGGCATCTGCGGCCCCCACTGCGGGGCGAGGGCAGGCCCTGGGCTTCCGGGCCGAGGACCAGAGGGGGGAGCGTGTGGGGTGGAAACAGTCCTTGCCCTTAGCTTTTATAAAAAGTCATCATCAAAGAAAAAATGCAGAAACAACTCCTTCCAGATTCGACAGGTTTAAAATAAGGAAAGTCTTCAACTGCTTTACACAAAACGCTTTTCCGTGGTTCCAGTTACACACGGCGAATGCATGTCACATACATAACGTTCCCCAGAGGGCTTCCTTTCGGCTGCGGAGCCCAGCAAGGCAATTTAAATACCCTGCTCCCCAGACAGCAGGCCGTTTGTCTGCCAACCGCCTCAGGACACAGCAGCCTCGCGGTGAGACAGGCAACTTAACCCTCGCAGCGCCGGGCCCCGCCCAGGGCTCTCAGGGTGTGCGCCCAGGGGGCAGGAGAAACCCAGGCGTCCTCGGCAGTGGTACCTATGACCTGCCCCTAAAACGTCACCACACAGCCAGCACAGCATCACGTCTTGATAAGTCATAAATTATACTAATTTAAAAAACGAGCTCATCACTTAAGGCATTCACAGCACTGGGTGTGTCTCCCAGGATGCACTGGGCCGTCGCCCTGGGTGCATGGAGCCCATGGGGGCCGGGAGCCTGGGCCGAGGCAGCACTCGGACCCACGGACCGTCTGCCCAGACGGCGCCAGGGAAGCCCCAGTTACCTGGAAGTGGGTGTGGCCATCACCGCAGAACTTCTGTTTGGGCCAAGAGTACAAATAGCCATCATACCTTCCTCAAAAATGCAGTTCAACTTGCTCAGAAAAAGAGCCAGTGTTGAAACTGCTAGGGCACAA